TTCGTTTCTCAATAAAATGATGAATTAAAGCATCTTAAGAAATAGCCAATAGCCTGTTTACACACAGAGATATTCAAATATGTTTTGTCATCATTTGGACCTCATAAATACATCAATACACTGTAACACTTCAATATCTCAGGATGGAAACAAGCAAAAACAACATCATTTATCACAATACATCATCATTAGAGATGTTATGGAAATGAAAATGGCTAACATGTATAATGATGTCATATTTGCTGTTTCGCAATTAATGTATACTGCCAGCTTATTTATTTCACAATCATTATATGTCCATATTTCTTGGAATTCTTAAATAGAATTCTCAGACTTCACAGCAACATTTTTTATTGCTGAATGCCTTCACTCTATTCTGGTTGCACTTTTTCCTGAAATTCTTTCGAACTACCAACCACAGTGGACCACCATGTTTCCTGACAATTCTACAGATGGAAGCCTTGAAGACTGGCTTCATTCAGAAATGTCCACTGAACCTTTCTTGCTGTATAACTCCAAAGAAATCCTTTCAGACTGCACAGGAAAGGCATGCCGATTTCCAAAGGGTTTGAATGTGTCTTTGCACAGTCTGCCTTACTAAGAGCCGTCTTCCAAAGCTAGACATATTCTTGATCAATGAACCACATGTCGGTGGAAGCTTACAGATGAGTTGACAACAATATTCCCAGACCACCGTCCATATATTTACATTTTTGCACCTAGTTCTATTCTATAATTCCTGAATTATTGGACCAAGGTGAGTGAGTGAAGGAAGAACTGTATACTCTACAGTCAGCAACATTCTCAACTAATATCACAGTTGTCTTTGGTTTTAACAATTAATTCCCAAAGTGACTGATATCATGTGCTATGATTTACTGTTAGAATAGGAGTGAGTGAGTGAGTTTGGTTTTACGCCGCTTTTAGCAATATTCCAGCAATGTCACGGCGGGGGACACCAGAAATTGGCTTCACACATAGTGCCCATGTGGGGAATCGAACACGGGTCTTCAGCGTGACGAGCGAACGCCTTAACCACTAGGCTACCCCACCGCCCCATTAGGATGTCAACTAAGATGGATCTTAGTGTTATCAATATTACAGGTACAGTATTATATAAAATGGGATGAATTGTTTGAGGGAAGTTATTCTCTGCCCTTACATAACACAAATACCCATGACAGTGTCAAAAAAATTAAAAATTAGAATTAATGGGTCCTTGTTGTTACCTTGATGTCAAATATTAAAGTCTAAGGAACCCTTGACTTAAATAATACTGCAGCAAACCTAAAGGAATCCCCTATATGTTGAAAACTGCTTGGCTTTCATTCTTAATTTTACAATCTGCTTGTTTATGTGGAGATTCGCTGCTAATACCTCCAGGTTCTGTATCCTAACATGCTACATGCTGAATACAAAGGACAAATAGAGCAATTACTGTCAGGAACTGTAACTGCGTATTTGCATATTCGGTTGCATAACATAACTCAATACAGCCTCTGACTGTCAATAGTCTAAATGCTGTCCACAAAGATTTCTCTCCTGGAAAACCCAGCTAATAATCATCCATTTGATAAGACTAAATTCTATTGAAAATCATGCTTAGAATTCGGACACATAGACATAAAAGGGTTTGTCATAGATAGTCAAAAGAACTGTGCTACAAATATGCATGATATTCAAAAGCCCTTGTCATTGCCCTAATTTAAAATTACAGATTTAAGGGTCTTCGGTCAGGATAAACATCAAGCACTCCAGGGAACCACCGTGATGAAGGAGAAGACAAGATAAATACTGATGGATACAAGTGGCGCATTACCTGTGAAAGTAAACCCCTTGAAGCACATGCTTCAGGTATAAGATACATAGAGCCATGGAATCATGCTGTTCAGAACAGGAGGCCGAGGGAATACTGGGCATTTTCTGGCAGCAGTTTGTTACAAGGATCCGTAACAGTGACAACACTGAGATCGTTTCTGTGGTCAGTAAAATCCTCAAGACAAAACAATCAGCTTTATTCTTCAACATTAATAATTAGAACAGGTTCAGGGTGTTTCAGGTATCCGTAACAGTGACAACACTGAGATCGTTTCTGTGGCCAGTAAAATCCTCAAGACCAAACAATCAGCTTTATTCTTCAACATTAACAATTAGAACAAGTTCAGAACACTTCCAACTGATTGTTGATTATAAGCCAAATATTGTGCTATGCCAAATAGTGCTGTTTTCAACTTCAGTCCAAAGAACAAGTCTAATATAGTCTCTTCACTCTAATACAACAATGTTATTCTGTGGATTACACTCAGTAAAGTACAGATTCTAGTACTTTTGGGGTTGGGTCCCATCTGGGATTCAAACCCTCACTCCCAGAGTGAAGCATCTAATCACTTCAATGAGAAAGTATAATCCCAACCATAACATATTTTGCAATTGACCACTTCCTAAATGGCACTGTGTATTGAATCTTCAGTCTAGTCAGATCAGCTCTGAAAACACTAAAATCTACTAAAAAGGACGCTTGGAAAAGACAAAAAGTGATACTGTGATACAATAACCAAGACCTTCAGTAAAGTCATTTGTCAATAATTCATTTGTCAATCTGAAAAGTTCATTATATATTCTTGAAAGGTTCAATGTGTTCCAAGATTCATACTTTGGAAAAATTTAATTTAACAAAATACTTAAATTTTCAGTTAAAATCAAATTCAGGCAACCAGAAGGTTCAGCCCCAAAGAACATAAGTGACATTATCACAGCCTTGAGGAGTATTTCAGTCATGAAGGTGGGAAGTCTGACATAACAGTGATTTACTACATGGTTGAAATTTCATGGTGCTGACAAATACAGGATACTAGTAATTATCAGAGTAAATCTTGGATCACAGTCACACGTCTGAGAGGAACATGAGTAATGAATAATGTTTGATTACTATGTCAGTCATATTACATACAGGAAGGGAAGACAAAGTGATGCCGGTCTAAGACATTTACCACTTTGGTAAAAATCTGTGCTGGTAAAACAAGGATTCTTATCTGAGCAAATCTTTGATTTGAAACCACCAGACCAATTGTGAAGAGCAAGTATTGGCACCATAGACCCCCATCCCTCTTAAACTCATCCCTCTCCATAGCTACACATGCTTTCACATGTAATGTGGGTATTTGTCAACCCTGTCATTATTTAGGCGGCTAATACTTGTAAATTGGTCTAGCATAGACAAAAACAGCTCGGGTGAAATGCCAGGTGTCACTGTTCAAGATGTATGAAACTGAAGAAATTATATCCTACACAATATGTCAATGCTTTAGACTACTTGACGACATGGTTGACCTTGCTATGATGTATTTTGGTTGCCATGTCCATGTCCACATCAGTATATCAACTCGATAATACCAGAACTGATATATCAATTCATAAATCATGGATGCTATTTTGGGTATGAGAAAGAATTTCAAAGAACACAATATATCATTAGTCTGTGGATGAGTTTGTGATCAAATTTCAATCATTGTATTTTGATATCAGAGTAATGTTGTTGAACGAATGATGAATGCATTTACTGTCACTCAACAAAGTTAGTAAATATTTTTCAGGTGTATTAATACTATTTGTGTCAATAATCTCATATTCTCACACTGATTCATGTTGTAGAAACACTATATCATTGCAATCAATATTCATTTCCAAAGACAAAACCACCACCAATATCAAGCACAATACTGATATCTAGATATATAGTTAATAGGCAAAGCTGTACAGCACTGTGTATAGAATGTAATCTAAAATGATGGATCATTAATCAGCTCCCACATTACTGTCTTATAAACAAAATACCTGTCTCAAAAAGCAACACACATAACTTTATGCATTTGTCACAAATACTGCAAATGAAACAGTGGATCAAAGTAATAAGGAAAAATATTCCACCAAAAATATATACTTTAGTCCTGTTCTCCAATAATTATTCTAGTCAAACAAATTATAGAACTGCCACAATTGGAAGGCTATGTGTTTCAATACCCAATGGCTATGACAGATGAACTATGTCTTATCAATAAATCAGGTGACCTTTAACTTCTTTTGAGTATTGTATATGTTAAATAGGGGTGAAAACAATGTTTCTAGTCACTAGCACTTATTAATAATAATAATAATAATATAGTGCATTTATATTGCGCTATTTTCCATATTATTATGAATCATATCAAAAGGAAGTGACCTCATGACTCATATCTTAACTATATAGTAAACAATTTGGCTGGGATTATCAGATATACATGTTACCAGTTTCTGTTATAATCTAATGCTGAATAAGTAAAAAAGAACACACTCTAGAACATTTTTGTTTTGAGTTAAGAACATTACGTACATATATCACATATTTTTACATTGTTAACCAAATAACAATAAGCCAGAACAACAAATTGTGTTTGTACTATGTTTAGTCTCTTAACTATCCTCAAAGAATTATAAGACACAATCATGACATATATTATGCAATGCAATGTATCATGTGTTCTGCATTAAGAATGGATTGTTGTAAACGCACTAATGAGTTCTCAGTTTTTATTTACTGTATCATAATCAACCGATAAACATTATTTCTAACAATAAGATTATTGACGCTCACCTTCAGCAAATTGGCAGCTGAAGAAAATATGTGAACAAAATCTTGAAATATTTTGGACAGGTATCTAAAGTTCTTACTTAGATATCAAGAAAATATTATGTACACCTCAGTGAATAAACAGTTAACCTGATCAGAATACTGGCAAGGCAGTGGCTCTATCAGTATACATTGAGAAATTGGGTCACACCGTGAAATGTCCATTAAGTCGTCAGACCCAGATATAACAAATTGAACTGTACAGAGAAACGATGCCTTCCTTCGTTTCGAAACACTGGTTTGTTCTCGATACGTTTTCAACAACTGTCAAATGCCGATGCTAATTCACATGATTCATGCAAGCATTACAATGTCGACACACATCTTCACTTACTTTCACGAATCACAGCTTACAAAAAATATGTCCATCCCCCTGAAACTCAACATAGACGTAAACAGATGAACTACATATCTCTGTTTATCTTCTTCGAGACAAGGTAATCCAAATTCTGGCATTCATCTTGCAACAGAGAACAAAATTTTCTGCTATCACTCCGTTTAGCCACTGTGAATTTCAAGCCTCCGAGTGAGGAGAGCTCTCAAAGCGAGGTAATTCGCGAGAATTCGTCTGCTACGACGCAGGCTATCTTTGCACAGTGACAATCCCACTGACAGCGTAATCTAAACGCAGTATATATATTCTCTGGGTGAAGCATGAATATATTTTGTAACGAAAGTTGTGTTTAATCATGTCAGGAGCCAGAGTTGAATGTAAAACAGATAATAAAACAACAATTAATCTGCTAACTGACCTAGTAAACAATTTGCCCTAAATTATCAATGTACAGAAAACCCCGCGGTGTCTTTATACAAGCCTAACAAAATTGTAATAAAACATTGCCTTAGAATCATACGCCTGTTAAATTATGAAAGGTTAAGTTTGTATAAATATATCTGTTACTGACCCAAAAGTAATTCGAAGTGGCGGCATCACTGGTGTGACAGTATGAAAGTATTTTACGGCTGCTTCCCTCATTGAAGGCTTGAGGTGAGGTGAGGTGAGGTGAGGTGAGGTGAAATATTGGGTTTAACGTCGTGCTTGAGAATATTTCGCTCATATGACGACGTGCATGCATGCGTGTGTATGTGTATGTGCGGCTGCTTGTACTAGCCCAGACTTAGGCTGCTTTTATAGTGCTAGCCCACTGAGATACCATGTCGCAGTGAAGCATGAATACCCCACTCAGACACATTATACTGACTCCGAACCGACCAGTCCTTGTTGTACCCATTAATGCCGAGCGCCAGGCAGGAACCAACAAGTACCATATTTTAACGTCTTTTGGTAAGAAACCGCTACACCACGGAGGCGGTCGAAGGGTTGAGTTGATAAACGTAATATTTTATATGTGCGCGAGGAGAAGAAGAAGCTCAGCTAACGCCTCGGAAGATCTGAATTCTCTCATAAGTGGTGTCTGTCGTATTGGTTATGGGTTGAATCGTCTGTCATCCATAAGAATATCATTGTTTCGTTAATTAATATTTCCTTTGCAGTTGAAGGTCATCCTGATTTGCAATCACGCTCGATGCTGTGTCTTCAGGTTTTGAACGACTGTCACCTCTCAACTGTGACGAAAAAAGGAGCATCCGTTCCTAAAGTTAACAGCATGTCTGCATGGAAGGCTGTAGTTAAGTTGGATTTAAATTGTCTATTTTCATCAACAGAGAATACATAATCATTTTGTATGCAGAAATATGGTGCGTGGTTGTGCATTTCATTCAGAGTAAAGAATGGAAGTATGGTGGTTAATGCAGGCAAGCTGTGTTGGGTCCTTCCTACTCAGACTCAGAACTTTTCAGCCACATCGACGTAGTGGCTTCCGTCTAATAACTGCCCAGAGGGTAGAAAATAGTCCAGGGTCCCGATCTACAAAGCATTCGTAGCGCCACGATATCCGTAAGGCAACGGTGTGAAACAGAAGCACGACGGTGAACCTCTGTGTAATGAGGGTAATCGCTAATTAACTGTTTGATGGATTACGTCATAATCATTGATAGCTTGTGAATATTGCCCCATCAGCAATTTTGCAGGTATTTGCGGCGATCTTTGACAACAGATACAGCGATGGTTTGATTCACACATGATTAAACAGTAAAATGGTTTTGTGTCTTAATCAAAACAAGATAACGGCTTCACAATAATTAAGTAGTACCGTAATTGGATACACGGAATTTCTGGATGGGTCTCAACGCAACTAAAGTACTAGAATCTGTACTTTATACTAAACTTTATCACTAAGAAAGTGTTATCCCAAATATAACTTGTCAAGGGCGGATACAGCTTTTTAGAAAGGGGAGGGGGTGCACACTTCGGTTTCACCCGAGTTTCAATGGTCATTTAACAAACTTTCAGCACAAGGTGGGGGGGGCAATCTTGCACACACATCCCTGGATCCGCCTATGCTTGTTACATTCTTCTTTATTGCATAGAGCGACGTTTCGACGTAGATTCTTACATCGTTCTGTACACCTTTAGCTTGACTGGTTTTGTGACAAAATGACGGCTTCACGATATGTAGCACCGTAATTGGATACACATGAGTATGTTTAGATGGGTATCAGTGGTTTCACATGATATCTGACAAACATTACCGACACAGTATATACCCATCTCTAGTTGAAATTCATTCGTTCGTTCGATGGTGACCGTGTACGACTGACTGACTGACTGAGTTTAGTCTTACGCCGCTTTTAGCAATATTCCAGCAATATCACGGCGGGGGACACCAGGAATGGGCTTAACACATTGTGCCCATGTGGGGAATTGAACCCGGGTCTTCGGCGTGACGAGCCAACGCTTTAACCACTAGGCTACCCCACCGCCCCGTGACCGTGTACGAAGCCGCGGTGGCTGAACGGGCTAGGCGGCTGACTTTGTGTGCTGGGGATTAGGTGCCTGACTCTGAGGGTGTGGGTTCGAATCCCGGATGGGACTCAACCCAACAAAAGTACTAGAATCTGTACTTACTAAGTGTAATCCCAAATATAACATATTACATTTTTTTATTATTGCATAGAGCGACGTTTCGACGTAGATTCTTACATCTTCTCTACACCTTTAGCTTGATAACGGTTCTAAGAATCTACAACGAAATGACGCTCTAGGCAATAAACTATATATATATTGATGGTAACAAATAAACCCATTTAAATCGAAAAAGGACCCTATAGAGAGTTGGGGAAATCTAGACTTGCTTCATTTGGGGCTTTAGCACGGTGTCGGCCCGGGAAAGCGAAATTTCAATATTCCCTATTCCCGGTAAAGCGAAAACCAAAGTTGTGCTATAGAAGTGCCGCTGAAGCGAATTGCTATGAAAACATCGGAATACCGTACATCAGATTAGCGCGCGACCCCAATACTCCTTCTGTGAGCCTCTTAACGGAGATGAAGTTTCAAATGTTTCAAGTTTCAGCACGTACGTGACCCCACATGTGAAAGGAATACGAGATGCACGTGCAAGTCATAATGACCCAACCACCGCAATCGACAATGCTGTTAGAGATATCAGTGACATGTTCTACCAGGGAGACTGGAGACTGTTGTAGATTATCCCTGGTTCTACAAAGAAGAATCAATCTCTCTAGAGAAACTTCAAGACTTTTTCCTCCAGCTCAGTAAGATATACCAATGGGAAAAATTAAGGAAGCAAAATCCGAATTAGAAAATTTTAATAAAATAAAGACAGAAGGCTCCTTTATAAGATCAAAAACCAAATGGATTCAGCAAGGGGAAAAAGCATCATAAATTCAAATATAGACATTTTAGAAAAGGTTCACAGGTTATTTATGAAATCTGTCATGAAACTACGCAAGAGTACACCATCCTAAATGCTCTACGGAGAAACTGTACGAATTCCTATCTCTCTCTATATTAAAAAGTGAATAATTTCAGTTTGGTTTAAACTTGCTACTAATGTGCATCAAAATAAAATGTCAGTTATAATTCACAATGTTTTAATGCTAGGAAATAATATGTATGCTTCACCATGGCTTGCTAATGTTAAACGTATTTATTTATTTATCAAATTTCTACCATGACTACGGTATCAGACGACGACTCACATTTCTTTGTTTTTCTTGTGTATTGAGAGTCCCGGGAACGCTAAATTCAGTGTTCACTGTAGCTTGACCGTTCCCGCGAAAGCGACACCTAAATTAAGGTGGTTTGGTCCAGATTTCGCTTTCCCGGGCCATAACCCTTTAGCACTGCAGGGAGGACTTGGCTGCGTGTACGGAAAATAATGTGGTTCAGGGACTGTGAGACAGACTACATTTTAGTATTTGATACGGCTATCATTGATATGTTATTCTCTCTATCTCTCTTCGCTTTTAGTTGGTATTTGCGGTTGTCAGTGTGCGTCTGTTTTACGCCACCTTTAGCAATATTCCAGCAATATGACGGCGGGGGACACCAGAAATGGGCTTCACACATTGTACCCATGTCGGGAATCGATCCCGGGTTTTCGGCGTCACGAGCGAACGCTTTAACCACTGCGCTACCCCACCGCCCCTTATACGCAAGGGGTCGGCGCATGCTTCATTGATCGGTATGCTACAGGCGTTTGCTCGTCAAGCCGAAGACCCGTGTTCGATTCCCCACATGGGCACAATGTGAAGCCCATTTCTGGTGTCCCTCTCCGTGTTATTGCTGGAATATTGCTAAAGGTGGCGTAAAACAATATTCACTCACTCGGTATGCTGCGATGTGTACAAACTGGCTTTCTACAAATATGTGCAGGGAGCACACTAGCTATACGCCAGGTCAGCACATGGTGCCAGTGGTGGTGCCCCGGCCCACCGACCCTAACTGTAGACTTCATAGGGTAAGACATCTGTTATATCACTGGATCAAGGCTTCACATCCAAGGTCACGGAACAAATAAACACGTACAACGGTAATTAATGAGAAGTGCCACAGTTCGTTCAGGTTGGCTGACAAACAAAGTACAACTGAGATTAATAACTTATAGTAACGGCATGCAGTTATGTGTCCATAACAATGACAATGGTTGTCCTGGACTGGTCGTTGTGACAGCATCAAGAGATATAAACTGTTACCAGGAGGCGACCAACTAGATCGGGGGTCAGGCGAGGTGACCTGGTAGATTGAGTATATTCGTACCCTGACTGTTGCTCGCAATATCAATCACTGAGATGTTTGATATTTTATTGTTGTTGTTTTTGTGTGTTTTTTGGTGTGTGCTTGTGTGGTTTTCTTTGTTTGTTGTTCTTGTTTTGTTTTTTGTTTTTTGTTTTGTTTTTTTTTTGTTTGTTGTTTTTTTTTGTTGTTTTTGGTTATTGTGGGGGTTTTTGTTTCTTATTTTGGGTTTTGTTTTTTGTTTGTTTGTTTTTATTTTGGGGTTGTTTTGTTTGGGTTTTGTTGTTGTTTTGTTTTGTTTTGTTTTGGGGGTGGGGTTTGGTGGTTTTAATTTTTTGGCCTTTTTTGTTTTTTTTTTGTTTGTTTGTTTGTTGTTGTTTTTGTTTCTTTGTGTCCATGCTTGTCTAAGAGCATTCAAAGCGACCGACATGTAGTCCCAGAAATCTGAATAAAATAGACATCATCCTAAACGAGCGCAGAACAATGGAAGACAGACTATGATTCAGGCAGTCACGTCCAGTGACGATCTGTGAGTGAGTGAGTATTGTTTTACGCTGCTTTTAGCAATCTTCCAGCAGTATCACGGCGGGGACACCAGAAATGGGCTTCACACATTGTACCGATGTGGGAAATCGAACCCGGGTCTTCCTTGTGACGAGCGAACGCTTTAACCAATCTACCCCTGCGATCTGTAAATGTTTGCCTTGTCCAGTTCACAGCTACTACAGATGAATTGTTGATACTCCACCGCTATACAGGTTAGATATTTCTGACTGCGGCTTTATACAACATTCACTTACTTCATTATAGGTCGATTGGGTAACCTAGTGGTTAAAGCGTTCGCTCATCACGCCGAAGACCCGGGTTCGATTCCCCACATGGGTACAATGTGTGAGGCCCATTTCTGGTGTCTCCCGCCGTGATATTGCTGGAATATTGCTAAAAGCGGCGTAAAACTAAACTCAGTCACTACTGCATTATATAGTGGTTGAGACGATCAACTAATAATCCACGCAAGTCGCACGTAAAATCTCAATCTTCGACTTGACAGGCTGCGTCCACCAGGTTCTTGTGATGAAACAGACCTCATTTACTGAAGCCATTGCTTATGGCTTTGATAACTAATTATTACTATTTCTTTTTGGGGAAAATTGTCAGTAACCGAACTTGTCTGAGAAATATGGATTGATATAAGTGCCTTTGTGGTGGGCCATAACACAATATCAAAAGGATAACAATTTGATATGAAGACATTTCTGCTTCTCCACATTTAATACTAATTCTTTTTATTCTTGTCTCTTCTTCATCTGTCAAGATGACTGATGGTGGTATGGCTGAATGCTTTCCAACGCTTACTCACTCAGACGTCAGCCTAACAAGACATTGGTAGATTATTATGTATGAGATATTTATGGCAGTTGTTTTGTAATATAACATTACTAAAGTCCTGCGTACCCCTAAAACAAACAACTTTCTTAACCAACAATCAATAATCTGAAAATTGGGAAAATAAAACCAATGGTGAAAAAGCCGAAAAAAATGACAAAAAAGCCTAGTGCAAACTGAAATACACAGAAGTGACCGAAACGTCCCTTTAGCAACAACCCTGTGCGGAGCTCATATGTGCAAATGAGTTCTCTCCCTTTACGAAAACTCCCTTCAACTCGTACCAAAACATATTCGGTACATTCCATTCGAGGATGCAGCAGCGAGCCAGATTTCAGAGAGGGACCCGTTTGGTGTCAGTGCTTACGAAAATAATGAATGCTTCTTTTATTTGCCTGCACCTTTACTAACGGCACATCCATCTTTAATCATGAGTTACAAGCGAATTCGAGCAAGGAAGCGTGGCTTACCTGACTGGATGCTTGACGACGATGAGCCAGAATCTCAGTCAAATAACGCACTTGAAGTTGAAGACGAACAACCGAAAGTAAATCGAATGAAAAAGCCGTTCTGTAAGCCTAACTATGAGTACCTCCCAGGAAACAAACACGGACAGAAAAGCAAGGACAAAGCCCCCACCATCCCGGAAGCTGGAGCAGCCCTGTCCGCTGACGATGTCGTAGCTCAAGCGATGCCGTTCATAGCCTTTTCAGGCTCGACCGTGTACTCTCACAACGCCGGGGACTGTTCCTTACTCTGTGAAGAGATTATACGGACATCCTTGGACGCTGGAACTAACAGTGAGATATATGTAGGGTTCGACTTGGAGTGGCCAGTTACGTACACGAAGGGCACCGGAGGTCGAGTTGCGCTGGTTCAGGTAGCGGTGAACGAATCAAAGTGTTACCTCTTTCACATATCAGCGATTGGATCATTGCCGAAAATGCTGAGAAAGATCATTGAGGATGATCGCGTGAAGAAAATAGGAGTCAACATCGAGAATGACATGTGGAAGCTGGCGAAAGATTTTGATTTTGAAGCGAGGAAAGTTATCAGGAATTCCATGATAGACTTAGGGAAACTAGCGAACACAAAACTGAAATCTAAGGAGAACTGGAGCTTAGAAGGCTTGTGTAGGAATGTTCTCAGGATGAGGATGAATAAAGACGATAGTGTGCGGTGTGGGAAGTGGGACGAATTTCCTTTGACCGACGAGCAAAAGTTATATGCAGCTACAGACGCGTACGCATGCTTGAAGATATACAATACACTCGAACATGTATAGTGATCGTAAGTTAGGCTTCTGTTAGGCAGCGTGCGTGATGATGACAGTGTGTAAGACCAGGCAATATACAAACACCACTCCTTGTTCACATCAGTTTTTGATCTCAGTTTGTTGTCTATGCATCTGTTGTTTCTTGGAATCAAGTCCTGTATTCCCCCGGAGCATATGTCAGCACTGAGTTCATGTTGATAATTAGAAAACATCTATGACTGTGTTACTTTTGGATTTCCGCCGCTGACAGGTCGTGATATAACTAGAAAAACTAATAGAACAACGGGCTTAAACACAACTTGAAACAAAACTGTGATAATAAATATTGTGGGACAAGGCCATTGACCCGTCAATTGTCTTGTGTCGTCGCTAGGTACAGTCTATGAATCACTACCGTCCATGAATCACTGCGAATTTATTGGATAACTATGAAATCAGCATATATGCTGTGATCTTAATATTGAAATATACAACAATGGCGGATACATATATATTTACAGGTTTGAAGGTTATATTCTGATTGTACATTCTACCTCATGTTCATCTTTTTTCCTGTGGCATTCTTTGTTAACATACAATGTCAGTTTGACCTCGTTGACAATTAAAGCAATTATTTAAGAACAAAAATAACCTTTTTTGTTTATTGTTTATTGTTTATGTGTATGTGCGCAAGACACTGGCTATGGTTTAATGATTTAAGCAACAAATGATCGGGGTTTCAGGTCAATAGTTTCATCCAGGGTTATTCTTCAACTATTGGCTTGCCATCTACCCCTTGTAGAAACTCACCCACACTAAGAACTACACAAGTATACTCTTATGCATGGATATTGAGTACATAGTTTATGTATTTTACCCATTCGAGTAGAAAGATCGTATGCGATTATTTGGGGGCATTTGCTCATGTGCATTTGGGCGATTCTTAATGCACAATGCCAAAGACCATATACCATATCGGTAATGTGGACTATGTTAATGCTATACGTCACGGGGAACGGTGGGGTAGCCAAGTGGTTTAAGCGTTTGCTCGTCACGCCGAAGACCCGGGTTCGATTCCCTACATGGGTACAATGTGTGAAGCCCATTTCTGGTGTCCCCGCCGTGATGTTACTTGGAATATTGCTTTTACCAGCGGCGTCTACTTTCATCCATAACTCCAACCTAAGCGTTTTGTCACTTGTCCAGGTAACTCCTCAGCTACATTTTGTCACTTGTCCAGGGTAACTCCATACGATTTTGTCACTTGTCCTGGGTAACTCACACGTTTTGTCAAGTCCAGGGTAACTCCAAGAATTTGTCACTTTCAGGGTAACTCCTGACCCTTGTCACTTATCCAGGGTAACTCCACACGCCGTCACTTGTCCTGGGTAACTCCACACGCGTTTTGTCACTTGTCCCACACGTTTTGTCACTTGTCCAGGGTAACTCCACGCATTTTGTCACTTGTCCTGGGTAACTCCACACGTTTTGTCACTTGTCCAGGGTAACTCCACGCATTTTGTCACTTGTCCTGTCTTCCACGCACTTTTTGTCACTTGTCCAGGGTAACTCCACACGTTTTGTCACTTGTCCAGGGTAACTCCACACGTTTTGTCACTTGTCCAGGGTAACTCCACACGTTTTGTCACTTGTCCAGGGTAACTCTACACGTTTTGTCACTTGTCCTGGGTAACTCCTCACATTTTGTCACTTGTCCTGGGTAACTCCACGTGTTTTGTCACTTGTCCAGGGTAACTCCACACGTTTTTTTACTTGTCCTGGGTAAATCCACCCGTTTTGTCCTTTGTCCAGGGTAACTCCACGCGTTTTGTCACTTGTCCAGGGTAACTCCACCCGTTTTGTCACTTGTCCTGGGTAACTCCACACGTTTTGTCACTTGTCCTGGGTAACTCCACGTGTTTTGTCACTTGTCCAGGGTAACTCCACACGTTTTGTTACTTGTCCTGGGTAAATCCACCCGTTTTGTCACTTGTCCAGGGTAACTCCCCGCGTTTTGTCACTTGTCCTGGGTAAATCCATACGTTTTGTCATTTGTCCTGGGTAACTCCACGCGTTTTGTCACTTGTCCTGGGTAACTCCATACGTTTTGTCACTTGTCCTGGGTAACTCCACACGTTTTGTCACTTGTCCTGGGTAACTCCACACGTTTAATTGTCACTTGTCCAGGGTACGTAACTCCACACGTTGTGTCACATATGTTTCAGGCGCATGGATGTATTCGTGTTCCCACTATCTGGTCGTCTGCCAGCAACAGAAGTTACATCTAGACTAGCAATACCCAAAGCATCAGACATCCATGAATATTAAGCTGATCAGGAGATAAAAGCAGAAACAAATCAAGAATGAAAATAGTTGGCAATCAAAGCAAAAATGGCGAGCTACACACTACATGTGAGTAAAATATAGAACAAACTTTATGGATAACAACTTCTTTCATTCGTGAGTGCAACGTTTCGATACAGATTCTTGTACCGTTGTCAAGCATCACTTCTTTTATTCATGCTTGACAACGGTACAAGAATCTGTATCGAAACGTTGCACTCACGAATAAAAGAAGTTGTTATCCATAAAGTTTGTTCTATATTGTACTTCCCAACTTCTAAAATGCCACTCAAAGAAGTTACATGTGAGTAAGTTGGGTTTTACGCCACTTGTACCAATATTACACCAATATCACGGCGGGGGACGCCAGAAATGGGCTTCACACATTGTACTTATGTTGGGAATCGAAATCGGGTCTTCGGCTTGACGAGCGAACGCTTTAACCACTGGGCTACCCCATCGCTCCTATTTTACCAGAAACTATTGTGCCCTCTCTACAGTCGAGGAGCTTAATGTTATATATGATGTAAGTCGTTATTAAGCTGGAACGTTTGCTGGTTGTTTTCGGCTCTATCATATCAAAACTTTTCTTTAGGTAATCACTTGAACAATCAACAGGCCCAATCAGCAAATGCAGTCTAGATTGGAACCGTCCCACCATTGTATATCGTCTCAAGCATAACCTAAATAATTCATTTAAAACTTATTATAAACTAGATCTAGATCTTGACACTTCTTTAAAAAACGCGTTAATTCAGAATACAAAAATCACGTCAAATCTGAGCGATCACAACACAGTTTCTCTGTGAGTGGACTGATTGAATCCCACGGAAAATGACGAGAGTTACTGAGTGTTGGTAGCACGCAGTGCTGTAGAGCATTTGTATATTTCACGACACATATTATAATAATATCAGTCACTGTTTTCAAATTTTATTATTGTGGCTGAATTTTCCATGAAACTTCCGAATGATATACATTCTATGTAAAGTTAACTACAGTGGTTAATTTCTGTTATTATTTACGACAATCGTCATACGGTCGCCCTGGCTTATTGTGTCCATGACAACGACGCCATATTCACAGTGAGAAGCGCAAACGAGCTTGAATTGATTACAGAAACTGGCTACGATATTAGTTATACTGAGGATGCTGTGAAAGTAGGTTCTCTCTATCAGGTTGACTTGTTTTCCCTAACCAGATGTAATGAATGACCATTTCATCCGCTGCTAAATGATTTTGATCTGAACTTATTGCGATGTTATCGTAAATGTTTCTCGCACCTGCACTTGGCACCTGATTCGTAATTTCTTCATGCCGTAGGTGGCGCTGTTATTACTCATTTGTTACACTCTTTTTTAGATGGGATAATGACCTTTATGACCTTTTGTGCAATCATTCAAGAAGTTAAATTTAAGCAGGGTTGGGATAGGGGTCATTGTGTTGACACCTCAAAATCGTGACAACAGTGAATCGGTCTCATTGAATGCTACTTTTTATCCAATTTATATCATTTCTTGTGTCATTAGAAGTTAGTGAGTACTGCTTTATATATTCAAAATCATGTGTGTTGTATGTATGTGTAATTCGTCTGTTTCACAATTACCAATGTATTATTTAAGAGTACAAAAGATGGCGTCTAGACCTTCTCGGAGTTCCCATGGGAAGCCCTTCTCTGCAAACAGAACACATGTCAATACTCCACCTAAAACTGTGTCTGGAGAAAGATACCCCGAGATCAAGCAGAGAGGCTTCTACTCCGACATCATCGGTACAGATGCTGCTGAGAGCACAAAGGTAATGAAGATGTTAATATTAATTAGGCAAGACTTGATAGGTCTACATTCCGCCATTTTGGTAAGGGATGTAGCAGTTGCTAAAAGTAAAATTACATGGTCTTAGCTGTTTATGTCATATGTAATTACTAGAGGGTCCTTTTTCAACAGATCAGTCAACAAGTTTATGTGCAGACGATCCTAATGTCACAGAAGTGTTTTGTAATAACTGATCATGTTGGCTTTGTTCCAGAATGTCCTAAATGGACCTCCTACAGCACAAGATACACTCTGGATTGTGGCCAAAGAGAAACACACCCCTAGAGGTACATCATAGAGTGTCATGACTCAGGAAATTAACAAAAGTATCATATTTGATCATATGTATTATACAGCTGTATTGAGGACTTAACCTATTTTATATTTTTCATTATTTCCATTGAAACGATTTCGACTTAGTCTAAAAAAATCAAGTCAGACTTTAAGTAACTGTCAGATGATTTGTTCTTCCTAATTTGTGGGAGCCGGGGGGTTTGTCATCTTCTGATGGCCCTTGTTCTTATCTGGCCTAATGTTGAGTTTATTGTGCTAACCCACCATGCCACAGTTTAACATGGATACACTACTCAGGCACAGTATACTGATTCCATGTCAACACGTCTTCATCATAGCCCAGTAAATGCTGAGCCCCAAGCAGGGTTATATAAAGCGTTATAACAAGTACTTTCATTTAAAGCTTTTGGGTATGGCGTAGCTGGGATCGTACCGCTGACCTTCAGCTAACCCATGGAGACAGTTCTGTCATATTTGTGGAATGTATAATGGTTCCTTTTCATTCTGTGAAACTCTTGCATATCTTTCTTGTGATTATTGAAAAATGTAGCTACTTCATATTGTTTGTCATCCGTTTATTGTTTTTTCATTGTCCTTTCAGTGACATCATTCACAGCAAAGGCTGGACTTGAGGAAGCCATTAAATATCAACAGTCCTATGGACCTACCACAGAAAATAAAGATATATCAGTATGTACAATGATGATGATGATGATATGTCAATCGATACGATGGCTATTTCACTCAAGTAAATCAGTGTTTTCCATCTCTTCTCCCTTGGGAGCATACAACCCAAGTTGCCAGTGAGGCACTAGAAGATTATATAACAAGTTAACAGCCTTCTGGGTACCCATAAAGATATTATGTTGGGCAGTTGCTAATGTTCAAATTCATTCAAATTTACTTAACATGTTTTTTTATTGTTCAAATTACTAAACAAAATAAACAGCTCTGTATATGTATCGAAGATATGTAGATATCTAAGATGATGTTTGATGTGATTTTTCAGGATTTCCCTCTGACTGCCTCAGAGCCCAAAGTACAGCTTCCATTCTACACAAAGCCAGGGGAATGTCCTCGGAAAATAGAGATTGAAAGGTTTGTTGTCTATAAAATTTAAATTCCACTTTGAGTATGTCAGTATTTGTTATTAACAAAGAAGAATGAGTGAGTGAGTGTGGTTTTATGCCACTTTTAGCAATATTCCAGCAATATCACGGCGGGGAACACCAGAAATGGGCTTCACACATTGTACCCATGTGGGGAATCGAACCCGGGTCTTTGGCGTGACGAGCCAACGCTTTAACCACAAGGCTACCCCACCGCCCAACAAAGAAGAGTGTCATATCCAAAGTTGATATGGTGCGGTGGGGTAGCCTAATGGTTAAAGCGTTCACTCATCACACCGAAGACCCAGGTTTGTTTCCCCACATGGGTACAGTATGTGCTGCCCATTTCTGGTGTCCCCTGCCATGATATTGCTGGAATTAAAAGCGATGTAAAACTAAAACTCACTCACTCACCCAAAGTTGATTAAATATTTAAACTTATCCTATCTCACGATTTGCACTTCTCACTCTTGCTTCGACGCTGAGTGGAACAAATGAGAACTTTTCCTGTAGGCCTCTCTTGTCCATACGCCCGTGTTCCCCAGGCTGCTCTCCTTATAGGACAGGTTCCTAGTCCCAGGCTAAGCGTGCAGCACGTTCCCCTGTCTACCCACGTGACTACCTCAGAGTGATCATTCTTCTTGTTGCACCACTGTGTGGAAGTATTGTGAGAGTTCTCAGCTTTCCTTACAAGTTAACATGAGAAATATATCATGGGTTGTTGACCCTAAGTAAATTTTGTGCACACTGTAACAATATTTACTTCCTCGGATCCCCACTCGTCATGTGTGGGTTGTATTGACCTGTGTTCCTGGAGCAAACGTTGTCGGAATGTGCTCCTTTATCAAGGACGTTTTTAGAGCATATAGACATGCTTGCTCCCGTTGGCTGGCAGACAGAGCTCGTTACACTTCAACAGTTGATCACCCGACAAACCCCGCTTTCAACGACCACTATTAACTGCTGAAATGGTTCACATCATCGATTCGATTCACAGCACCGAAACGTCTCGCCTCACCGTAACGGCTCTCTTCACGAAACAATTCACCTCGGCCGGAACATTTCACCTTGCCTCACCGGTTCATCTGATCGTTCTAGATCTCTCCATCAGCTGAGATCATTTAAACGTTTCGGATTACCGAACCAATCCAGATCACAGTCACGATCCAGCTCACAACGCCGATCCAGATCACATCAACGTTCCGGCTCACCACCCTGAACCGATTTACCAGCCTGACTCGTACCGTTTCACCCGGAGGAAACGGGACTTGTCAACACTGGTTTTCCACATCCTCAACGAGGTTCGTGAACTTGCATCTAAGTCTTAGATAGGGCCAAATTTGTCGAACTCTGCTAGTTTTCAACACAATCCTAGTTTTCAGGGCATCTGTGAGGCACTGAATTCCTCATTACGAAGTGTTAAGCTCTAAGCACGACAATTTGATTTGTTTATCCGGTTTACCTTACGGCTTGTGAGGCGCTTAATGTTTTTAGTCACATAACTTATCCCACCTTGTACCCCTTTTTCGGCTGGTTGAACAGAGGTAGTAGCTATGTGCTTCACCATGCCTAATCGATTTACATGTGATGTCAGTAGCGCAGTCATCTGGACATATCACGCTCGGCACTTGACGGTCTGACGATCCCAGTTCTCAAGAGTCCTCCGTGACAGGGGCTCATCTCATTCCAGACTTAATCTACCATCCGATCTTCACCTTGATGAATGATTTGGTTCAACGAATCTACCCCTCGGTGTAGATATCAGTTCTACAACCACCCGATAGGGCATTATTAGATAAGCTTGCTAGCCAGGAATACTTTACCACGCTTCACTGAGTCTTGTTACTACAGACTACTGGTAACAGCGTGTTTGTGTATTGCTGGGTGCAGTTATTGCAGATGGTTCATCATCTTCAGCTCCCTTTGTTTTACATGATAAGCAAGTTTCTGGACAGATAACAGATGGGTCAAGTTTTTGCGCATGGTACCAGCAGTGATGTTTTGTCAAATAGCCAGCATAGCTCAGCCCGGAATTTATGGGTTGCGACTCGCCCGGTTAACCGAAGACCGTGTTTTTCCGTTTTCTTGTCACACGTGTGTGACGTTTGCAAATGGCGGACTACTGTTTGTTTACCGGAATATGGATGATTAGAGTGACTATGAAGTGCCCTTGCAGACTTGTCTTGTCCCACGAATCGGATATCAAGTCCAGCCTTTAAATGCTAGTAACAATGAACGGTGCCATTCCCGGTAAGAGTGATTGTGTCGGGATTTCGACAGCCAGTCGAGAGAGACTGCTCATCGAGGGTGACAGACAGAAACACCCGTGAACGGTTTGACTTTTGTTGGGGTTACTCGGTTTTCTACACTAGCTCAAGCACTGAGTTCAGAGGTCACTGCAGTTATGCATGGACTGTCACCAGGCAGCGATCATAGTAGCTCGACTTATTGAACGTTCTTATATCAGGAGATATCTCTTTGTCAGAGGCAAGAGTTGTTAGACCTTTCATTTCCCTCGACCTGCGATGCCTACCTATCACATCCCGACACATCCAGACTATCGGAAGTATCTTCGATTTACTTTCAAGGGGCGTCGTGGCTTTTTACTCAGATACCCAATCTGATAACAAGCTACCTGCATTGTCGAGGCGTGACATTCGAGAACTATATCAACGACTGTGTTCAACTTCAAGCCAAGCAGGATCCAGTCGTCCTTCCTCTCCACAGGCAGTTCATCATCAAGTTGCTCGCGCAGTTGGGATGGCTGCTGAATTCGGAGAAAACAACCCCAGGGAGTTGATTCGTCTTCCCGCACAACTACATTCAGTCTTTCATTGGTGGCTCAACAAGTGGAATGTTTGCGTTGGAGTCTCTAAGGTGCCCTTCATACCGACTCAACACCTGTTCGTCGACGCATCTTTCAAGCTGGGGAGCTCACTTTCTCCATCAAGTGGCCTAGCAGAAAAAATGGTCATCAGGAGAAAGGGCCCTTCATATCAACGAATCAGCACTGTCATTCTCGCCGTTCGGCATTGGGCAGTTGAACTACGGTTCACTCATGTACTGATTCAATCAGACATTTCGATGGTAATTTTGTACATAAACCATCAGGGGTTGACAGGATCAGCAGCTCTGCTTCAGTTGATGTTTCGAATTTATCATCTAATCGGTTCACTCTACACAGTGGCCAGAACCCAACACATTCCCAGGATGAGGAATGTCATTGCTGATGCCCTGTCACTCACGGAGTGGAAACAAATGCCTCTGATCTTCCAATCAAAGATCTACCTGTTATCAAGACCAGAGGTAGACCTGTTCGCCACTCGGGACAACCGTCAGCTTCAGCGCAGATGATCACCAGTTGCGATCGTTTCTACTTTGTGTACAATCTGAATAAAATTCTGAATTTTATTTCTGATTTGTGTCTTCGATTCTTCTGGGACTTCGATTTCTCCTCTCAATTTAATTTGAGACTCTGGAGAGTCGCCACCTCACTTACTGTCATCTGCTCTGTGGAGTAATTACGTCAGTGAAGTGAGTCATTCCCGAAGTGTTACACTTCGTAGCGTTCATGCTCCTAAGTACCTATACACATCTATGTGATCTTACTGTGGTAAGTAGTGGAAATCATAAGATGATGTTGTGGTACTGAATGTTAAAATTGTGAGTTTTCTGATTCAATTACCCTTTCACCCTCCTCGGGAACGGTGTCTGTGGGGGTTGTTTCGAAGCAGGGGCTGGCCCGATACTAGTTATTAGACTTTTATTACGGGGGTACCTTGGAAATCGTGGTAATGCAACTGATTACACTCGCTAAGCTGCGTCCTTTCACTTTCGTGAAGGTAGTGACTGAACACCACATTGCTCGGGAGTCCCGGTCCCCCGGAGCAATTGTGCTTAGTAAGTCAAGGGGTTCGAACTAACCATCGCACGTAGTGACCTTGGTAGTTATGGGCCTACCTTGTCGTTGCTCCCTACGGATGTAGAAGTGTTCAACAATCTTGCTTGCTGACCTCTACTCCACGGAGCAATCACGTCAGTGTAGTGAGTCCTTCCCGATTTCCTTATGGATTTCGTAGCGTTCAAGCTCCTAAATACCTTAGCACACCGTTGTGACCTAACTGTGGTAAGTAGTGGAAGTCATGTGGTGTTGTTTTGGTACTGAACGTTAAACTTGTGAGTTTTCCGATTCAGTTTCCTTTTCCCCTCTTCGTGATGGGGTCTGGGGGGCTGTCTTGAAGCAGGGGCGGGCCCGATTACTAGTCGTAATTACGGGGGTACTCTGATAAATCGTGGCGAAGCAAGGTGACTTGCCTAGTTGCGTTTTCTTGCGTATGTGAGAGTTGCTGCTGAACACCACATTGCTCAGGAGCACCCACTCCTGGGAGTGATGAACCTAGTAAAGCCACAAGTTCAGGAGAACCCATCACTAGTATAGGTACTATGCAGTCTCCAACACCACATTGCTCAGGAGCACCCACTCCTTGGGAGCCTATGATGCCTAAGCCAAGAGGTTCAGGAGAACCCATCACTAGTATAGGTACTATGCTAGTTGGATCCTGGCTGAACACCACATTGCTCAGGAGCACCCACTCCTTGGGAGCCGATGATGCCTAGTAAATGCGCCAAGAGGTTCAGAAGAACCCATCACTACATCACTAGTATAGGTACTATGCTAGTCGGGATCCTGCGGCTGAACACCACATTGCTCAGGAGCACCCACTCCTTGGGAGCGATGGTGCCTAGTAAGCCAAGAGGTTCAGTAGAACCCATCACTAGTATAGGTACTATGCTAGTTGGATCCTGCGGCTGAACACCACATTGCTCAGGAGCACCCACTCCTTGGGAGCGATGATGCCTAGTAAGCCAAGGGGTTCAGTAGAACCCATCACTAGTATAGGTACTATGCTAGTTGGATCCTGCGGCTGAACACCACATTGCTCAGGAGCACCCACTCCTTGGGAGCGATGATGCCTAGTACGCCAAGAGGTTCAGAAGAACCCATCACTACATCACTAGTATAGGTACTATGCCAGTCGGATCCTGCGGCCGAACACCACATTGCTGAGGAGCACCCACTCCTTGGGAGCGATGATGCCTAGTACGCCAAGAGGTTCAGAAGAACCCATCACTAGTATAGGTACTATGCTAGTCGGATGCTGGGGCCGAACACCACATTGCTCGGGAGCACCCTCTCCTTGGGAGCGATGGTGCCTAGTCAGCCAAGAGGTTCAGGAGAACCCATCACTAGTATAGGTACTATGCTAGTCAGATCCGGCCTCCCTTGTTCATTGTATATACTGTCAGTGCCTAATCTGTGACCCGCCATCCAACCGTGGGATAAGTGCAAATCGTGAGATAGGATAAGTTTAAAAAATTGAAAATTTTAATATAAATTGTATATTTATATACTTATCCTGTTTCACGAGATGGATGCCCACCCAGCCTCCCCTCTACTCAGATTACGACGGTTACGTATAACTGTCATTGGCTCCAATAATAGAATGATCACTCTGAAGTGGTCAGGGGAACGTGCTGCACGTTTAGCCAGGGACTAGGGACCTGTCCTATAAAGAGAGCAGCCTGGGGAACACGGGCATATGGACAAGAGAGGCCTACAGGAAAAGTTCTCATTCGGTCCACTCAGTGTCGAAGCAAGAGAGAGAAGCGCAAATCGTGAGATAGGATAAGTATATAAATATACAATTTATATTAAAATTTTCAAATCTGATACATGCTAGTGTTTTAAGTCTCTGGCAGAATCATTGCTGCGCCTTGCTTGCTTTAACGTGAAATTTTCTGTATGTACAGACGGCGGCGACATTATGCCAGCCTTGACCTCAACGAACTGCTCACCGCACATAACATCCAGACAGAACTGCTCATGCCAAAACAGCAAGTGAACGGAAACAACAATGTCATTCTGAACGCCGACCCGAGTGACCCGACACATCTTGACAATGAGGAGTTTGACAGTGACCCCGCTCTTGGAAAGAGAATTGCCATTACACATCTTCGACAATGAGGAGTTTGACAGTCGTACTCATGCTGAGTGGATTGCTCTTGGAAAAGAGAATGGGACACGCAAACCAGTACCTGGCATTGCATTGCTGCCGACCAAGGATACAGATGTAGAGAGTAAGTGTATTGTATGCCTGACCAAAGATACAGATGTAGAGAGTAAGTGTATTGTATGCTTGACCAAAGATACAGATGTAAGAGTAAGTGTATTGTATGCTTGACCAAAGATACAGATGTAGAGAGTAAGTGTATTGTATGCTTGACCAAAGATACAGATGTAGAGAGTAAGTGTATTGTATGCTTGACCAAAGATACAGATGTAGAGAGTAAGTGTATTGTATGCTTGACCAAAGATACAGATGTAGAGAGTAAGTGTATTGTATGCTTTGACCAAAGATACAGATGTGAGAGTAAGTGTATTGTATGCTTGACCAAAGATACAGATGTAGAGAGTAAGTGTATTGTATGCTTGACCAAAGATACAGATGTAGAGAGTAAGTGTATTGTATGCTTCGACCAAAGATACAGATGTAGAGAGTAAGTGTATTGTATGCTTGACCAAAGATACAGATGTAGAGAGTAAGTGTATTGTATGCTCGACCAAAGATACAGATGTAGAGAGTAAGTGTATTGTATGCTTGACCAAAGATACAGCAAGTGGTAGAAGTGTATTGTATGCTCGACCAAAGATACAGATGTAGAGATAAGTGTATTGTATGCTTGTAGAAGATACAGATGTAGAGAGTAAGTGTATTGCATGCTTGACCAAAGATACAGATGTAGAGTGTAAGTGTATTGTATGCTCGACCAAAGATACAGATGTAGAGAGTAAGTGTATTGTATGCTTGACCAAAGACACAGATGTAGAGTGTAAGTGTATTGTATGCTCGACCAAAGATACAGATGTAGAGAGTAAGCGTATTGTATGCTCAACCAAAGATACAGAAGTAGAGCTGCTGTATTGAAGGGATACTCCTAGTTTCCAACATGCTTTTGCTGAGGAAGGGATACACAAACTGCATCATGAAAAGATTGTCGTTCCTGGCTTTCTATGTTTTAGAGTTATGCGAGGATGAGACCCTGATCTTGTTGAACGGATCATTTTATGCAATATACAGAGATGCACAAGAATATTGTAAATGTAAACAAGGAAGATGTTGTCATGGTTACCTCAGGTTAACGGTTAATCTGTGTGATTCTGATGATGAAATTTTATATATCACTGTATATGATAAAATATGAACTGTCATTTGTGTTGTTTAGGCAATCTCCTGATGGTCAACATTGTACCTCTGACACACCGCTCACTGAACTACATGTTTTTCATCTCTTTCACATTTGATAAGCTTACATATTTAGATAAATGTGCCATGGCAATACATATTGAGAACAAACGGTTCCGTGTTGGAGTTTATTGTGTTTGTGTTAACAGAGGAGCCCACAGACCCCAGTATTGAGTACGACTGGTTCCGTGTGGGAGTGCTGGACTATGATGAGACAAGCAAGAGATACCTGGTGCAGAAGGTCAACAAGTCAGGCCGCGTCACAGACCCTGCAGGAAGTCCTGTAGTGAATGGGGGAAAACTGGATGATGGTGAGACACTTCTCTGGTGATAACTTATAGAGTTAAACTTTGCTGTGTCCTCTTGTAAGATTAAGGATGAGAACTTTATTTGATTTTAGAATACAGAACATTTTGACACCTGCAACTTGCAAAGAGTGTTTCATGGGATATTTCCGAACATTAATTACTCAATGGCACCTGTAAATCCGATAAAACATGTCTACAACTTTGTAAAACAATCAAGAAAAGTACAGTATGCTGCAAATTTCTCTAATATTTTGTGTGAAATCATTCTATTCCTGAAATCAATGTCTTGCAGGGACTAGAGTAATGCTATCAAACCAATTCTGGATCCCCCGGATCCGTCTGATGCTGATGGCGGAAGATCCACAGATATACGCCATGCGCGTGTCCCAAGCTTACGAAGCCCGCAAACTATGCGAGGCGGAGCTGCGATACAATTTGTACATCGACTGTATGCCCATGGATGGTGTTGGGGAGTTGGACCAGGCATCTCTCAAGAGGATGATTGAGTGGGCTCGCAGTGCCCCAGGACTGGCAAGAGACAAGCAGTGAGTAGTGTCATATTTATTCAGCAGAGGGTCTTTTTCAGGAAAAATATTTAGTAGGTACATCATCCATGTGGCAAACTTCTCCAAATTAATGTTTTTCTTCTTGTGTTTTTTCCTGTCCATTTTATACATTTTGCATTATTTTCAAAAACGGTTTGTGAAGGTAGTGCTTGGTCATACTAGATGAGCAGTGCATGGTCTTTGGTGTGGTCACTAAACGATGATTGTCCAGCCAGCTTGGGTAGATGACCACTGTCACACATCAATCTTCAGTTTTATGTCTTGAGTTAATGTCTCTGAGTGTATGGTGGTCTGTGACTCTGTTGACCATTTTGGCCTGAAATCTACTGATCAGTGTAATATTTCCTGTGTGGGATTCTGGCAGAGGTTCCATGTTCCCAACACTTGTTGTAACATACACCGCTCAGTAGAAGCCATTAACTCAGATACTCAGCATATCAACATGTTGTGTTGACTGTAACCAGGTATATGAACATGTGTTGACTGTACTCCGCTTGTGAACATGTTACATTGTTATGTTAACTGTACTCAGGTATATTACCATGTTGTGTTGACTGTACTCAGGTATATGAACATGTTGTGTTGACAGTACTCAGGTATATGAACATGTTATGTTGACAGTACTCAGGTATATGAACATGTTGTGTTGACTGTACTCAGGTATATGAGCATGTTGAGTTGACTGTACTCAGGTATATGAACATGTTGTGTTGACTGTATTCAGATATATGAACATGTTGTGTTGACTGTTTTCAGGCATGTTGTGTTGACTGTATTCAGGTATATTACCATGTTGTGTTGACTGTACTCAGGTATATTAACATGTTGTGTTGACAGTACTCAGGTATATGAACATGTTGTGTTGACTACTCAGGTATATGAACATGTTGTGTTGACTGTACTCAGGTATATGAACATGTTGTGTTGACTGTACTCAGGTATATGAACATGTTTGACAGTGTTGACAGTTGTGTTGACAGTACTCAGGTATATGAACATGTTGTGTTGACTGTACTCAGGCATGGCGGTGTTGACTGTACTCAAGGCATGTTGTTTGACTGAACATGTTGTGTTGACTGTACTCAGGTATATATAACTCAGGTATATTAACATGTTGTGTTGACTGTACTAAACATGGCATATGAACATGTTGTGTTGACTGTACCAAGGTATATGAACATGTTGTGTAGGTATATGAACATGTTGTGTTGACAGTACTCAGGTATATGAACATGTTGTGTTGACTGTACTCAGGTATATTAACATGTTGTGTTGACAGTACTCAGGTATATGAACATGTTGTGTTGACTGTACTCAGGCATGTCGTGTTGACTGTACTCAGGTATATGAACATGTTGTGTTGACTGTACTCAGGTATATGAGCATGTTGTGTTGACAGTACTCAGGTATATGAACATGTTATGTTGACAGTACTCAGGTATATGAGCATGTTGTGTTGACAGTACTCAGGTATATTAACATGTTGTGTTGACAGTACTCAGGTATATGAACATGTTGTGTTGACTGTACTCAGGCATTCTCAGGTATATGAGCATGTTGTGTTGACTGTACTCAGGTATATGAGCATGTTGTGTTGACAGTACTCAGGTATATGAACATGTTATGTTGACAGTACTCAGGTATATGAGCATGTTGTGTTGACTGTACTCAGGTATATGAACATGTTGTGTTGACAGTACTAAGGTATATGAACATGTTGTGTTGACAGTACTCAGGTATATGAACATGTTGTGTTGACAATACTAAGGCATATGAACATGTTGTGTTGACTACTAAGGTATATGAACAGGTATATTAACATGTTGTGTTGACAGTACTCAGGCATATGAACATGTTGACTGTACTCAACATTGACTTCTGAGAGATATGGACATGTGATGTGTTGTGTTGCAGTGTGGAGGACTATGTACAAGTGCTGGAGAAGGAGGTCAACATTGACTTAGCGAACAAATGTCCGGCTCAATGAATAGAATCATCTTTGAGAAGACAGTGACCCAATTAATGAAGACCCACACACCTTTCAATCTTGCCTTTGTCTCTGTTCCTGTTGTTGTGAAGGTCAGCGTTCCCCGGAGAGGTCAGTGGTTGTGTTGTTATCAGATATATCAACTGTTGTTTACCATTACAGCAGCAACCCCACTGTAACGAAAGGCGGGCATAACGGAACTGCAGACCAGAGGCTCCTCTAGCAGTAGCATGGCTGTACCCTGTGTATAATCAGTGGGGTATATATGTATTTTCCTATTTAATCTATTCAAAAACTCAACTATTCTTATTCTTTTCATAGTTGTTTATATTCAAAAACTCAACTATTCTTATTCTTTTCATATTTTTTAAGGAAATTTTAAAAATGTCTCCACTGGGTAATGCATTTGTGACCATCTGTTGGTGTATTGTTGTTGTGGCAGGTTGTTGTCTGGATGTGCCAGAATACCCATTTGATGAGCAGTACGACAACTTTGCCTTCAACTCACTGCTGACACGTGAAGAGAGTATCCAGGCAACGGGCAAAGTCCGCACAGAATGTAACAAGGTTGCAGGCATGCCACTGTTCCATGTCCCTACTGCTAAACCCATGAGGCTGGAGGAGTTCGAACAGACACAGTCACAGACAACTTCTCAGGTAGGAGATTAACTCTGATTCAGGATCTTCAACGAAAGTCAACAAAATCTTGTTGAGGCAACAAAATGATTCGTTGTTCCACGATTCAGTCCCACCCCTTTATGCTCAAAAAGTCTTTTTGAGGCATCTTCTTTGCAAACATGATATGAAATCTATGGGACATTACTTTATACCCATAATTTGTTAATCCAGACATTTGTTGATCAAAATGATTTGACTGGAAACAGTACCTTCTGGATTAACAGATTTTGGCTGTGCTCCTTAACTTTCTGATATACTGAGAATAATGTAATGGGCCTTCTTAGGGCTATCTTCAAGAAGCAGCTGTATGACAGTGACCTTTATCATGTACCAGAGAGGGTGTTATTCAACGTCAGTTTTTGTAATTGGGACACATTGGCATGCTATTTACAAGGCAGCAACTCTTGTCCTGGTGTTCTCATCTTTAGGGACCCGTGAAGAATTGGTCTTTAGCAACCCATGCTTGTCGTAAGTGGCGACTGACGGGATTGGGTGTTCAGGCTCGCTGACTTTGTTGACACATGTCATCGTATGTATCCCAACTGCATAAATCGATGCTCATGCTGTTGATCACTGGATTGTCTGGTCCAGACTCGATTATTTTCAGACCGCCACAATATAGCTGGAATATTGCGGAGTATGGTGTAAAATTAAACTCACTCACTCTTCTCATCTTACGATATGCATGGATTGCTGAAGAACAATTTTATGCCTTGATTTCATTGATAGGTTGTTTTGTGAATATGTTCAGTTGCTGGTAATGCCTCTGACTGCCATCAGGTGTCACTGTTCCTGAAGGACAGCTGGATCACCACGCTGCGAGCCAGCATCCGGACCTGTCTGCGAGATGTGGGCAAGGGCTGGTTCAACATCCATGAGACAAACTGGGAGGTGTATCAGATCTCCAAACTCAAGAAGTTCATGGAGATGGTCAAGTTTATCATGCAGGTACAGTGTTACAAGAACAAGTCAAGAGTTTCCTAAGGTTCAAAGTTCTTGAGTCAATCTTGTTCAAATCAGATTTATGTTATGTCTACCGCTAAACAAAGGTCTTTAATTTGATCACAAAGATGACAGACGGGATTTGTTTTCTGATCATGCAGCCATGAAAAGGTAAACACAGAGTATTCCGAAATTCAAAACTGTCATCTGTTGGTTTCACTCTGATAAATATTTTAAACAGTAAAGACCTTCCATAGCCCTTTGGAAGTACTACAATACAATCTCGGCTATCTATACAACATTTCACAATGTTCTCTTGTTCAGTTTTCAAATTTTGAATCAAGAAATATGTCAAGAAAAATTCAAAGCTTACTTTGGAATGGAGTCGCCAGATTGAAACTTGTGCTATAATGCTTGAGAAAGCTGTTATCTGATTGGCTAATGTCAACTTCTTGTTCGTCATTTAATTGGTCCTTCTTGAAGTGACATGTAAAGGGATGTCCTTGGATCTTTATGAGCAGAAGTCAGCTCTAAGGTCTCAGTTTTATGAGTACAGCTTTAAAGCATAAAGTTGTAAGATACAAAGGGACACTCTGATTAAATACCTGTCTAGATTGAAGATACGTGTTGATAGTTCTGATCACATATTCTGCATGTGTATAGTTTGTTTCAAATTGAGTTTTAGTTTTAGTTTTTCTACAAATTATGACAGGGAAGATCGGTTTTGAAACATTTTGACTCTTGTTTGGAACTTTTATAAACTTTGTCAAACAAATAATCAAATTTGAAAACAATCGATTAATGAGCTGGTGTGATATGTGTTCTTCGGTGAGTAGTGGACAAGTTTCATGTCAGATGCTGATGTTTGTGTTCAGGACTCCCTGAGGTACCTGGTGCAGGACTCACTGGTCAACTTCACACAGATGGTGGTGGATGCATGTCACTCCACCCTCCAGCTGGAAGACAGCTTCGTCTGGGGGGCTGACGTCATCAGCAGCTCATTCAAGTAAGTCCCCATCAACTCGTGAGCAGCTCATTCATGTAAGCCTTCACCAGCAGCTCATATAGGTATAATTCCCCATCAGTAGATCATACAGGTAACTGTCCCCATGAGCAGCTCATATAGGTACAGGTATAACTCCCCATCAGTAGATCATAATGGCATCCGTTCCCATCAGCAGCTCATTCAAGGAATTCTCCATTAGCAGCTCATACAGATATAACTCCCCATCAGTAGATCATAATGGTATCCGTTCCCATCAGCAGCTCATTCAAGGAAGTCTCTATTAGCAGTTCAACTCCCTCTCAGTAGATCCTCATGAGCAGCTCCTTCAAGTAAGTCAATATTAGCAGCTCATACAGATATAACTCCCCATCAGTTGATCCTTGTGAGCAGCTCCTTCAAGTAAGTCAATATTACCAGCTCATACAGATATAACTCCCCATCAGTTGATCCTTGTGAGCAGCTCCTTCAAGTAAGTCAATATTAGCAGCTCATACAGATATAACTCCCCATCAGTTGATCCTTGTGAGCAGCTCCTTCAAGTAAGTCAATATTAGCAGCTCATACAGATATAACTCCCCATCAGTTGATCCTTGTGAGCAGCTCCTTCAAGTAAGTCAATATTAGCAGCTCATACAGATATAACTCCCCATCAGTAGATCCCCATTGTGAGCAGCTCCTTCAAGTAAGTCAATATTAGCAGCTCATACAGATATAACTCCCCATCAGTTGATCCTTGTGAGCAGCTCCTTCAAGTAAGTCAATATTAGCAGCTCATACAGATATAACTCCCCATCAGTTAATCCTTGTGAGCAGCTCCTTCAAGTAAGTCAATATTAGCAGCTCATACAGATATAGCTCCCCATCAGTTGATCCTTGTGAGCAGCTCCTTCAAGTAAGTCAATATTAGCAGCTCATACAGATATAACTCCCCATCAGTTGATCCTTGTGAGCAGCTCCTTCAAGTAAGTCAATATTAGCAGCTCATACAGATATAACTCCCCATCAGTTGATCCTTGTGAGCAGCTCCTTCAAGTAAGTCAATATTAGCAGCTCATACAGATATAACTCCCCATCAGTAGATCCCCATGAGCAGCTCCTTCAAGTAAGTCAATATTAGCAGCTCATACAGATATAACTCCCTCATCAGTAGATCCTTGTGAGCAGCTCCTTCAAGTAAGTCAATATTAGCAGCTCATACAGGTATAACTCCCTCTCAGTAGATCCTTGTGAGCAGCTCCTTCAAGTAAGTCCATATTAGCAGCTCATACAGGTATAACTCCCCATCAGTAGATCCTTGTGAGCAGCTCATTCAAGTAAGTCCATATTAGCAGCTCATACAGGTATAACTCCCCATCAGTAGATCCTCATGAGCAGCTCCTTCAAGTAAGTCAATATTAGCAGCTCATACAGGTATAACTCCCCTCAGTAGATCCTCATGAGCAGCTCCCCAAATTCAAGTAAGTCCACATCTACAGCAAATACAAATGTAACTCCCCATCAGTAGATCATATTGGTATCCCTCCTCAGCAGCAGCTAGATCGATGCTCATTGATTGATGCTGTAAATCACTGGATTATCTGGTCCAGATTCCATTATTTACAGACCACTGCCATATAGCCAGAATATTGCTGGGTGCATCATTACACAACAAACAAAAACAAATCAGCATCTGCTCACACAAGAACATGTCCGTTCATATTTATCATTTATATAATAACCATGTCTGTCCATGTTATATTGAGTTGTAGCAAATGCTATGCTGTTTTCAGGCCAAAGAGGAACGCCCTGTTCCTGGTAGACCTGACCCTGGATAACCAGGGCGTTCACTACAGCACCAACCTCACATCATTTGAGACCACCCTCGTCTCACTGTTTGACCGGGGAATCCTCTCCACACAGAATGTCCCCCAGCTGGAGAAGGTGGGTGAAGAGAGACTAATTAGATCATTTTGATTGCTCAGACATTGTAGGATGGCTGGGATAGTGTAGACTGGCTTGGATGCTGAATACCAAGTCTTCTTCATGCTGAACACCAAGTTGTATTCTCTGCTTGGTGTTTGAAGCCAATTGTCATTATCACCTTTTGTATACAGTGATTTTTGGTATTGGCTGTCAGTTATCAGGAGGGTTATGTAGAAGTGTTTATTCTGATTCAATCTTATTATCTCTAAAGAGTTTGGATCATTAGGACAAGGCATACAAGAAATGAAAAAGCTTCAAAGTTACAGAAATTTTTAAAGACTTTTAGTTAAAGTGTCATGTTCCCATGAATGATGTAGCCAAAAAGATTAAACATGTAGCTATGAGAGAAATAGGCTGCCTTGTACTGGACAGATATGTGTCTGAAGAATATACTTTAGCATATGATCGTACCATTTATGTTTCCATCTCTTGTGAAACCAATCTACATCTGAGTTTTGTTTAAGTTCAAATATTAGAAAACACTTTGTTAAAACCTCTAAATGAGCTCTGTTGACAAATGTATGCCTTTCTTCAGCTTCTAATGTTGGTCCACAACATGCAATAGCAAATCCTTGTTCTCAGTCAGTTATATGCTATACATACCTCATCCTCTGTATGGTTAGAACTGAGAAGATGGTTTTAGAAGCCCTATAGAAGGACAATTATCTTGCATCTGTTAATTGTAACATGATGATGATGATGATTCTACAATACACTCTAAGGCAGATGATTCTGGAATCAGCTTCTTGTAGCACTTTCTTGATCTTTCTGTTAAAATCTAGTACAAGTCTAAATATAGCCCACCCACAGCCCTTTACTGAATCTACAAGTACAATGCATAACAGTTGAAACATTGTTCTACAACATGTAACACCACTTCATAACAATTGGCAATAGATTTACAAGCCTTTGGCCCTTGAAGATTTGGGTTAGACTTGGTCTTCAGTAACCCATGCTTGTCGTATGAGGCGACTAACAGGATCAGGTGGTCAGGCTCACTGACTTGGTTGATACATGTCATCGTATCCCTATTGTGTAGAGCTGATGATGTTGATCACTGGATTGTCTGGTCCAGACTCGATTGATAACAGACCGCTGCCACATAGCTGGAATATTGCTGAGTGTGGTGTTAAACAACAAACCAACCAACTACGAGCCTTTAAATTGAATTCTCACCTCCTTACAGACTAGAATGTACATGTTGACCATCCTACTGGGTACCCATTCACTTCTTCTTGTTGTTTCAGTACATCCTTGAGGACATCTTCTGGTCCGGAACTCCCCTCCTGGAGTCTGTGGGAGAGCACGAGCCCCCTGTAGAGGAGTTGCGTGACACCATCTGTAACGCCATCCGCCAGGCCGTTATCCCCATGAAGGCGTACGCCCGGGAGTATGAGAAGTACCTGGAGTTGATGAACCTGGACATCAACGTCTACATCAAGTGAGTTCTGGGTCCACATCTGTTGTAGCTGGGTTGTTTGTGTCATAACTTTATAGTTGGTGAATGTATATTGTGAGTAATGTTTCCAAGACGGTGTTGAAACTTATTGTCTGTGTTCTCATTTGATGTTTGCTTCATTTTGCTGTGATATTCTGGTTTATTAACCCACATGTATGAACCTTTTATTGTAATATTGGACAAGCAATTGGTCAAAGTCACCTGTGTAATAATAATGACAATAATATGGATTCTTATATTGCACTAACAGAATTCCACAGTTTGTTATTACCCTGGATAACCCAAGCTGCCTGTGAGGTGCTAGAATGTTATAGCCACATGACTTTTCCCACTAGGTACCCATTTTCTGCTGGGTGAACAGAGATAAAGCTGTCACTCATGATGGATGAATTAGTTCAGTAGGTTCACTGAATGATAGAAGTATTTACATATTCCATAGAATACATTAGAATTAAACTGCTACAATCATTAGTATCTGTAAACCCAAACACACATATTCTAAACATATATTCAGATAAATGTTGTAGTAATGTATTAATGTATCATAGTCTTTGCCTCTTGAAATAGAGTCATGGGTTGTTCTTTTCCAGAAATATCTGTTTTTGTAGCAATAAACATCATTATTGAGCTTGGATCATATCTTTACAATATGACTTTTTAAATTTGAAAACATGCAACAGTCATCGTTAATTAATAATCACCCCATTTTCCTAATTCTGTTTCTTGAGGAGAGGTTTAGGAATACAAAATAAATTGTTGTATAAAGCTAGTAAGTGGCTGAGATGTGTTCATGTTGGTTCCCTGATATACGGTATGTGTTGTCGTACAATGCAACAAGGCAGATGAGGGAACGTTTGAGGTGAGTGCCATCTTGTATTGTTCACAGTCCTTGACCTTCACCTTGTCATTCTTGTGACACACCTGTGAGCATCCAACTGGTATAAACCAGTTCACTGTGTCATCGATATGGTGTGATGTCATAAATACAGCATCAATCATTCATTGGTACACCATGTAACCAGACTTATTACATTTGTCAATAGTTTCACACAATGAATGGACAAAAACATTACTGTATCACTGATATTATACTGGTGCTGGAAAAGAAAGTACTCAAAAACAACAGTTGTCTGTTGCCTAATGAAAGGACATCATTCAGTGTAGAATATGCAAAAGTCCTCAGCCATGGATGATTTATTTAATTCTGGAATTATTTATGAAATATATGTAAAATATTAATAGATTCAGGTTATTGATGTTTTAGGTATTTAACTATTCTTAATCCTAAGCTGGTTTTGTATAAAAATGTTCATGAAGGCATGTTGTGTATCTTCAATTCTGATGTACTATATTGACATAAATCCTGACAATTTGAACTTCATAAAGTGAAATACAAGAGAATGAGGGGTGAGACCTTCCAGATACTCTTCTAGTCTGTCTGCATCCTCATCTGTGCATCATCAGTTATTCTCCATCACTTCCGTTATTGCATTCAGACTGTAATATATTACAGTCTGCGAACTCTGAGTATCAAAAGCACATTATGCATGACCAATATGACTCTGCTTCACACGCCACCAGCATGCCTTACACTGGGCTTCCTATCACGGATTCCATCCAATATGTTGGACTCCTTATTCCCATACACTCATACACCGTAGCAGAGACCATATACTTGGTCTTGAGAATGGTTGGATTTCACCAGATGGTGACATTTGGTATATTCCAACAAATCAATCATTGATTATGATAGGTTACAAACATTTTCGACTCCTTCCAGGAAATTTGAATGTCAAATTTTTAAAAATAAATGTTTGCATTCATGTGTATTTATACACGGAAATTAAATTAATTGTTGAACGTTTAAAGCAAAAGGTTTTCATCATGAAACATTTGTCTACATTATGTAATTGATTATATTTTATCACAACAACAGTACAGATGAACTAATCAGTGATCAATCATAGTCAATCATTGGAACATCACAAGTAACTGCAATGCATAGAAACCTTGCATTGTTAGGGGACAGGGTTACATTGTTAATGCCAGTAGCTTCAGATTTGCAAACAATCTTCATGCTACACTAGGTCCATATATACAGAACCTGGAAACACTTTTCATAATGGTTTACAGTATTTGCCTACTGTCAGTTGAATAAAACATTTCAAAACATTTTTAACTAGGTGTTTAAAAATAAAAATATTTATATAAAACTGTTTGGGCTGGAGAGGTTAATAGAATTTGTAAAAGGTTTATCATTTATAAAGTGCTGAATGTTTTCTATTATTACGGTATATAGCAATTTGTTTCGATCACATCTGAGTTATTTTGTTCTCTTTGCGAGAATTATACAGTGGCCCAAACTGCATTGGTTTTTTATCAAGTTGTTATTCTAAAGCTTATTAGTTTTACTTAAAGTTCCTTTGTATCTATATATTTTGCTTTTCCACTACACATGGAACAAAATTGTGTACAAATTACAACAGTTTTATCATATGATTTATTATTTTGCTTCTAATTCGTTGACCAAAACCTGAAAAGGTGTTGCCTAAAGCTAGCCCAATAGTTCAAAGTATATTATACAAGGGGGTCATTATATACCTGAAGCCCATCCAGTGAAATACTTTTCACTCCTGGGTCCCAATCCACAAAGTATGTAGCACTACGACATTTGTAAGCCTGTGGTAAACTGTAGAGTTACGCCAGGTCTTAATGTTACAAATGCTTTGTGGATTGGAACCATGTACCATAACAGTAGCTGATGACAAACATAGCAGATGATCTCTTTCAATCAGCATGTATCACAAGGTAGGTGGAATTAGTTGTCGAATATGTATGCGTAGTCATTATGTTGAGGTTGAAATAAAAAGAATATGCATAGCTCTGGTTTCAGCATGTGGGTTTGGGTAGTTAGTGGCAAATCAAGAGATGAGTCATTTCAGCATGTTGATATGCATCATACTTTTAGAATAATGGAAATGAAAATATGCTTTAGTATTCAGTTAACTCACAGATTAAAATTCATTTCTGCGCCAATTTTAAAATTCATGAACTCTCTGATAAATTTTTCTCATGTCATGATACATTGTAGAAGAAAACAATCTGAGATATTTCATAGATTGTGGTTTGAAGGTAAGACTGTTTGAAAGTAAGAATCTGTCAAATTTGTAACTACCCATAATGACAGCATTATATTTCTACTCCTGTAGGACAGTATGCTGGATATGGTTGTCTTACCAGGTAGCAGTCATTAGAATGAAAATCAAGGGTCCTTTGTTATAAGTCTTTTCAGATTTTAGGGTACCTTCATTCAAATACAGTAAGATTTGGAAAGTTGATGGATCCCAGACTTGGCTTAAACTTACCAGGAGCCAATATATAGACCAGGGATATGTTTAAAGACACAACCCACCATGTTTCTTGTTACTTTATAATGATATACTATGATAATTAGCCTCATCTACAAACTGGCTGTTTTGGAAGGTGAGGTAAGAACCTGTGTTTCTCTCCTACATGCAGCATGTACAGCTGTTTGCAGCATTCTAGAGTTCCATGTTAACCCTTTATATGCCAAAGGCCATGTTTTTGTATTGAATCAGTGGTTAGAACATATGCTGATGTTGCATGGCTTTGATGTAAGTGAAATGTACTAAAGCTAACAGATGTCACTAACCTAACAGGATCAGCACCTTCATAGATGGGACAGCACCTTCAGTCACAGGATCAGCACCTCAATACTGAAGTGCAAAGTCACAACTGTGAACACGGTTTAATCATCATCACTGTGACTGTTTCCAGGACATATGAAGGTGAAGGTCATACAGCAGCAGAGGTCAAGAAAGAGGTTGAGATGCACTTACAGGAGAAGGAAGAGCTGGAATCGACATTGCCTAGCAACATGATCATCGGACCTTTCTGGGTGAACACTGAGAATGTGAGGCAGGCGTTGTCCAAGAAGAGGAAGAACCTGAGCAATGCTGTCCTGGAACTCCTTGCAAGACAGCTCCGGAAACAAGCAGATGATGTGAGTCAAAACATTCTATATACTAGTGGGACGTGTGGTATTATGAAAATATAATTTGTACCAGAAATTATTGGAATAATTTACCCCAGGTTTTACCCCTAAATCTAAAATGAATGTCCTGAAAAACAGGTGATCTGCCTTCAGAGGACAAATTATTTGGATATTTTTATGCTGACACTGAACATTTCTACACATATGTCTTTAAAGATGGATTTAGCGATGACGGGCACGACTCACTACTTGGCGAATCACAGCAATAGGTGTTTATACATACAAAAGTACTTCGAAAGCATGGAAACAAATATTCAGTCGAACAAGATCAAAACATCGCCTGCTTTCCTAATAAAAATTCAGCAAAACAAATATGTTTACGCTGATTCTATGTTATGTCAGAATAGATCCAGCAATAGACTGCTACAAAATTTCCGTGTTAAATTTATTATCAGCTTTCACAACGATATCGCCACTGATCTTGATCCGGTAACGGAGGGTGCATTAACATCGAACCAAGAAATTTTAGATTCTAATGCCTTCCCCACATAAATAAATGGTTGGTTATCAATTCAAACAAAATGATATTTTGAAATTTGTACTGTTTCAAATTTAGCGGTAGTAAACACAATTAGATCTACAGAATCTGCAAACCGTTCTGTTTAGCCCAACATATTATTTTTCTAAATGTATAATATCGTTGAAAAAGTTATTTAGCTTAGTCATGATCCCTCTTATCCATTACACTGCTTGATCTAAAGTAGTCTATTAAAGTATAATTAATTACCTTACCGTGTTTATGCCAGAGGTACATCCTCGTGTCCTGATCCATCCTTTCGAAATATCACCACAAATCTGGCTCTTTGTCAACAGACTCGCCACGAGGAACATGCCAGCCAATCCGATTCAATTTGAATTCACTACACTTTGAAGCCACTAGGTCACAAAACACTTTCCAAAATGTAGAAAAATAATATCCCACGAGAATCGAATTTGAGCACAAAGTACACACATGAGTGTGTAAGAGTCACCACAGCTGTCGACGCAGACGTAGAGGTGCGTGAAATCGCCAAGTTGACAGGGCATGAAATTCAACAGTATCTAAATTCGCACAACACGGACTTCTCGTTACAGCAAAGCCTCTACTCTTAAATTTTGTACCAGTACCAGTAATTAGATATCAAAGACTATCTCAGTCATACAATCAGGTTAACCTTTGCGCGAAACTGTCAGTGTCTCTCCTGTCGCATCTTTCCAAATGTAAACAATGACTTCGAGAAAAGGTCAAGGCCATGAGGTTGCTGCCACTATTCTGGTGGGGAAAGGGTCTACGGTGAATTTTCAAATGTGAACCAAGCTTTTGAAACTTATTTGATATATGTTTTCCAACTTATCAGTTAATGATTGGTGATTGATGCATTGAAAAACAAAACGTGATTTGTTATTACTGAATCTGGAGTTTGTTAGTCATTGACGGTTTGCCACCAAACACCCCGCTTCGGCGATACTACCACTTTGAGATTGAATGCGAGGCCGCTTCAATGTATTGACTCGTAACCAAAGAAAGAGCTCCACCTGAAATTGTTCATAAAATTGTCATGAAGATGTAGAATGGAGATAAACCTACTCAATTAAATTATAATTCTGTCTCTTAAAAATACCAGGTTCTTTGTCTGCACAGTCAACTGCAGCAAGGAGGACGGTTTCATGCACCTCAAGGGGCGGTGGGGTAGCCTAATGGTTAAAGCGTTGGCTCGTCACGCCGAAGACCCGGGTTCGAATTCCCACATGGGCACAATGTGTGAAGCCCATTTCTGGTGTCCCCGCCGTGATGTTGCTGGAATATTGCTAAAAGCGGCGTAAAAACCAAACTCAGTCAGTCAGTCATGCACCTCAACCACAATGATTTTTTACTCATTTAATTTATTTGTGCATGTGGTTATAGACTGTCTGTATAGCTGTTAATGAGCTAATGATGCTGTTCAGGCATGTGAGGAGTTCAAGGCCTTCAGTCGGAAGCTGTACGAGAAGCCAAACTGTATAGAGGAACTTTCAGAGATGAAGGAATGGATGAAGACCATACCAGACAAGCTGAAGGAACATCAGGTAAGTCGACAAATCTCCATTTACTGCCAGCTACAGCTATCAGGGCAATGCTTGAGACTCTGTAACAATATAGAAGTGATTCTACAGTGGAAATCTAATGTCTTTTGAATCAGCCACCATGAACAATTTTAACCCAGATGACATTCCAGGGAAGAACAGTCCACAGTAACCCAGTAACCCTAATTGTAAGAGCCTGCAATGACGGTCATATGGTCAAAATGTGTGACTAGTGTCCTGGGTGCCGTTGTTCAAAACAACCTTAGCGCTAAGACTACCTTAAGTCTATGTTAAGGTATGGGAGTTACGGTCACCTTAGCGCTAAGACTACCTTAAGTCTATGTTAAGGTATGGGAGTTACAGTCACCTTAGCGCTAAGACTACCTTAAGTCTATGTTAAGGTATGGGAGTTACGGTCACCTTAGCGCTAAGACTACCTTAAGTCTATGTTAAGGTATGGGAGTTACGGTCACCTTAACGCTAAGACTACCTTAAGTCTATGTTAAGGTATGGGAGTACATTGGTACGGTCACCTTAGTGCTAGCTAAGACTACCTTAAGTCTATGTTAAGGTATGGGAGTTACAGTCACCTTAGCGCTTAGACTACCTTAAGTCTATGTTAAGGTATGGGAGTTACGGTCACCTTATTACTAAGATCGCTTTGTACAACGGCACCCAGATCCACAGGTCATTCACAATGCTAAAACATTTGTAAGTCAACTGAGTTATAAGTCTTCCACTGCCTACACTTTATGGATCGGTGTATTTGTTGATTGTGGTGATCACACCCCAGTGGCATGGGTCATTGTCCACTCTTTCAGCTACTGGCCTGTCCGGCCCTGGTCTGATGATTCACAGGCTGATGTGATGGCTAGAATAGAGCTGAGGCAGTTCACTCAGGAAGGTTATTCTATGTTGTAGGAACTCATTGACAAGGCCATGACAGACTATGAGCTGATAGAGGAGTTCTACTACAACCTGTCTACAGATGACTTTAATGCTAAGTGGACAGCCATTGGTTGGCCCCATAAGATCGAGCGTCAGATGGAGCAGACCAATCAACAACTGGATGAGGATGAAGAGAGATTCCGCAAGCTGCAGTCGTCTGACCAAACAAACTTTGAAGACCGACTTGATACTCTGCAGGTATGGTTTTGGACAGTCAAAACTAATACTGGAATATCTACATGTTGATTTATTTAGATCCCTATACAACATTTTGAAACAGTTTGGGGTTAATTGCCAAAAATGTCCAAAGTTTCTAGTTTATAAATTCTGAAGAATTGAATCAAATTTTTGTCATATCTCTGGGTGGTACCATTCCCTTGCATCATCACAGAACCTTGGTATTCATGATGAGTTGTATGTGGGTTGTTTCAGATGGTTGTCGCTGGCATGGCTGCCCACACAGACATCTCCAAGGCTCATGAGATTGCCAATGAGGTCCGCAGAGTCCACAAGCAGCTGAAGGAAGCCCAAACTCTGGCTCAGACCTACAACACCAGGGAGAGGCTGTTTGGGATGCCTGTGTCCAATGTGAGTCTCTATCCAACCATCAGACCATGGCCTGGTTCAAGCTGGTGTGCAGGCTCCGTCTCGAGTGTTTTGCATCACTGGATTTTGTTCACAGCTCCACCAGCAAGATGGCGCTTGTTTTCGTGTGCGCTTTTGATATGTTGATCAGTCTTGTTGCAGGTTTTGTCTCTGAAGTGTCACGACTTGTATACAGAACTGATATTATTCCATTTCAGCTGTGTTGGCACCTGTTCACTGTTTACTGATGTTTCTATATTTGTTTTTGCTGCCACTTTTATAGAGACCAAGACCCTTTAGGAAAATTGTAAGGACCTGGATTTGTCTCTGCATCCAATTTACTACAGTCATTTAGGCAACTGATGTAGCGGACACATACATGTTCGTGGGGAATGCTGACTTGCATGATCACAACTGATGTAGCGGACACATACATGTTCGTGGGGAATGCTGACTTGCATGATCACAGAATGTCACAGATGGCATGTCACATGGCCACAGCTGCAGTCACATATTATAAAAATATATAGACGTACATGTATACAGCCTTGATGTTTATTATCCTGTATCCTGGACTATATGCTATCTAAGGGATAATGGGCTATATTGTTACTTTCCACTGAGCATTATCCTACATAAATTGATATGTTACTTTCCGAATGGACCTTATGCCATCTTAGTGGACATTATAATGCTTCAATATACAATACACTCCCTTACTGGACATTTTATCAAGTTATTGGACAGTATACTGGCTCACTGGACGTTTTACAGTGGATGTTATACTTCTAAGTGGACATTTTACTATCTCAATGGACATTATTCTATCCCAGTGGATATTTTACTATCTCAGTGGACACAAAACCAAATCAATAATTACTATCTCAGAGGACAATAAACTATCTGTGGACATTTTACTATCTCAGTGGATGTTATACTATATCAGTGGACATTTTACTATCTCAGTGGATGTTATACTATATCAGTGGACATTTTACTATCTCAGTGGACACAAAACCAAATCAATAATTACTATCTCAGAGGACAATAAACTACCTGTGGACATTTTACTATCTCAGTGGATGTTATACTATATCAGTGGACATTTTACTATCTCAGTGGATGTTATACTATATCAGTGGACATTTTACTATCTCAGTGGACACAAAACCAAATCAATAATTACTATCTCAGAGGACAATAAACTACCTGTGGACATTTTACTATCTCAGTGGATGTTATACTATATCAGTGGACATTTTACTATCTCAGTGGACATTTTGTTATCTCAGTGGACATTTTACTATCTCAGTGGACGCAAAACCAAATCAATAATTACTATCTCAGAGGACAATAAACTACCTGTGGACATTTTACTTCCTCCATGAAAAGGTTACTTTGTGGACCCTGCTACAACTTTGTGGACATCATTTAACCTCAGTTGACGTTTTACCGTTTTGGTGGAAATTAAACAAACCTCAAAGGATGTTTTATCAGTGGACATTGTACAAATACAATCTCAATGTACATTGAACTGTATTTGTGGACACTATATTGTCTCCATGGAGACTGATGGTATTTTAATGGACATTATGTTATGTTAATGGACATTGTATTATCTTATTGGACATTGTGCAATCTCAGTATAGAAGTTCTGCAGGTACAAGTCCCATCTTCCAACTGTGTAAAATGGCTTCAATGTCCTTGTTCAAGGTTGTTGATCTATCCTACTACCATAACAAATCCTACCTCAGCCATCGCTGCATGTTAATACACTGTATCACACACAGCCTACAGCATGTACTGCAGCTACACATATGCATGTGTGTATCACTACTTATATATCACTTATGTCACTATCTGCTTCTGCATCCACGATACACATGTAGCCAGTGCAATATAACATGCACATGTTGACCATGTGGACATGTTTTCATATTGGAAAATATTTCTACATTTTGATATTTTACTTATCACTGTCCACATATTCTTTATCAGGCATTACTGCACCTAATGTAACAGTGATATATTAACAGGTATTTAATATGTAATAATTCTGTAGCTTTTTTAATAGTATTATCATATTTATCATATTTTCACTAACTATGTTATTGGTTATTGGTCCCCAAGAAGTTCATGAACACAGGCAGTGAATTTACTAAAGAACCTTGTCAAGTCGCGGACAATTAGGACCTGCATTTGTTCCTGTATTAAAATCATCCCTTACGTAGTAACATTCTGGGGATTGGAGTTTTCAGGAACATAAACTTGTCATAGAGGGCGACCTAATGGATCATCTTGTCAAGTTCTGTGACGTGGTTGATAGCTTATCACCATACCCTTACGTCATGTATCATTGCACACTATATCAATCACTGGTTTTCAAGACTTGGGGGCGGTGGGGTAGCCTAGTGGTTAAAGCGTTGGCTCGTCACGCCGAAGACCCGGGTTCGAATCCCCACATGGGTACATTGTGTGAAGCCCATTTCTGGTGTCCCCCGCCGTGATGTTGCTGGAATATTGCTAAAAGCGGCGTAAAACCAAACTCAGTCAGTCAGTCAGTCTCAAGACTTGAATAGTCGTGGTCATATAGCTGGAACTGCTGAGTGCAGTGTTAAACAACCAACAAGAAAGTTTCATCCACTTTCTTTATATCCAGTGCTGCATGACACTCACTGGTTTCACAATACATCACACACCATGGCCACCATTCTCTGTATTTCCAGGGCTTGCACTTAGGTAAACCTACACTAAATCCTGGAGCCATTACTGTGGTTGTCACAAAGTATCAGTCAACCAAATAGACATCAAAACATCCTGTCCATCAAAAGAAATTTTAAGGACTTAGTGTTTCAGTTTTTCAGTGTCAGATTTCAAACTGGCTATTAATGGTATTGGACAGAATGTTGATATTGCAAACCCAGCATTGCGACTGGATTAAAACACACATTGTGATTGGTCTGATAGACTGTGTAGCAAATAGCACTGACTAATCAAAATCAAGGAAAGATCATTTGAATTCGCAAGAACCATAAAAATGTATCTAGGTTTTAGTTTAGGTTTACTGAAATGCAGGCCCTGGGTATGTAAAGGAAGCATAGTTACAGGCAAATTCAAAATTTTAATTTTGTACCAGCTCATGATTTCACATATATCTTTGTCATTTTCAATTAAATACTGTGTGAGAAATCTAATAGTATGCTACTTATCATTAACATTTCAACTTGGATTACAACTGAAAACTAAATCTAAATATACAAATTCTTAACAAGAAATGCAAGTACATAAATCTGAATAGATACCAGTTAGGTAGAACAAACCAGCGGAATCTCGGTACCAATTATAGTGTATGTAGGTGTCCTTGTGTATACATAGTGATCATGCCAATATTGTCATCAAGGGTGTGGATTTCAGGAAATAATCTATTGTCCTTGGCAAACTCTCACAATTTTTGTGCGTCCAAAGCCATCCCTAATTATGTGGTCGCAGAATATTTCAAACAGGATATCATACATTACATATGTCTGTTAAAACCGGAAATTTTAACTGGAGTTTCCAGTGTCTTTTCCTTCCCAAATCAGATTTTGTCCAACAAATTGCACCCTTGAGTGAAACACATTATTCTGGTCCAAACAGCAGTATGTAGATATCTAGTTACTGAATTTTAGTTCCCTGAGAACTTTTTACTTGCCCACTGACAAACTGAAATGCGCAAACATACTAGTATATGTCTCCAACTCCAGGCTTCAGAGATTTCACTCACTGCAATATTTATGCTTTCACCCTGCTCTCTTTCAGTATGGTTGTATATATACATATGTGGCAAATATCTTATGCATGTTTTCTGTTTACATAATTTGTACAAAGTTCTTCCTTGAAACAATACATCTGAAACTCAATACCTTTCTCGATATATGAAATCAGAAAATACAATGATCCTCTCCAAACCTCTCCCGACACGCCGAAGACCCGGGTTCGATTCCCCAATGGGCACAATGTGTGATTTTCTGGTGTCCCCAGTGATTGATATTGCTCCAAAACCTCAGTCAGTCCAAACCTCCCCCCTACCATTTCACAGTTTAGAACTAGCAAAACAATCCAAGGCAATCATACCAAGTGTATCAGGTAGTTCTAGGGCTTTATCTATAAACATTCAAACTAGATTATTTGCTGACTGTTCTCAAATATAGATGGAATAATTCTGTCTGTGTCACTAAACAGAGAAAACAAAACAGATATTTGGCGTTTGATTCAGATGATTGTTTCCTGGAAGGATATACATGTATATACAGGTCTCCAGATAAGGGCCGTATCAGCGTATATATGGATAAAACATATGCACGATACGGTTGGAAATAATTTAGAAAACATAACAGATACGCACCACAGCAATGGTGTACGGTCTTAGAATCATTTACAGACATTTTTATCTGAAAAAGTATTGTGTTATTGACCTGTTTACACAAGAGTAGCAACATTGTGGTGCATATACAAAGCGAAACACAAGATTACTGATGCTCCATTAAATTCCAGTCAGTACTCTAAATGTACTCTTAAGATTTTCCAGTACTCCTATATTGATAAAATAAGGAGTACGTACTCCTGGTGTTCAAAAATTATCTGGAGCCCTGTATATAGAAGTGTCACTGACCCATAAAATGCCCATGATGGGTGGACGAAGGATCCGATCTTAAAGAGTGGGTGTGAGGGTGAGTAGGTGCTTTCCTCTCCCCCACCTCAAATGGATCTGCCAGTACTTGATATGGGAATCTGATTTAAGATAGATTATTTAGTTGCTTCATCACATATATATATAAACCTTTTTGTTTAGATGTTGATTTACATTTTATGCACCATTCTTGTCTATGCATCTTGAAGCAACTGTTTAGATTATCTCAATCCTGATCAGACACATGTTCATATATTTTTTATTTTATTAATTAGTGACATGATTGAGCTGTGTTTGCTGTTGAATCAAGATGGATACTTTCATGTTTCTAGCTGAACAGACATGTCACAATTATATGTTTTCTGTCAGAGATGAAAATGTTTATGATTGGAAATGACAATATTATCAAAAACAATCCAAGAAAGGAAATCTGTGGGTATTAGGTTCTGATGAGGGACCAGAATTGCCTCCCTTGGGCACCTAAGTCTGTGGGTTTGGAATCACAATTCATCACAATTATGTTTCTAGATTTGTCTGGCCACACCCCATGCTCATGTTTACCAAAATGGTAGACATCTGAGATCTTCTTCACTTTGGGCTTTCCTCACACTTTAAACTAACAAGCTGTGATATGACTGGAAATTTGGAATGCTGTTTTTACTCTCACTCTGATACAGCTTGGATATTGTCGACCAGGTGATAAAACAACATGGAAACTATGTGGTTCATCTTTCCATGGCATTAAAACAATGGTTGACAGTTTGTTCAGCAGAATGTTATTGTTTATGATAGATGTGTGCTTTAGTTCAGTGTTGTAGTCTTTTCTTAGATGTGTAAGCCCTTCAAGCCTGTGCAACATTTCACAAGGACACCCACCTTGCTCAGTCAGTACATGGATACACTGTTCATTATCTGTGTTTAGTTTTGGCAAATAATTGTTCTGTGAGCACAGCATTTGTCTTATATTTACTTGATTTAACGACTCACTAATGTGGAATAGTAAACTATATAATACAGCGGTGAAAAAACAGCAACACTGATAAATGTGCGAAGAAAATTGCCAATGGAAAAAATTCACTCTTTTTCCTTTAACATTCTTCCAATCAAAAATCTTTTATGAGAAAATTTAACTGGCACTTCTTAAAAAAGAAGCCCTATTCATTCTTCAACCATCTTTATTTCATTTTTGCTAAATAGAATATCAAATACATTTAAATTAAGAATTGAAGAGCAAGTGGTGTCCTTTGTCAGCACTGCCCTGTATTGGAGTGTGATCTCCTTTCACCATTGTTCAGGCAAAGACAATGTTGGAAGGTGAAATACTCCAACACAGGGTGTAGAGCCTGATATGTCATACCCATAGCTGTTTAGTCTCTAAAACATTAGTGTGCTTCCTGCACGTTACGAGGTATGTTTGTTATTCTAGTACGACAAGCTGGCAAAGCTTGTCAGGGACTTTGATCCATTCCGCAATTTGTGGATCACTGTGTCCGACTGGCAACGCTGGAATGACAGTTGGAACAACGACCCTCTCACCTCCATCAATGCTGAAGATGTGGAGAAGAATGTGAACGAGGCGTACAAGACCATGCACAAATCAGTGAAGATCTTCCAAGATATTCCAGGTACACATATACTATATATGTCACAACTAATAGTTTCCTTCATTGCCAGTTATCGACTAAACCTTGTTGGCCACATGCCATAGATCTATCTACAATTTTTTATTTCAGGATATATTTATTCAAATGATATAATTTTTGAAGGAATGAGTTCTTTTTATAGTTTTACTATATGTAGAGATTAAGAAAATAGTCTTTAGTCAGTATGCTGCATGAAGGAAAACTAGTTATGTATGTAGTAAAAAATGGTTTTAATTTCAGCGTCACACAAACCAGATTTATATTTTTTGGTGGCTTTCAGATAGTATTATTGGTTTGAAATGAGATTTTATTTTGTTTGTATGCCATTTAATCACATTAAACAACTGATTTTACCACATGGCTGCTCAGACGAGGACCCTGAGAGTAGCAGTGACAGTGACAGTGATGAGCCCAGTCAACTGTCATCTGTCATATTCACTCTGTCGCCACATTGCAAGTTATACATTATCAGTGGCTGTGATATCGTGATTCACGCCCATCTGCTGCCACCAAGGCACGCGTGTGGCTGTCCAACAACACAGCAACAACAACACAACCCCTGTGACATGCACATTCCTCAACACAGCTGATCCCGTAGGATGTCCACAAAACTCATCTACACTTGCCTCTCTTGGACTGCACATCATCTGGAATTAGAGGATGTATCCCAAACTTGATTAACCAGCTTATTACATCTCCGTTCTGTTATGAAAATACCCTGAACCCAGTTGCAACCAAAGCTTTGTTTTGGGTGTATCTTGATTAACATATTGCTAAAAATAGCCATCCAATCAAAATACTGTTCCTTCATGATTGGACCAAAGCTATGTCACTCATTTTTCCTTGTTGCTTGCTTTGTAACTGTTTTCTGATATTCAAATGAATACATCAAGGGTTTGCTCAAGAGGATGTGATTATGAATGTGACAAATTCATGTTAGTATCAGATGTTTGTTGGGTCGATGATTTCAAGATAAAGATGATGGCGTCTCTTTTGAACAAAAACATGGTTTTTGCATAACAAAACTGAGATGTAATACACTCTATAATCAAGGATGATGATATCCATAGTCAGGATGTCTGCTGGTGTTTGTGTTCGCTGAGTTGCTACAACTAGTATTTATTTCTTACAATATATTAGGTTTCTATAGTGAGTTCAAATTAGCTTCGACATGGAAGCTAACTCTCAATACATATGTAAATATAAGTAACACATTGTTATATTTGGTGTCACACTTTCTCAGTGAAGGACAGATTCTAGTACCTTTTGGGTTGATTCACATCCGGGATTCAAACCCACACTCTTGGAATTAGGAACCTAATCGCCAGCCAGAAAGTCAGCAATCTAACCCACTCAGCCACCTTAAATGAAAATCTGACATCTGGTAGCCCAGATCAAGTACTTTGTGTAACCCTCTGACAAGCATAAAGTATGTAACTCTTCTCAATACAAATCAGCAGACATCTTTCACTAAATATCGACTGAAACTATAACAAAGAGGGCAATAATTAACATGCTGAAATTGTACAGCTCCTCCATCCCCCAAGGCATGAATATCTGGCTTGTTGGAGTTGGGTGTCATCACTGGTGTTTATCATGATCACACAATACTGACAGCATAAATTGTGAAGTCCCTATGGCCTGTTTCAACTTTCACAATTACTATGTTCTGTTGTGAGCTTTTTCATTTCCACAAGAAAATTAGCCATGGATGTTGTTTTCGCTGACAAGTAAAGAGCAACCATTGCCAGAATTAACCTGATCCTTATTCTTCTTTCAAATAAATTGTCATATTTCAGTGAAGCCCTTCTAGACCCTTGATAATTGTTAGTTCTCCTTCTGTCTCCAAATGTTTCTTCCAAGGACACACTTTTCCATATAATGGTTCACAGATATTTTCTTTCTCATTTGGCATTTAGTTGTGGGGTCTGAGCAGGAGTAAAAACAGTTTTACTTCTGTTTGAGGGAAGCTTCCATTCTCTTCAGTAGTTGTTGGCAGTGATCATAGATATTGTGAATTTGATCAATTAATAATCACAACTTCAACTATTTTACTGTTACAGTCTCTCCTATTTGTGCCATCCATCACATACAACAATCAGGCAAAATGAAAATTGAACTATTTTTAAAATTTTCTTTCTGATAGTGAGTACCTCTGGTCAATCCATGAACCAAAATATTAGAAAAGTGTTGCCTAGCTATCGTCTAACATCCACACAGGTCCAGCTTGCTATGGCTCTCACCAGCCTACCCATTATTGAATATTGTATGGGAGATAGTCAAGGGAGAATGTTTTGTGGAACTATCCTGCAACTCATCCTCTCAGTTGTCTCCATGACCCTCCTTCCATCAACCACCTCAACCGTCCTTCCATCAACCACCCCAACCTTCCTTCCATCAACCACCCCAACCATCCTTCCATCAACCACCCCAACCATCCTTCCATCAACCACCCCAACCCTCCTTCCATCAACCACCCCAACCGTCCTTCCATCAACCACCCCAACCATCCTTCCATCAACCACCCCCAACTCCCAACCATCCTCCAACCATCCTTCCATCAACCACCCCAACCATCCTTTCCATCAACCCTCCCCACCCATCCTTCCATCAACCACCCCAACCATCCTTCTTCCATCAACCACCCCAACCATCCCAACCATCCTTCCATCAACCACCCCAACCGTCCTTCCATCAACCATTCCATCAACCACCACCCTAACCATCCTTCCATCAACCACCCACCCTCCCTTCCATCAACCACCCCAACCATCCTTCCATCAACCACCCCAACCCATCCTTCCATCAACCACCCAACCATCCTTCCATCAACCACCCCTTCCATCCATCAACCACCCCAACCATCCTTCCATCAACCACCCCAACCATCCTTCCATCAACCACCCCAACCATCCTCCTTCCATCAACCACCCCAACCATCCTTCCATCAACCACCCCAACCATCCTTCCATCAACCACCCCAACCATCCTTCCATCAACCACCCCAACCATCCTTCCATCAACCACCCCAACCATCCTTCCATCAACCACCATCCTTCCATCAACCACCTAACCATCCTTCCATCAACCACCCCAACCATCCTTTCCATCAACCACCCCAACCATCCTTCCATCAACCACCCTAACCATCCTTCCATCAACCACCCCAACCATCCTTCCATCAACCACCCCAACCATCCTTCCATCAATCCCTAAATCATCCTTCCATCAACCACCCTAAACCGTCCTTCCATCAACCACCCCAACCATCCTTCCATCAACCACCCCAACCATCCTTCCATCAACCACCCCAACCATCCTTCCATCAACCACCCCAACCGTCCTTCCATCAACCACCCCAACCGTCCTTCCATCAACCACCCCAACCGTCCTTCCATCAACCACCCTGCTTACAGTGTGTGGGTGTATGTGTGATATCATGGTCATTTTGTGAATAGGTCATTGATATCAATGTCATCTCTCATTTCTCAATTACCAATGGAGTTAAACTTTTTTGTAAAAAGAGGACCATGGCAAACTTGCTTCATAAAAGTATTCTACTCATCTAAAGACATTATTTTGTCATGTAATGATGTTTTAAGAACAATGATGACCTTCACCTGGCTTAGTGTCAAACCTTGACCTTCACCTTGACATTGACATTGTAGAAGCATCCTGATGCTCAGGTTTTTCCAATGACCTTCAGCTTTTATTTATGCTCCCAAGTGAATCACAGAAAAGGGTTACATGGATCAGGCCTGCAGATTAAAATGACCATGATATTACTTTTGTGTTTGTGTTTGTAAATCATTGATTGAATTTGTTTAAATGTGATAAAATTTAGAGTTGATACTTTCATGAGTTCATTTGTGAAACATTTTACTTGAAATTTTAAACAGTGAAGAAGTTTCCCCATGTAAGGGGTGAGTGGTCGCCAACACAAAGCCTGTGTTTTCACCTAGAGAATTAGCATACTGAATGATCTTGTGTAAACTAACTGTGACATGGGAGGTAGACTGTAGCCTGCATATAGATATGTACCCTGTATAGCAGGGATTACAGGAGATGGGATTCATTGATTGGAATGTGGTTCGGAGAGAAGTCATTAGTTTAGAAGTGATGTAGTGTCTTGGAACATTTTTAGAGATACTGGTATGCTGGTAATTTGCATTTTGGACTAATACTGTCTTGTCCAGCATGTGTTTGTATGTTACTTGTTTGTCTCAAGATAGCTCCAGTGTTTGCGCCAAAGACCCGGGTTCAAATCCCCACATGGGTACAATGTGCGAAGCCCATTTCAGGTGTCCCCTGCCATGATGTTGCTGAAATATTGCTAAAAATGGCTTAAAACTAAACTCAGTCAGTCAGTCCAGTGTTTGGGTGGCCCAGCAGTCCAGGGTACACCAACTACAGAGTAGCTCCCTTAGCTGAAAGGATCTGGAGGTTGAAATCTAGATTCAGTGAGTGAGTGAGTTTAGTTTTATGCCACACTCAGCAATATCCCAGCTGTATGGAGGCGGTCAGTAAATAATCGAGTCTGGACCAGACAGTCCAGTGATCAACAGCATGAGCATCAATCTGGGAACCGATGACATGTGTCAACCAAGTCAGCGAACCTGACCACCTGAATCCGCTTAGTCGCCTCTTATGACAAGCATGGGTTACTGAAGGCTCATTCTAACCCGGACCTTCACGGGTTCTAGATTCAGACTGATTACAAATATTGTCCAGTTTGCACCATACCTATGCTTGTGGGTTTCACCAGTGGAAATTTCTGTGATGAGAGTCAACACACTGTGATGAAACTGAAACCCTGTTCATCCATGTACAGATATGTAGTATAGTACCAGGATCTGCAGGCAGGGAGTTCTAATCCCAGACTCATCCTTGGTGTAGCAGCACCATATCCATGGATTTCACCAAACTTAAGCTAATACACCTTGGTCCTCTGTTGAAAGTCATTCCAGGGTATATATATGTATATAACCTCTCTCCCTTTGACAGGTATACTAAGATAGAGAATCTTTTCTAGGCCAATAACTTCCAAACATTTGGGATACCAAATGTTAGTAATATCCCTATGAAAAGTTGAGTAGTATATTTATCCAGTGCAGAAGACTGTCACTCTTCTTGCTTCCATACATGTTTTTCACAGGAAGCCCAGTGTGTTTGCTATAGTAAATGGCTACATACCAGACATCACTGTGTGTATATGTGTATGTGTGTGTGTGTGTGTGTATGTGTGTGTTTACTGGGCTCTGTTTGTCTGCTTGTTTGTTGTTTAATTGTGCTATGTGTACATGTTGTTCTGCAATCCGTGGTATCTTTATTCACACAGTGTTCATGTTACTTGTCAAACCAAACCTGTAAAAATATTTGTCAAATTTGTGTTTAGGAATTCTTGTTTTCTAAAATTTGTCCTTACTAAAATGCTTTGATTAACAGTTCTGTATATATAGAAATGTAAATATTGCAAAATTATTCATAAATACAGTATAATATGAAGTTAACAATAGCATGATATTGGCTTTGTAAAAATGTAGAGATTCCTGTTGGGAAAAAGTATGAGAACTGTTTATTTCATTTTAACTTACATCGATATGTTGAAATTATTTACATTTACTTTTTACATTTTGCTATAGAAGGTAATTATCTCATTTCTTCCTCTGAACTTCTTGAGCCTGTGTCATTCTTATCACACTGTTGTCTCTGATTTTTCATCTTTCAACTGATATAAGTTCCATGAAGGAAACGGTCCGGTGTCTAGTACATGCTTGCCATGCGGTGAAGCATGTGCTCAACCTGGAGCTAGAGCACTGAGCACTCTACAGACCTGTGGCTATCTCCCTTCAGGTGTCATTCAAGGCCTGCGTAACTGGCATGAGGAAAAGCACATCGAGGAGGTTCTACATCAATACAGTCTCATCCTCCTTACAGCTATGAAAATGTTCATTGCTTCCCTTAAGATGAACTCCGACCACCTCCGTGGTGTAGTGGTTAGGCCCTGGCATGAGGAACAGACATCCCCAAACCGCGGATACAGGTACTTCTTGGTCATCAATAGTCTCAACAACTGGTCGTCAGTATATACTCCTGCTTCACTGCGGCTTGGTACAAATACAAAAAGTCTGGGCTAGTCAAGAGTTGCTTCCATACACACGCATTATGTCAGATGAACTCTTAAAACCCATTTGTCCTGATAATGATTCTTGGCACCATATCTGTAATGGGTTTTACCAAAGTTGTAAAAGTCTATCAGTGGCATTACTTGGGGCTTTTTTCACATATTAAGCTGACCATCCATCTGGTAACTGAAATGGGACGACAAGCAGCCTCAATCACAACTCACAGATGGGTTGCCATGACTTTATATGGCTGACCATAAACATTTTGCTTGATGTTTTCAGTATAGCAACTGACATAATTATGTCATACTTGTTGCCTTTGAACTCATTCTGTATGTAACAGTTCAGTGTTTCTGATATCAGTGTGTACCAAAGTAGAAAGAACCCTCTTCATCCAAGTTTTCATGATATTTTATTTTGTCTTAATACTGCCCATTCAAAACATCAATTAGTGGTCATTTGAAACTATTCCTCTTTTCTGAAGCCTTTTATTCTGTTTTCATTCTTGCCATTATTATTTCAGTTGTCTACCGACCTTGGTTTCCCAATCCGACCCAAAGCCAACCTGACCTTCAAGAAGTGCCTGGAAATGAACCTACAGGACCACATCCAGGTCATTGCCAAGGTGGCAGAGGTTGCCGGCAAGGAGTACTCCATTGAACAGGTGTGTCTTCTTATCCCTAAGAGAGCCTGGTGTAGCTGTGTGGTTATAGCATTTGCTCATTATGACAAGGGTCGGTGGGGTAGCCTAATGGTTAAAGCGCTGGCTCGTCATGCCGAAGACCCGGGTTTGAATCCCCACATGGACACAATTTGAAGCCAATTTCTGCTGTTCTTTTTGTGATTTTGCTTGAATAATGCTGAAACTATGTAATACAAGCATTGTTTGCTCTTTGAAATAACTGATGGGAGTCAATATAATACTGTTTGAATTGCATCAGTTACTTGTTTAATTCTTTGAACATGGAGGATTTAGCAGATTTTGAGATACCTGTTATATATACTGACATGTTGCTCCCTAGGCTCTGGACAAGATGGAGAAGGAGTGGGACCCTGTCATGTTTGAGATCATTCAGTACAAAGAGACGGGCACCTTCATCCTGAAGAGTTCTGAAGAAACATCCCAGCTCCTTGATGACCACATCGTGATGACACAGAGCATGTCCTTCTCACCCTACAAGAAACCCTTCGAGGACCGCATCAACAGCTGGGAGAACAAGCTCCGGACAACACAGGTACAGCTGCAGCTGTGTCACACACTATCTTCCAGATTAACCCTTCATTTTGAGATTTTGAATAATGAATGGATTTGATGATGGTAGTTCTAGAGAAAAGCCAGATGGAAACTTGTACGTACATGTGTTTTACAGAAGTGAAAGAGCTTTGTTTGATAATGTTGTGAACACATCCGATATCTACCTCTCACATGCCGTCTTGAATTATTTTGTTGACGGGAAGCATTTTTCGAAACATGAACAAGATTAGTAATCTGAACTCCTTGTGTTTCCGTATCATCATGTATATCGTCTTGGGATTTTGTGAGTGCATGCATGTTCTCAATGAACTTTTCAGTGAACAGACATATCTGTTAGTTCCTCTATTACCTACAATTGTTGTTCAAGATATAGTCAAGCCATATCATTGAACAACCCATTGAATATTTGTACCTTGGTTGTGTTTAACTTACTAACTCCCATGCTCCTGGCTCCAGGATGTGCTGGACGAATGGCTCCAGTGCCAGCGGGCATGGCTGTATCTGGAGCCCATCTTCAGCTCCGAGGACATCAATCGGCAGCTGCCCGTGGAGAGTAAGCGGTACCAGACCATGGAGAGGATGTGGAGGAAGATCATGAAGAATGCCAAGGAGAACCCACAGGTGAGAGGCCTCATAATGGAGGGTTTGCGCAATGATCATTGCATCTGCTTATCATGCATCTAAATTCTGAGATGTCATCGCATGTACATGGCATAAGGTATCATTAATTCATGCTCTCCCCTTTTCACTGAATTATTGTTTGTAGAAGCCTAAATCCCTTTTCACTTACACAACTGTTTCTACTGATTTTTTGTACTCTTCTAGCATGACAAATGTCTTTTACCAGGTGATCTCCCCTGTGCCCTGACAACCGTCTCCTTGACAACCTGCGTGAGTCCAACAAACTGCTTGAGCAGGTTCAGAAAGGACTCAGTGAGTACCTTGAGACCAAGCGAAATGCCTTCCCACGATTCTACTTCCTGTCCGACGATGAACTGTTGGAGATTCTGTCTCAAACCAAGGACCCAACTGCTGTACAGCCTCATCTTCGCAAGTGCTTTGAGAACATCGCCAGGGTAGGCACATATGTGATCTGTTCATGAACCAACAGATAAGACTAACAGGGTCTAAATTTCACTCATACCAAGTCTTTCAAACTCCAGATTTAATGATATACAGACACATATATATAAATGAATTTAAAGACTTTCTGTTGCAATTGACTGGTTAACCAAGCTGTTTGTTTGTGAATCTCAAACCAGAAAGAAATTATTCCAAGCCCACAAACAGACCGATGATTCCTGATTGGCTGATAATAGAATGGGTGTGTCTCTGAACAATGTCACTGATTTCTGATTGGTTCATAATAGGATGGGTTGGCCAGTGAACAACGTCACTGATTTTGTACTGGTGCAACCTGCAGCCTTTAGGTGAATCCAGCTTATACATATCTGACTTTGTCCTTAACTTCAATAATGCAGATGATATATTAGATACGATTTAATGTCTGTATTTCCAACAACAGCTGAAGTTTGAAGATGATCTGAAGATCACTCGGATGTACTCCGGTGAGGGAGAGGATGTGGGATTCCGAGAGAGCATGTATCCTACTGGAAATGTGGAGGACTGGATGTCAGAGATAGAGAGAGTGATGAAGGAAAGTCTCAGGCAGATCATCAAGGATTCATTACAGCACTACAAGGAGGTGAGCATGCAGGAACATAGCCATAGGCCCTGAACCAGCTAAACACTATGTATTTTTCCTTATCCTGACTCATGCTATTTTGCTTGTCTTCTTCTCCTTGCGACCGTTAGTGGAACACTTGAATCTCTTTTTTGAAGCTCCCTTAAAAAAAGCAGACGTAAAATCACTACTCACCAAGAGTTATGTCCCTTCTCAGTTTTGGCGGGAAACGGCGCCACGGCGCCACCCGTCTCCCAGCTCCTCACACTCTCCTTCTTCGCCCTAGTGGATGGTTGGGAGAGCGCCTGGGTGGTTGATGAGTGATGTTAGGATACACAGTTGATACATACAGATTCCCACCTATGTGTCTTTGGATAACAACTGTATCTATATGAGTTAAAATAATCATGGCTTTCTGAATAGATTCAGAGTTTAGTCAAGGAAACTTGATGCATCTGATATCATGATATCAGGGTTGGATTCTATTTATCGTCCAAATTCAGTCTTTCAACTTTTTCAGTTTGTAAACAGTAATATTTTCCCTGTATTTTGATAAGATACCAAGCTGGGTTGTCACATGTACACTAGATCCTCTTTGGAATATCCCTTGAGCTCTACATGAGTGTCAAAAGATTGCACATTCTCTGATGTACGTATGGCAAGATCATCCATCATTGTGAAGCGATCAACTTGAAGTATCATTACTGACCAATCAGATTTGTAGATTTTATTATGATGATGATCTGTGAGATGCATGTATAGAGAACTGATGTTACCCCTGTGTTACAGGTACCTCGAACAGAATGGGTTCTGCAGTGGCCAGGTCAGGTCGTCATCGCAGGCTGTCAGACATACTGGAGTTCGGAGGTGACAGACTCCCTCGAGAAGAACTACCTCAATGATTTGTACCAGACACTGCTTCAGCAACTGGATGACCTCAGGAACCTGGTGAGAACTGACCTCCCAAGATCGGCAGGATGACCCTCTCTGCCCTCATTGTCGTTGAGGTCCATGCCCGAGACGTGGTGGCCAAGATGGTGGAGGCCAATGTCAGCAATGCCAATGACTTTGAATGGATCAGTCAGCTCAGGTTGGTACATCATGGGTCATGACAAAGATTTTTCTGAGGCCTTGATTAAGCCAGCTGTGACAGTCTTTACAGTCAGTGCCAAATTATGAGTCAGCTTGTCCAAGGGGTTACTGGGGGCTCATTTGTCCTAGGTGCAGCAACTCTGTACAAAGTTGTGTCCCTTAGGTGCACCAGAAACCAGTGATCATGGGTTCGAATCCCAGGTTCACCCTTATGATGTTTCTAGGTTCTTCAACACCATACCCATACATGGTCACAGGTTTTAACAAAGTGAAAATATAGCACCTCTACTGCAGTGTATTTTAATTTTGTGTAGCGCCATTAGCAGACACCAAGTGCCTGGAGTTTGGGCACATAACAAATCTACTGTATTATTATTATTATTATTATTAAAGTGGTAAATCACAGGGACCGCCATCACATTCCTCCCACATCAAGCTGATACGCTGATAGACATTGAAAGCAGTATTGTAAACCAAAAGTCACTGTGTTCTTTAATCTGATTGGTTGAAAAACATGATCAAATGGTATTCGATTCCCGGAAATTCGCTGAGCATTAATACATACAAACATCGCTCACACCATTGTATTGTTATTGTTACGTCGTCAGCTGTGATGACGTCATTCAAATCATATTGTGACGTAAAGTCGGAATGACGTCACAAATGAGCAGTTCCAGATGGTACCATGGGATAAAGCCGAAACGGCCGGCTGATGACATTTCACTGCCGTACCCATACTCGATGTCAATGAGTGCAGACACAAAGACGTGTGTGGACCTTTGGTTTACTATTGTGTTTACAATGTCGATAAACATCATGTGTTGGCCAATTTCCGGGTGTTATTGAGTATTTGAAGCACGGGAATATTTCATTTGAAACCTTCGGCTGACACCGTCGGTTCCAAATGAATTCCCATGGCACAGACAGATGGTTGCCATCCTACTTGTCGTATACATTTGGTTCCTTTAGCTTTCACAGATACAGCGGCCCATGAAGATCTGGGGTAGAATAGGTCTTCAGCAACCCACGCTTGCCACAAAAGGCGACTATGCTTGTCGTAAGAGGCGACTAACGGGATCAGGTGGTCAGGCTCGCTGACTTGGTTGACACATGTCATCGGTTCCCAATTGCGCAGATCGATGCTCATGCTGTTGATCACTGGACTGTCTGGTCCAGACTCGATTATTTACAGACCGCCGCCATATAGCTGGAATATTGCTGAGTGCGGCATAAAACTAAACTCACTCACTCACTCACTCACAGATACAGCAACAATGTTAATTATGGGCTAGAAGTAACAAGAATGAATGTTTCAGATACTACTGGCTGGAGGATGAAAACTTGTACACTCGGGCTGTCAACGCTCAGTTCCCCTATGGGTATGAGTACCTGGGAAACACCAGCCGACCGTCATCACACCACTCACTGACAGGTACGTCTACACATCTCTTCAGGGAAGTCTGAGTAAGAATTGGTTCCTAGCAATCTATACATGTAGTGTGAGGTGATTTAAAGGAGTGACCAGGCTGTGTGATTTGACTGCTCATCAACCTATCATTGGTGCTCACAATATCAATCACAGGTTACCTATACACATTGAAATATTGCTGTTTTAAACAACATCTTCACACAGCATACTTCTGTTATAACGCAGCTGTTCTGTTGTCATTTAGTTTGCTTACAGTGAAATCTCTTCCATTTAGAACGAATAGTGATCATAGCACAGATTTTACACTAACACAGCCTATGGGCTAGCTTTTAAGGAAACAGTGATGATGTAGCCTATGGGCTAGTTTTTGTGCTCATCACAGTGATAAATTGGTTTGAATTCCCATTGATACAATATGTAAGGCCCATTCCCTGTGTTCTCCGGCTCTTAAAGCTCACTCACTCAGAAAGGAAAGGTCTGGACAAATCAGTTATGCTAAGTATGGTACAAGAAGCGTTTGCTTTACTGACTGATCTGCTGCAGATGCTACCTGACCTTAACTGGGGCTCTTCATCTCAAGTTTGGTGGAGCTCCTGCTGGCCCAGCCGGGACAGGCAAAACAGAGACAACCAAGGTAAGCACGCTCTGCTCTGTAATTTCATCTTTGGAAACTCAAGGAAAGAACAGGTTTCTAGTGATCATGCTTGTCTCCTGTTTAAATTGTTAGACAGAACAGGTCTGTAATGCTTGTCTCTGGGGACTCTATCCCCAAACCTCGCTGAGTCTGTTGCGGAAAAGTGGATTGTGTATTTAAGGGTGTTTATTTTTGCTTGTTCTGTTTACAACTGGTGCACACTGCCAAATCCTGATTATCTACAGGCTGCCATGATATTGATGACTCACTCAGCATCACCTGACACATTGCATCAATAGTTACTGGGTTTTTATGTTTCCAGTACTGCTTCCAGCTATATAGTTCTATATTGTCTAACCCTGTGTTTCTGTGTAGGATCTGGCCAAGGCTATGGCTATCCAGTGTGTTGTCTTCAACTGCTCCGACCAGCTCGACTTCATGGCTATGGGCAAGTTCTTCAAGGGTCTGGCCAGGTATGTTGAACTGAGTGTGTATATTGCCTTGAATTTGTTCTCACTTGCATATTTTCTGTTAAAGATGTCGTTAAAAGAATGTACAAGGTATGTAAAGACCTTTCCTCAAATGATTACTTGTGATTGACAAATACTACCAATACTCAAATTTGACTTATCCTTCCCCATTCTTAGTTCAATGATCAAGTTCTCTCTGATGGAACATTGTATTCAAGCTTATTGGATTTTAAATGTCTTGTTAGATGATAACATGTTACTTCTGCTGTAGTCAGGATCCTTGTTTGTGATACTTAATGTCATTTGATGACATTAATAAAAACTGAACAGCAACACTGGAGTGCTGATATCAGTTAGCAATCAGTTGGAAGGCTAGTTACAGATTCAGTCCTGAATGGAAGCAAAACCAGGTATGTCCACTTGACAGGTTGAAATGCCGCTCCTGGACTGCGATAGCCATTGATTGGAATACTGCTATCGTGCTCTACTTGTCAGCAGAGCAATGTTTCCTATTATCCACATTGAAACACAACCCTCATCTGTGATTCGTTTAGATGTGAAGTTTTAGGGGACCAACAAGCTGTGAATTTTTGAAGGGGACCAACATGCTGTGAATGTTTTTAGGGTCCTGTGTGTCGTGTTTATACAGTGAATTAGGCATGATGTGCCTGTTTGATGTTCCAGTGCTGGAGCGTGGGCTTGTTTTGATGAGTTTAACCGTATCGACATTGAAGTGTTGTCAGTGGTTGCTATGCAAATCACGACAATCCAGAAAGCCCAACAACAACGGGTGAGAAGACATCCGACATCTCACCCTGTCTTTCTTCCGAGTGTCACTTTACTAACCCCTCAGCAGTTGCCTCCCTTTGCTGCTTGAGCATTTGTCACTTGCTCACAGTTTACCCTGTATATATTGTTGTGTGTATATACATGTATTGTCTTTCTGCGGTGTGGTCTACACAACTCCCAACTGTTGTCGAGTGCTTGCTTTGTCTATCAGCTTTATCCTCAATATTGTGATGGTATATATTGTCCTGGATTTGGGCATCATATTCAGCCTAAGTAGCATCTAACTCATGGAAATTATCATCCCTGTTGTCATGTTGAACACCACACATGACCAGACATTAGGGTCTAGGTGTCTGAGTCTAAAAATGGATGCCAGATTGTGGTGCAGTCCTCCTTTAAGAAGCATTGCAAGACACAGGCCTTTGTCTCTAGGTCAAAATTACAGATTTTAAATTTACATATGGAAACCAAGGAATCTGGTAAATGATATGTTTCATCCCTGACTGAAAGATATTGCCAGGAGTCAGATGCTACTTGAGCTGATGATGAAGTCTTTTGCTGACAGTTGTAACTCCATTGCCTTTACATGGACTTGCAACGGTCTTAGTGCTAACATCTCTTTGTTCAAGTGGGCCCAGTTCCCATTACCCAGGCTTTCAGGCATAAACAAGCAAATGTCTTACATTGTGAACAGCATGTTGATGAACCAAGGCGAGACTTTTCTTTTCATTGGTTTAGTGATTCTACTGGCTAGAAATATAGGAACAGTGGAAAATACTAGATCCATAAGAATGCAAAAATACATGATCTCTCTCCAAATATAAGACACAATATATTACCCTGCAAATATAAGACACAAGATATAACACATGATCTCTCCAAATATAAGCAATATACACCCTGCAACACATGATCTCTCCAAATCACACACAATATATCAGACTGTGTCCATTATAAGGTTATGACTCACCAGTCCATGGATTCCAGATTGTGATGTTGTCTCCAGTGAATTTGGAAACTCACTTTCACTTTCAAAACAATATCCATGAACCAGGAAACTAAAAAGTCTGACAAAATTATGTCTGCGGTTTTGGTGTTGAACTGCAGATTTTAGGGTTCTGATGGGTACCTGGGTGTTCTAGCATGGTTTATGTTTATATGAACTTAAATCCTACATCATGGACTCCATTAGGAAACAGCAAGGGGAGATAACTCATGATCACTCTAAACCTGGGTGTTCTAGCATGGTTTGTTTATATGAATTTAAATCCTACATCATGGACTCCATTAGGAAACAGCAAGGGGAGATAACTCATGATCACTCTAAACCTGGGTGTTCTAGCATGGTTTATGTTTATATGAACTTAAATCCTACATCATGGACTCCATTAAGAAACAGCAAGGGGAGATAACTCATGATCACTCTAAACCTGGATATTCTAGCATGGTTTATGTTTATATGAATTTAAATCCTACATCATGGACTCCATTAGGAAACTGCAAGGGGAGATAACTCATGATCACTCTAAACCTGGGTGTTCTAGCATGGTTTATGTTTGTATGAATTTAAATCCTACATCATGGACTCCATTAGGAAACAGCAAGGGGAGATAACTCATGATCACTCTAAATCTCATCCTGCTGACATGGAATAGAAACAATACACTGTCTGAATGCATTTTGACTTAGATGAAGAAACCCAAACAAATTGTCAACTGTGTGGTATGTTACTGTTGAAATCTTATATGTAAGTCAAGTTTGGATAAATTAGACTGCACGTTGCTACCCGTCAGGACCCTATACGACAGCTTGTTTGTGCCTGACTGTCTGTGTGCTCTCCCTAACCCCATGTGCCTCTCTCTTGTCTCCTCACTCAGCTCGGGGGCATGGGCCTGCTTTGATGAGTTTAACCGTATCGATATAGAAGTGTTGTCAGTGGTAGCTATGCAGATTATGACAATCACACGAGCACAGCTTCAGAAGGTAATGTATATATACCAGTACTCACACCTTATATGTGACTAAATCACACATTGTTGTGACAATTTACAGTTTTTCAAATATAAATATTATCTAGATGATGTCTTCAAAGAGCTTTTGTATCCTTTGAAATGTTTTGTTTGTGAAGCACCTCCTTTAGCACCTATCACTAATGTGACCCCTGATATTTGTCACCTGTCGCATGTGTATGTTCATTAACATTCTCATTATCCATATGTGCACAGTTTTCAGTTTGGTACCATTCATTGATTATGTATAATCTTTTTAATGTCAGATTTGTATTGTTTTATTTGTCTTATTTACATCGGACATCTTATTTTGGGTTCTACAGATCAACTGTGTAAATTTTGGGCAAACAGAATGAACATGCTCTGATTAGCAGAAATTATCTCTTTTATTAAATATCTATATTTTTTAGTGATTGTTAAGCCCTTCATTTTTGTATTTGAATATTTTTCTCAAGTCAACCCTTACATTTTTCAATTTTCTTAGTTTGCTTCTTGCATACTGCACAAGAAATACTCTCAAAACAGAAATTGATTCGCTTTGGGCTTTATTTGATTACAGTTCATGTAAATATATTTAAAGATTTAATCTTTCTATTCTGAGAATATTTATCAACAACTGATTATAACAGAGAGCGAGACTAGTGAAGGCTGTGTTTGCTGTGGTCCTGTGCTGACCCTCTATGTGCTTTTTTTTCACCCAGTTGGACAGGTTCATCTTTGAAGGTGTCGAGCTGGCACTGAAGGCGTCCTGCGCTGTCTTCATCACAATGAACCCCGGCTACGCTGGCAGGACAGAGCTGCCTGACAACCTCAAGGTAAAGAGGAACAATTTTTATGGACAACTTCTTTATTGCAATAGATCCAACATTTCGGTGTAGATGCTAGCACTGTTATCAAGCAAGTGATGATAGTTTGCCAAATGATCATAGTTACCTTTACATCATGCTCCATTACCTTGCACATATCTTATACTGATAATCGGTCCAGTGAAGAAGGTGTCAAGGTTTCGATAAATATCCAAATGAGGCCACTTTCAAGCAACTACTTTTGATAAGTATAAATCCATATGTATAATGTCCATTGCTCAATAAACCATTTCCTATATTCCCCATACCTTCCGGTGGTGTATTTCTGTACAACAGCGTGACTGCTGATTATTTGGCAGTTCAAGTGAGACTTCACTAGCATTGTATTCAAGGTCAAACAGTCATGCATGATTGTGAAAATAATGTCGCATACTTGGCCATTTCATGACAAATGCAGATTGTAGTATGCTTTAGGTTGATATTAATCTATTGGGGGAGATTACAGGAATATGTAACTCAGAGATATTGGCATCAATATTTAAAGTGGGCAGAAACACTTCCACAGGAATATTGATGCAGCAGTTTGATTCTATGTGTAGCAGAAATTCTGCAGTTCAGCAGTAACCTATATCCCATTACTCTTATCCAGGCGCTGTTCCGGCCAGTAGCTATGATGGTGCCGGACTATGCCCTCATTGCCGAGATCTCTCTCTTCTCCTTCGGGTTCTCGGATGCCAGGAACCTGTCCAAGAAGATTGTCACCACATTCAAGCTGTCATCCGAGCAGCTCAGCTCTCAGGTATACATGACACCCCAGCTGATATGCAGTGTTGTCTTGTTGTTTCAAGATGAAGACACCCCACTGAATCACTCCAACCCATCCACTATCTCCCACTTTACCATTAGCAAATGACTGGTCCCTAATCCAACAGAATTTTATTTATATTTGGTTAAAATTGCCCTGATGTCACCACATTGTCCTAGTGCATTTTACTAAAGTGGTAAATGTCACAAAGCAACATCACTTCCATTCTCTTCCCACAGAGGTTACTTGTCATATCTTCCTACGATCTTCTGTTCTAATACGGCCATATTTCTCGGTTCTCGCAAAATCCCCTAGCGGCAAAAAAACGCAACACGAATTATCTCCCTTCTTTCTATCCAATCAGAACATGTGTTACATCGACTTCGATCCAACCTGACTAATACAAGCAAATGTGGGGCCACAAATATCCCTCCTCTGCCGGGGACTTGTGTTGATGAGACACACAAGACATTTAATGGCTAGCTTGTCCGTTGTCAACGAGGGCGATGGAGACACCATTGATCCGCCATAACATGACTGAGTTCTGTCTAGAAGAAACGTTTGCGCATCGCACAGGGGAAGAGGTTCTAGTTTTCCCGAAGCATACGGAAATTACCGAGGCCTTGCGAATGATCACTTTTGAAACAATGTCGCTGATTGCACAACTAAATCTGATTGCAACCAATCACGAATCCTGAACACTCGCACCATGAAAGAGCCGTATTAGAACAGAGGTTCGTAGGAAGATATGACAAGTAACCTCTGTTGGAAGAGAATGCTTCACTTCAGGTGTTCCTCTTTCATTATTATCTGACAAAGTGTCATTACACCAAACTTACTTATCAACAGGTAACCGAAATACTGTTCTGTCAAGTGAATTTCCTTTCTTTTAATTTAATGTTATGTTTCTTCATGTTTGTATTCCTAGGATCACTACGACTTCGGTATGCGTGCTGTGAAGAGTGTCATCTCAGCTGCAGGAAACCTGAAGCGACAACACCCAGACATGGACGAGGTGAGTAATGGTAGTCTGTACAACAGTCATTTAAACCTCCGACCCATGAAGACCTGGGTTAGAAGAGATCTTCAGCAGCCCAATGAGATGACCATGCCTGTTGGAAGTGATGCACTGCCTGTTGGAGCTAATGGGATAGTTTGGTCAGGCTGCAGACTAGGGCTGGGACGGGTAACCCGGGTGGGTAATGAGTTGGACCCGTCTTAATACCTGGACCCATTATGATCATGTGACTAATAGATTAAACAATGTAATATGTTATTCTTTCATGATTAAAAGGTTGTATTGTCTTTGAAGATTTAGACATAATTACAGTCACTTCTTTTGAATATAATGCATGGTTAAGATTTTGAAAAACTCAAAATGTTAGCCTCCACACTGAAGAATATATTGCCATTTCTTACCAATTTGATGTCAGGAATTAACATAACAGGTATCCGGGTAGGGTAGGGTAATAGGGGGTGGGGTACCCGGGTAGAAAATTCGGACCCGTCCCAGCCCTACTGCAGACTTGGTTCGTGCATGTCATATCCATGTTGATCAGCACTCATTTCAGTCACTGTATTGTTGTTTTTCTGAATGATCAGAGACTACATGCACCAGTATCACCATGGCCATTGCCTAATGATCAGGTATCTATCAGTGGGGATTTTTATAGAGACATCCAATGTATATTTCAGGAATTGATTGCTTTACGTGCCATCAGGGACGTCAATGTACCCAAGTTCCTGATAGACGATCTCAAACTCTTCTCCGGTATCGTGTCTGATCTTTTCCCCAACATCAAGTAAGTCTCAACATTTTTAGTGTTAACTCTTAGACAGTTCTTATCAATAGCTGTAATATTTTGTTACCAATGCTATGACTGAGAATCAGGAAATGTATTGTAATTCAATTATTAGAATAAATGTTCAAATGTTTATGCTTTTTTTTAAAATGTGTAAATTTCTTTCCCCATTATTTCATAAAGAAACGTAATCCCTATTACGCTGTATGAGTAAGTACAAGATGGTATTTGTTGATAAGCATGTTGAATACATCACCATATTAGCTCACCATCACATGTTGAATGTTTGAATAAGTACAAGATGGTATTTGTTGATAAGCATGTTGAGTACATCACCATATTAGCTCACCATCACATGTTGAATGTATGAATAAGTACAAGATGGTATTAGTTGATAAACATGATGAATACATCACCATATTAGCTCACCATCACATGTTCACATGTCACATGTTGAATGTATGAATAAATACAAGATAGTTCTAGTTGATAAGCATGATGAATACATCACTAGGCCCAGTATTAGCTCACCATCACATGTTGAATGTTTGAATAAGTACAAGATGGCATTTGTTGATAAGCATGTTGAATACATCACCATATTAGCTCACCATCACATGTTGAATGTTTGAATAAGTACAAGATGGTATTGGTTGATAAACATGATGAATACATCACCATATTAGCTCACCATCACATGTTCACATTCACATGTGAATGTATGAATAAATACAAGATAGTTCTAGTTGATAAGCATGATGAATACATCACTAGGCCCAGTATTAGCTCACCATCACATGTTGAATGTTTGAATAAGTACAAGATGGCATTTGTTGATAAGCATGTTGAATACATCACCATATTAGCTCACCATCACATGTTGAATGTTTGAATAAGTACAAGATGGTATTGGTTGATAAACATGATGAAGACATCACCATATTAGCTCACCATCACATGTTCACATGTGAATGTATGAATAAATACAAGATAGTTCTAGTTGATAAGCATGATGAATACATCACTTGGCCCAGTATTAGCTCACCATTACATTTAGAATGTATAAACAAGTACAAGATGGTATTAGTTGATGAGCATGAGGAATACATCACCATATTAGCTCACCATCACATGTCACATTTGGAATGTGTGAATAAATACAAGATAGTTCTAGTTGATAAGCATGATGAATGCATCACAAGGCCCTGTGTTAATGGCCCACATTTTGAAAAATATCACAGTTTGGTAGATCACAGCATAAAAGAATGAGAATCCTGTGTGGACACTGGTTTTATGAACGAGTAGACTGACTGACTGACTGAGTTTAGTTTTACGCCGCTTTTAGCAATATTCCAGCAAAATCACGGCGGGTGACACCGGGATGGGGTTCACACATTGTACCCATGTGGGGATTCGAACCCGGGTCTTCGGCGTGACGAGCCAACGCTTTAACCACTAGGCTACCCCACGGCCCCTATGAATGAGTAGAAGAAACATTAATGTTGAAACACCTTAATGCTGTTAGATACATTGCTGTAAGAAATACATTTCAGTCTACAGAACATATCTGTAAAGTAGCATCTCCGTAATTCTGCGTCTATTTAATCCAGCATTTAATGTGGGTAGAATATGATTGTTATCTTGCTCTTTAAAGTACCATCTTTTTATCCAAGCACATATGTGTTTTCATTTTTCTAGATTTACTACTAATCCCTGTAACAATTTACTGTTTGCCATGACCCTCAAACAGAGAGCTAGACAGATTTGTCTCAGATGTGGCTGACTGAGTGTTATTTTGTGCTACAGGGATGAGTCTATAGACTATGGAGCTCTAGATACATCACTGAGGAAGAGCTGCAGCAAACTCTCCATCAAGGATGTTGATGGTGAGCACCTATACTTCCTTGTCACACAATGGCTTGTCTATTCAATATGCTGAAACAATCCATAAACTTAGTATCTTGATCCAATACATATGCAGATGAGTTCACCTGGGAGGAACTACTTTCATGCTCAGTATAAACGTTTGATGCCTTCTATATAGATAAACCATTGACAAAATAATGTTCCTGATTTGCCTCAATAAGGGTTGCCAACTGTGTCACCAAATCAAGGCTACACTGAAATTTGTTAAGATTACCATGGTAAAAATAGACAATAAAAAGGGAAAAAAATGTTAAACATTTAATGGATCAGCCTGGTTCATGTTTGTCGTTGGGTTAATTAATTGTGGATCTAAATCATGATGTCAATATATTATCATTGACAACTGATTAAGCATATAAATACAAAACTTTCCATTGTTTGACAACCCTATCTTGTCCTGCAGGCTTCATCAAGAAGTGTATTCAGCTGTACGAGACCACGGTGGTGCGGCATGGTCTCATGTTGGTGGGGCCCACAGCGTCTGGCAAAACAAAGGTACTGGCACTCATGCAATCCATCTCTCCTAGAACTACAGCATGCCAAGAGTATATGTCAGAATAAGGAAGTCAATTAGCTGGGTTGTCTAATGAAGGTGTTGTTTTAGAAGTAACAATTGCTTCCCTTGTAATCTTCAGTTTTCAAATGTCACACAATAAACAGGAACGAGACATGTTAATTCAAAGTCTGTCCTAACCAATTCTACTTAATTCACTTTTTAAGGTATGTGAGCATTTTTACTATGTAGACAAGGTTAATGAAAGTGTAGTTACATGGATAGATTATAATTATTTTTAATGAGCCATCTGAATATCAGAAAAGCCTTTCACATGCTGAAAATGAATGCTGATCGTTATTATGCCTTGCTGCCAAGTTATTTCATTTGATCAACGTATGATATGGTGAATCGCTGTTTATGTTACAGTGCTATGAGACTCTCCAGAAGGCAATGACCTCACTGAAAGGGGAGATGTCGCCAGCAGGGGTGGAGTTTGAGCATGTCCACACCTATATCCTCAACCCTAAGTCCATCACCATGGGGCAGTTGTATGGAGAGTTTGACATCCTCACTCATGAATGGTGGGTTACCAGGCAGTATTGTTGTCAGCATGATGTTGATGAGAGTTACTGGCAGGTGAAAGTTAGGCCCTAGCCCTAATAGTTTATTCTGATGAATGTCTCTGATCATCATACTTCCTGATCCAGGGAAGTCCCGGAAGCCCCTGCTTCCAGACAGTTATCATTCAGAATTCCAACTTTCGGACACTTTTTGTTCAGAGCATTAATTTGCAAACAATTATTATTTAGAATGTCTAAATCCAGACAATTTTTGGCGTGAACATTCCTCCTTGGTTGTGCTAGCCATTTCCTCCTCCACTTCATGGTGTATTACAGACTATGCTTAGAAAGAAAGCCTCCTTAATAAAGTTTGAAATCAGGGGGAGGTAATTACCCTGGTGATATCCCAAAGAGAAGTAGCAGTTATGTCCCCTGATGCACTCTGTTGAACTCCACCATATTTCCAGACAATTATTATTCGTAATGTCCAAATGTAGACACAGCATGTCTACTTAGACAGTTATTGTTGTTTCATAGGCATTTCTGAAAAGTTGGACCAAAAAAAAACGTTAAAATATGGTACTTGTTGGTCCCTGCCTGGCGCTCGGCATTAATGGGTACAACAAGGACTGGTCGGCTTGGAGTCAGTATAATGTGTCTGAGTGGGGTATTCATGCTTCACTGCGGCATGGTATCTCAGTGGGCTAGCACTATAAAGCCAGCTTAAGTCTGGGCTAGTACAAGCAGCCGCACATACACATACACACGCATGCATGTCGTCATATGAGCGAAATATTCTCAAGCACGTCGTAAAACCCAATTTCACCTCACCTCTGAAAAGTTGACGAATGACAAAGAGGACACAATCTGTGGATAACATCTACTGCTAGGACGGTGATGTTTCAGTCTGGATCCTTATGCTATTACTGGCTTAATATGATTCAATTGTGTTTGTGTTTTCAGGACTGATGGCATCCTGTCCTCACTCATACGAAACAGTGCAGCAGCTACTGATACAGACCTCCGCTGGTTTCTGTTCGACGGCCCTGTGGATGCCGTGTGGATTGAAAACATGAACACTGTGCTGGATGACAACAAGAAGCTGTGTCTCAGCAGCGGAGAGATCATCAAACTGTCAGATGTAGGTCACATGATGGACCAGTTTGTGTATTTCTCAGTCCACAGGGTACAGTGGGACGGGGGCACTGCAGACCCAGGCTCGAGTCCCCACATGGGTACAACGTGTGAAGCCCATTCTGGTGTCCCCCGCCATGATATTGCTGGCATATTGCTAAAAGTGGCGTAAAACTAAAGTCGCTCACCCTCATTGTGTATTCACTGAGAGACTAGACTAATCAGGCAGATAGATATTGTTATCATGATGATTAATTAGGTCAGGAGTGATGTCCGTAGGTTTTCAAAATGATGAATTCTGTACGTTTGTCTGGCAATGTCTATTGGCACTGTACAGAGATGTATTATTTCTTACTCCTATCAACCCCAAATATGTCAAAATTTGTTGTACTGTGCAGGGCATGACGATGATGTTTGAGGTGGCTGACCTGGCTGTTGCCTCCCCCGCTACTGTCAGTCGTTGTGGTATGGTGTACCTTGAACCCAGCTACATCGGCCTCAGCCCCTTCGTGGAGTGCTGGCTGAAGAAACTTCCTGACAACATCTACGACCACAAGGACCATCTTCAGCAGCTCTTTGATGCCTTCATGGAGGTACGACCATGACAGAACAGTGGTGTTTTAGAACATGTGCATAAGATAACAACTATATCAGAGAAAACTTTAGAACCTAGTTGGGCATTCATTCATTCATTCATTCATTCATTCATTCATTCATTCATTCATTCATTCATTCATTCATTCATTCATTCATTCATGTTTCTTCTTTTATCTCTCTTACGGCTCTAAGAAAGAAGAGTTTGTAATGATATTTCTATGATGTTTCAGCCTGCTCTGAAGTTCGTGAGAAACACTGTTAAGGAAATAGTCCCAACTGTCGATGGCAACCTGGTCTTCAGTCTCCTCAAGCTCGTTGAGTGTTTTTTCACTCCCTTCATTCCTAAAGAGGTAACACATTGTTCCATACACCATGCATGGTTGTAAGAGTCGTAGGAGTATCCTGGGTAGCACTGGACATGTCCACCTGATCATATACTATATTGCTTATCGATGTTATGTACAATTTAACTCTGCCACGCAGCTTTTTACCTGAAATATTTCATTATAATGAATGGAAATTGGATCCTGTCAAGAGAATGTTTGAACTCAAATGTTTGTTGTAAAATGGAAAGGCAGTTTAGCTTAAAGGATTCGAAAGTTCATGGCGAAAGAGGGCGAGTTAGGTCTTGCAGATAAATGTGTCTTCTAGACTTGTTGCACAGAGTGAAAACCCTAAAGCACAATATACTAACATGAGTACATCAGTCTGAATCTCTTACTTACATGCATGTTTGTTTAGATGTGATGATGTAGCTGTTATATTTCTAGATGTTGTAATAATTGATTATAAAATACCGTGGTTATTATTTTTCCTAAAGCACAATTTGAATTTAAGGACTGTTCAAAATTACTTTGGGCTGAATTCCTATAGAAAATATTGTTAGGTAGTAGAAAATGTGACATTTAGAAAGTATTTTTTCTATGTCACTGTGAGTGCATACAGCATGTCGTATACATTTGTCAGTCTGTCATTATGAGCAATGCTGTTATTGTATGACACATATTTATTCACAAAGTTTGAATGTGAGGGCATTTGCAGTGTTGTTAAAGCTTGACCGGCTCTGCTCCTCCCTCATCTCCCCCATCCCCCTCCCATACACCCTATTTCCTCACACTTGCTGTTTGTGAGATGACTCCATAGCCGTGTTTCCCCAAATGTTTTCTCGTGAGCCGACCCCCATAACCATATACCCCACCTTGCTTCTTGTGATATGACCCCTAGAGCCCGATTCCCCACCTTGCTTCTTGTGAGACGGCGCCTAGAGCCCAATTCCCCACCTTGCTTCTTGTGAGATGATTCCTAGTGCCCCAATTCCCACCTTGCTTCTTGTGAGACGACCCCTAGAGCCCAATTCCCACCTTGCTTCTTGTGAGACGACCCCTAGAGCCCGATTCCCCACCTTGCTTCTTGTGAGATGATTCCTAGTGCCCCAATTCCCACCTTGCTTCTTGTGAGACGACCCCTAGAGCCCGATTCCCCACCTTGCTTCTTGTGAGATGGCGCCTAGAGCCCAATTCCCCACCTTGCTTCTTGTGAGATGATTCCTAGTGCCCCAATTCCCACCTTGTTTCTTGTGATACGACCCCTAGAGCCCGATTCCCCACCTTGCTTCTTGTGAGACGGCGCCTAGAGTTCAATTCCCCACCTTGCTTCTTGTGAGATGATACCTAGTGCCCCAATTCCCACCTTGTTTCTTGTGAGAAGACCCCTCCCTATAACCCAGCATCCCTAACTTGTTTCTTGTGAGACAACCTCTTGTCCCCCAATTCCCACCTTGTTTCTTGTGAGACAACCTCTTGTCCCCCAATTCCCACCTTGTTTCTTGTGAGACAACCCCTCTAACCCAGCATCCCCAACTTGCTTCTTGTGAGATGAGCCCTAGTGCCCCAATTCCCACCTTGTTTCTTGTAAGAAGACCCCTCCCTATAATCCATCATCCCTAACTTGTTTCTTGTGAGACAACCTCTTGTGCCCCGATTCCCACCTTGTTTCTTGTGAGACAACCCCTCTAACCCAGCATCCCCAACTTGCTTCTTGTGAGATGAGCCCTAGTGCCCAAATTCCCAACTTGTTTCTTGTGAGATGAGCCCTAGTGCCCAAATTCCCACCTTGTTTCTTGTGAGATGACCCCTATAACCCCACTCTGTTTCCTGTCAGACGTCCGGTGAAGGTTGAGGGTCAACCCCATGCAAACTATCCTCTTTTTCTTGTAAGACAGTCCAAGAAAAAATATCTTTCCCTGCTTGTTTTGAGACAACCCCCATCATGCTAAATGCTTTTGTCTACAGGCTAGCCAGAGAAAAGTGGTAAGAGACTGATGTCAAGTCTAGTCTCAATGACTTGATCCTACCCTCTCTTACTCCATCAGTACTTGTACCCAATCTTTGCTTGCAGTGCTTCATATATCATAACCTCACATATAATCAGAGTAATTTAAGATATTGTTTGTTACAAAACATGTCAGTTTCTGTTATTGATTTGTTTTCAAATTGAGAATAATCAGAATTATTATGAAACCTGCTATCTTAAGAACAATTACTTGTAACGGAAAATGTTAAGGGAAAACTTGCCAAAACATTATCTTCTTGGCGGCTAAAAATATGATATGATAGCATGATAGGTTTGATAATATGTATGTAAAGGTGTATAGTGCTTCAAGAGATGGTAGTGGTAATAGACATTATAAACATATTAGAGTTCCTAGGTACAAAGGCAAGACATGTCTTGAGGAACATTTCTTCATCAAGATCTGTAAGATAGTTTCCAGCAGTAGCCCTGCTCCCTAACCATACCTATAGTGCCAGCACCTGGATAATTTAGTACTGGAAAATACCAACTTGCAGGAATTGGTGGAATTGGTTAAATATTTACAAGAACAGAAAGATAACTGAAATGCCAGTGAGTAAATGGTTATATTCTATCAATCTCTCTATATTCTATCTTATTAAATAACGTAATATAGTTCAGTTTCACCTTCGTGTTCCTCGATGCCAGACCAACCATATTTGAAATACAGACATGAAAAGAAAGAGAAATCTTTATTTTTACTCATGAACTATTTCATCTTACTGTGTACTTCCTGGTTTATTTTGACCAAGACAATTCCAGTTCTACTGATTACGTTGCATCTTCCAGTACTATCTGTAGCCAAGTGATTGTTTCATGTCTTCTTTCTCCATCCATTCATCCTTCCTTCTTTCTATCCCTACTACTCTATCACCTCTAGACTGCAATATCCTCTGAGGAGGAGGATGTAATCTTTGTGAGTACCTACAGTTGATCCACAGGACCATGTGTTGTTTCATGTTATACCATGTTGCATCATGTTATTCAATGTTATTCCATGTTATTTCCAAGTTCTATTTTTGGCTGCATTTTAGCTTATTGCTAAACAATACACTGTTTTTAATCAAAACACTTTTGTCTATATTTTCTTTAAGATATAGGAACTATGGCTTAAAAATTGTTTTGTTTCAGAAATTGTGCTTATTATAAATTTCTTTCAGTTCAACTAATTACGCTTGTTTACTTGTTTGTTTTTATTATTATATTCTTAGTTTACTGTTTAGTCCTGATTAGTTTACTTCATTCATGAGTAAAATTCATAATTTGTAAATGGTACCAGTTTCTTACAGTCATATATTACTATAGTTGCTGTGATATTGCTGGAATATTGCTAAAAGTAGCGTAAAACTAAACTCACTTATTTTACTGTATACTGTTATGGTTGAAACTACAAGAATGTGTGGAGGCAATGTGTCTGTGTTTTGTTATCAGAGGCTTTGAGGCAGCTTTTGGATATATTATTCTGATCCTAAATATATATGTTCCTCTGATATACAAGGCATAGCTTATCTGCTATCTGTCTGATCAGATATTGTCTTACCCTGTGCTTGTATGACACATGGAGGTGTATGTTATAGTTTCATGTTGAAATTGTCATGAGTGTTACTGTTATCAAGTTTTCATGAGTGTTACTGTTATCAAGTTGTCATCAGTGTTACTGTTATCAAGTTGTCATCAGTGTTATTGTTATCAGGTTGTCATCAGTGTTACTGTTATCAGGTTGTCATCAGTGTTACTGTTATCAGGTTGTCATCAGTGTTATTGTTATCAAGTTGTCATCAGTGTTACTGTTATCAAGTTGTCATAAGTGTTACTGTTATCAGGTTGTCATCAGTGTTACTGTGTTATCAGGTTGTCATCAGTGTTACTGTTATCAGGTTGTCATCAGTGTTACTGTTATCAGGTTGTCATCAGTGTTACTGTTATCAAGTTGTCATCAGTGTTACTGTTATCAAGTTGTCATCATCAGTGTTACTGTTATCAATTGTCATCAGTGTTACTGTTATCGAGTCACCATCAGTGTTACTGTTATCATGTTGTCATCAGTGTTACTGTTATCAGGTTGTCATCAGTGTTACTGTTATCAAGTTGTCATCAGTGTTACTGTTACTGTTATCAAGTTGTCATCATTGTTACTGTTATCAGGTTGTCATCATTGGTACTGTTATCATATCACCATCAGTGTTACTGTTATCAGGTTGTCATCAGTGTTACTGTTCTCAAGTTGTCATCAGCGTTACTGTTATTAGTTGTCATCAGTGTTAGTGTTATCAAGTTGTCATTACTGTTACTGTTATCAAGTTGTCATCAGTGTTTCTGTTATCAGGTTGTCACCAGTGTAAGTGTTATCAAGTTGTCATAACTGTTACTGTTATCAAGGTTGTCATCAGTGTTACTGTTATCAAGTTGGTATCAGTGTTACTGTTATCAAGTTGGGATCAGTGTTACTGTTATCAAGTCATCAGTGTTACTGTTCTCAAGTTGTCATTGTTATTGTTATCAAGTCCCCATCAGTGTTACTGTTATCAGGTTGTCATCAGTGTTACTGTTCTCAAGTTGTCATCAGTGTTATTGTTATCAAGTCCCCATCAGTGTTACTGTTATGAGGTTGTCATCAGTGTTACTGTTCTCAAGTTGTCATCAGTGTTGTTATCAAGTCCCCATCAGTGTTACTGTTATCAGGTTGTCATCAGTGTTACTGTTATCAAGTTGATATCAGTGTTACTGTTACCAAGTTGTCATAAATGTTACTGTTATCATGTTGTCATCAGTGTTATTGTTATCAAGTTGTCATAAATGTTACTGTTATCATGTTGTCATCAGTGTTACTCTTATCAAGTTATCATTAGTGTTACTGTTATCAAGTTATGTGAAAGCTGTCATCAGTGTTACTTTGTGGAGACTGTTATCAGTTCAAGGTGTCATCAGTGTTACTGTTATCAGTTCAAGGTGTCATCAGTGTTACTTTTTGGAAACTGTTAACAGTTCAAGGTGTCATCAGTGTTACTGTTATGTTCAAGGTGTCATCAGTGTTAGTTTGTGGAGACTGTTAACAGTTCAAGGTGTCATCAATGTTACTGCTATGTTCAAGGTGTCATCAGTGTTACTTTGTGGAGACTGTTATCAGTTCAAGGTGTCATCAGTGTTACTGTTATGTTCAAGGTGTCATCAGTGTTACTTTTTGGAAACTGATATCAGTTCAAGGTGTCATCAGTGTTAGTCAGTCAGTCAAGGTGTCATCAGTGTTACTGTTATGTTCAAGGTGCCATCAGTGTTACTGTGTTCAAGCTTTCATCAGTGTAAATGTGTTCAAGTTGTCATCAGTGTAAATGTGATCAAGTTGTCATCTGTGCTACCTATGTTTAGGGAGAGAACCCCATCTCAGAAGAGTCCCTGGCACGGGTAAAGGAGCTGATTGAACCCTGGTTCATCTTCTCCCTTGTATGGAGCATTGGAGGTACCGGTGACAACGACAGTCACAAGAAGTTCTCTGACTGGCTCAGGATCAAAATGAAGGAAGAGAATGTAAGTTTGTTAAACATTTGGTGTTTTGTACTCTAACTGTAAGCTGTATCCACAGAATCTGAATCAGAGCTCCTGGTGGAGTTCTTGTGAGATCCTTTGACCTTGAATCTTAGAGTATCAAGTCCTGCCTTAACCAAGCTTTAGTTGAAGCTCTATTTATGACAGTCGATAAGACATACGATATCCTTAGAAAATGGTCAATATTTTAAAATGAGCAGATATATAGTTTGTGTTGTATAAGAAAGTCGTTTTGTATTAGGTAGGTAACAGTACATGGCTCATGTTATATTATGGTGATTTGTTGGCCTCACATGTATATCTTGGCATTGTGTTGTCTGTAGATGACTATGCTGTTCCCTGAAGAAGGACTAGTGTACGACTACTGCCTGGATGACGGAGGCATCAGCAGCACCGGTGGCGAGGACCTGGATGATGACGACAACGCTGTTGAGAAGAAGGTAAGTGTCACCACCGACAACTGAACAGACCTCAGAATTTTCAACATTAAGTGATGTATTTGGCTTTATCTTCTTTTCAGAGGACTTTCTTTTATGACATCAAATCTGACAATGTCTGTGGGGTATTTTTGGATGACAGTCAGTGCCCTATTTGTTATAATGTGAACATTGATGATACTACAGATTGCATTGATTCTGTTGTATGTTCAGGTTCAGTGGCTCAACTGGATGCATGGCATGCCATCATTTTCAATCAACCCCGAGACTCGCTACTCTGACATCATCGTCCCCACTATCGACACCATCCGCAACGCTTACATCATTGAGTTGCTGCTCCTTAACAAGAAAACAGTAAGTCAATACCTCCTATCATGTACCTCATTGTCCACCGACATATTCCTGACATCTAGTGCCATAACCTTCAATCCATGACTTCCAAAGTTACCATATTCCTAAGAGCTGGTTCCATGTTCTTGAAACCATGAATTCCCAAGTTACCATATATTCCTGACAATCAGTTCCAATCATAACACACTGCTATGTTTCTGTTGCAGGTGTTAAGTATTGGCCCAACAGGTACCGGCAAGACTCTGACTATCGCAGACAAGCTGACACGCAACCTGCCAAAGGAGTACATTCCAGAGTTCATTGTCTTCTCTGCCAATGTCTAGACAAGAGGTGAGCAGAGAAAGCCCATGTCTATGAATGATAATGTACAAAAGCAAGTGCCAACCAGACCTTCCCTAGGTGATAAATACAACTGAACAACGTGTTATCCTCAAAGCAAAGTTCTGATGGCAAGTGACTACTCACCAATTTACCTCACCTACTTAGGCCTAATCCTTATCCATACGCCTTTATCAGCCAACAACATCAATGAGCCGATGGTAATCCACTGTGTTGTGTTGTTAGTATACTTTCAGCCAATCAGCCAATCAACAGGAGAGCCCCTGTCTCCGGAGATACCGGATGCCGTTTAGAGAGCGTTAATTACTGTATTCTCCACACTCAGGGTGGCTAATTCCTCATTTACGACAAGAGGTGAGCAGAGAATGCCCATGTCTATGAATGATAATGTACATACAGTGGAAGCCCTCTAAACTGGCATTCGCTGGGACTGTCATAAAATAGAGGACGTGCCGGTTTAGAGAACTGAGAATGATCTTCCCTATGCCGTTAAATACAACTGAACAACGTGTTGCGAGTAATAACCGTACTTCGCTTGTCAAAGCAAAGTATCTGATGTCTTTCAGCATATCAAGCAAGTATACAAGTGACACGTGTCACTCACCAATTTACCTCACCTACTTAGGCCTAATCCTTATCCATACGCCTTTTATCAGCCAACAACATCAATGAGCCGATGGTACAACCAGTCAATTGGGCAGTCTTTGTTGTGCCGAAATACGGAATAGACTGACGCCGGATTAGAGGGCTTGTAAATGATCATAAATTAACTAGCTTCTTTCAGGACCAAAATCTAGTGCCGATATTGAGAGCATGCCGGATTGGAGGGCTGCCGGTTTTGAGAGCTTCCACTGTATTATGCTTCATTGAATAGATAACTGTAGGTGTCAGAAGCTTCAGGTTATTGTGGACAGGGATCACTGTCAGTGTCCAAAGCTTTAGCACAGGACTATGAGCGTTTCATTGAAGTGCAAGTCTCATAAGCTAAAACAAATGAATTTTATGACCCAGATTTATTTACGAGTCACCCTGTTATAATTGGTGTACACCAACACACAAACCTACATAAATTTATGGACATGTCCATCTGTTGCCAGACGTAAAGGTGTGTTTGGTCCTCCATTGGGCAAGTACTTCATCTTCTTTGTGGATGATCTGAACATGCCAGCCCTGGAGGTGTATGGAGCTCAGCCACCCATTGAGCTGCTCCGACAGTGGATGGATTTCAGGGGATGGTATGACAGGAAAGCCATTGGTAAGCTGATGCTCTCACTTTGTCAATCATTTGGGTAAATTGTTGATTGTGTATTTACTGAGGAACAAGCTGCGTCCCTATTATTCTTTGATAGATAAGATATTAGCAAGACTATCATATGCCATCCGTTTCATAGCTGCAGATTCTGCTTGAGCATTAAGTGCAAGAAATGCTGAATGGTACATCAAATAGTATTGACAGTGTTGCTCAGCCTGCAGCCTGAACCCATCCTCGATAATCTCCAGGGTATACATTCCGATAAACCTCCACTATACCCTGGATGCATCTTCGGCTAGGCCTGATAATTTTATTACCTCCCTTTGCTGGCTCCGCATTCTCACAGTAGACCAGTCAAATAAGCCGTTACAACCGACTTGCCAGTGTCAACAAACATAGCGGCCGCAGCGACGAAGGTTTGCTCGCTGTGCGACTCAGATGTAGAGGAAAAACCATACAGACAAATTGACAGATCTGAAACCCTAAAAAAAATATATGCAAGAACTCCTTCCACCTCTTTCAGAGTACCTCTGCAACAATTGTGTTGCCAAGTTTAATCGGTTAGATAAAAGAAGCGAAAGTGAGTTGTGATTGGTACGCTCAACTTCCCAGCGTAGACACCTGATTGGATATAAAGCCAGCCAAGGGAGGTAATACAAGTATCGGGCCGAGCCGTTGATGCATCCAGGGTATAGTGGAGATTATCGAGGATGACCTGAACCTAAAAACAAAGTTTGAATCAAGTACAGTTTCTCTTCCCATCTCTAAACACAGTTGATAATGATAAATGCATTCATGCTAAATGCAAATGAAAAATGTTGCCAAATGTTGTCGATTGAAGTTATTTCCTGAGTCAGGAATCTTGTTTTTCTGTTAAGGGATGGGACATGATGGAATTTGTCATGAATATAATTGTTACAGGTGACTTCCGCAATCTTGTGGATGTGAACTTTGTGTGTGCCATGGGTCCACCCGGTGGTGGCCGTAACCCAGTGACAGCTCGTTTCCTGCGCCACTTCAACTTCTTGGCCTTCACGGAGATGGAGGATCTCAGCAAGAAGAAGATCTTTGGTACCATCCTCAACTCCTGGACCAGTGAGTACATCATGTCATCTTTATCCCTTTTCAAGGATAGATAGAATTGCAGACTTGTTTAAAATACTGATCCTACTGCTATCTTTTGCTCATTATTTAAACACATTTATCATCCTGTTCCCAAATCAAAATTCTACAGTACAGTTGCACTAAGGTGGCAATGATGTCCATCTAGATCTGTTTTGCTGTGTAGAGTTATACCCCTTGCCTATGCCAGGATCCACTGGTTGTGGTTTGAATCCAAGAATTACCATAACTGTACATGAGACAGTGTGTCAGTGTAGTGTATGTTGATTCTGCCTTCAGGTCAGAACTCTAGCCTGGCCCAGCACAGCCAGCAGCTGGTGGATACTTGCATCGACATGTACAACACCATCACCACCCAGCTGCTGCCCACACCAGCCAAGAGTCACTACACTTTCAACCTCCGTGATCTCTCAAAGGTTTTCCAAGGAATACTCATGATGGATCCAACAAAAGTCCAGGTACAATGCTTGTCTTTGCTGCACAATCAGTGGCATTGATCCAAGGGAGATAATTCTCACGCCCTGTCACTGAGTACATGCAAAAACTTGAACACAAATGATTGACTAAATTTGGGGACATGCTTACTGACAAGAGTGGTTAATTATATAAATATGATGTCAAAAACACTCCCTGTAAGACTAAGAAACACTCCCTGTTTGTTTTCAGAGCAGGAGTCTGTACTACCCAAGATAGATACTCTCACTATATGGACTCCACGTAAAACTTTACCCAAAGAACTGGAATGATTGTATTTAGAAATGATTCTACTAACACTGTGAATGGTAAAAGGTGTGATGGCTAACCCAACTCCTTGTTTGTTGACAGAGTGTGAGTGAGATGCTACGTCTGTACTACCACGAGAGTTGCCGAGTGTTCCAGGACCGTCTGGTCAATGATCAGGACCGGCAGTGGTTCGAGGATCTGCTGAAAGAGAAGATGGAGACAGATTTCAATATGAAATATGAAGAGGTCATCATCAGAAAGCCTGTGTTGTTCGGGGACTTCATGCAGGCAAGCTCTGCTGATAGACCGTACATCGAGATAGAGGACCACGATAAGGTGAGATGCTGTAACAGACTTTGAGCAGTAGTCCACATTAGTAGGACACACGTACAGACTATTAATCAGGGAAGAAGGTTCGGTAAACACCTGGCTCCAACAGAGCTTTTTTATTGCTTCAACTACCAAATCACTTATATTTTAACATATACGTACTCTATATGACCGTAGACAAGACGATCTCATGGATAAGCCAAGGTCCTAACTTGATCCTTAAAACCAGTATCAAGATGGTATGTTCCATACATTTGCCAAACCACCAAACTTTGTTCATCTTTTTGTTGTGAACAAATCCATATTGAACTTGGCAAGTTAATCCGGTTGTTACTCTATCTCGTAATGAAACATGTTCTTTGTATATCTGAACTTATGTTTGTAATCTAGTTTATTTTGACAGTCATAGACATATTCTTTGTTTGACTGGACCAGAATATTGATATTGAACATTTTGAAAAATTGTGTCACTTTATGTAATATTTTGAAGAAATTAACAGGTGTGACACACATGAAGATGGTCTTATTGATCACATTCGATGTTGATGTTGCAGATGGTGAAGGTTGTTGAAGAGTACCTTGAGGACTACAACCAAATCAACACCGCCCAGATGAAACTGGTTCTCTTCTTGGATGCCATCAAACATGTCTGTCGCATCAGTCGTATCATCCGACAGCCCCTCGGCAACGCTCTCCTACTAGGAATGGGTGGCAGTGGACGTCAGTCACTCACCAGACTTGCTGCTCACATGTAAGTCTGTCCACCTCTGTCCACCTCTGTCCACCTCTGTCCACCTCTGTCCACATCGAGAAAGTTTGCCATGTAGTGTAAGGCTCTGCAATTACTTTCGCGGAGTTGTGTCCCTTGGGTGTACCACATCACTGGTTTGAATCCCAGATTCACACTCATATTACTAGGTTTGCATGCACATGCATGTGGATTTCACAAAAGAGGTAAATGTCCAAGACCTACATGACTACATCTACCATTCACAAGTTGTTATATAAATTACTTTTCTAAGTGATGTTAAAACCAACTCACTCAGTCTTCTCTGTTAATGTCCTTCAAAATAATATTCAAGATGATCTTGAGAACATGCGTGGTGATTCCAGGTTTGATAAGGTCAGCACAATGCTATCTATGTTATAAGACCAAAACTGCAAAGGACCAGATATTGGGACTTGAACTTGAAGAAAGCATGGATTGTTTGTGATGCTTTCTTATAGGGTCCAGATTTGATGACAGGCTTCAGTGATAATTGTGATATTGATGGCTGCAGCATTAAATTCCTTTCAGTCTGTCTTACGTAATTTGATCTCTCATTTCAGGGCTGAATTTGACTGTTTCCAAGTTGAACTAGCCAAGAACTATGGGACCCCCGAATGGCGTGAGGACTTGCGTAGCGTGATGATGAAGGCAGGACTGGAGAACAAGCCTATGGTGTTCCTCTTCAGTGATACACAGGTGGACTACTTTAAACATTTAGTGTAGCATCTGGGGACAAAACAGGGTCTTGACATTATGTTTAGGTTAGTTGTCGTATACTTAAACTATACCATGGTCTAAAGTTACTGACAAACCTGGAGTTATATACGAGTTGACTCTTTGGTGTGAGAGGAAACACTTCACCTACAGTGCCACCCGGGGCTGTGGGGTAGTCTAGTGGTTAAGGCGTTCGCTCGTCACGCCGAAGACCCGGGCTCGATTCCCCACATGGGTACAATGTGTTAAGCTCATTTCTGGTGTCCCCCGATTCCCCACATGGGTACAATGTGTTAAGCCCATTTCTGGTGTCCCCCCGCCGTGATATTGCTGGAATATTGCTAAAAGTGGCATAAAACCAAACTCACTCACTCACTCACTACAGTGCCACCCAGCCGTACCTTGGAACATGTCAGCTGTGTATTTTAGTCAGAAAGGATACCTGGTTATAAGATATTGACACTGGCCACACCTATCCCTTGTGGCTGACATTGTGGACATCTGTAGCTGTTGAATATGTAAACAGCCCTGTATTGGTACTTGGTTATAACTGATCCCCAGGGACCCGTTCCTCAAAGCGAACGTAGCGCTACGACAGTCGTAACTTCAATACTTTAACAAAGAGTTATGACAGTCGTAGCGCTACGATCGCTTTGAGGAACGGGGCCCTGGACTCTGTGATGGTTGTAGGAGGATGGTGACTTGGTTTATTAAGTATCATCAGAAATAGCCAATATGGATTCTTGTTCATGATTGAAATCACTGGATTGTATGGTGCAGGCTCCATTATACAGAGACTGACATAAAATAGCTGGAATATTGCTGAGTGCTGCGTTAGCACAGGAATGTAGTACTAGGAGATTTACAGTGTGAGTACCCTGCCAAATGTTTCACGCACTGATTGAAGCTAGTATACATTATTCCTTCATGTTGTGTAGATCAAGAATGAGAGTTTCCTGGAGGACTTGAACAACATCCTCAATGCTGGTGATGTTCCCAACATCTACGGCTTTGATGAGCAGGACCAGATCTACACTGCCATGAAGCCCATCGTCCAGGACCTGGGTCTCCAGCCCACCAAAACCAACCTGTTCTCATGCTACACCAAGCGTATCCGTAGCAACCTACACACCGTCATCACCATGAGGTATGTAGCCAATCAGTGTGACAAATAGGGCCATATATAGATAGCAATTATTTTGGATATCGTCAACCATCAATCAACTATATGATTGACCAGTTGAAAGCAACACAGAATCCACTACTTTGTGCGGCAACTTGGGACTTTTGTCAGTGCAATGTTACTTGGGTCAACTTTGAATGTAATTTTTGCACATGTTAGAATTGGTCTTCAGCGGACCATGCTTGTCGGAAGAGGCAATTAAAGGGATCAGGTGGTCAGGTCTGCCTGATATGTGACTCCATATCCCAACTGCATGTAATGCTCATAATTTTAATCACTGGTTTGTCTGGTCTAGACTCAATTACTTACATACTATTGTCATATATAGCTGATATTAGCAAACATATGCTGTGCATTTAATGAACCTGCCTTGACTCTAAGTCTTTCTTTCCAGCCCTATCGGTGAGATATTCCGTGCTCGTCTTCGTCAGTTCCCTGCCCTAGTCAATTGCTGCACCATCGACTGGTTCAGTGAGTGGCCCGACGATGCTCTGCGATCCGTTGCTATGCGCTTCCTCACTGACATCCCAGACCTCGACACCACGGACGAGGTCATGGATGGTCTGGTAAGTCCTCCAGTTTACACCATGCAGAGTATTTTTACCTTTCTTTTCATTTATCTGTTCCCCTCTTGCTGTCCTAGCTACGTTATATGGCAAAGTATTTGTTTCCTTTATGAATAAATATTGAAGGGCATATTTTGAAGTAGACCAATGACAAATTTGACAATATTTTTGCATAAAGGAAGTTCTTATCCTTAACTTGTATCTCACTGTAGTAATGACTATTTCAAAGATACTTATAAGACTACTCTGTAAAAACTTTCACTCATCACATTGACTTGTCTCAGACTTACAGACTTGTCAGTGCCAGGACCTTAATGGTTACTAGGTGTACTTCTCCCAAAATGGTACCTTGAGATGGATTAGTAGATGCCTTTTTAGGTAGAGGTTATGACAGGCTTAAGTTCCAGTAGTCTATCAAACTGCAATACAAGACCCATAGAAGTGTGAATGAGTAATAGATGAAGATGTGTACAGCAGCATCCCCATTGAGCTAATCTATCGTCCCGTCTGTGTGCAGGTTGTCATGTGTCAGGAGATCCACCAGTCTGTACACGTCAACTCCCAGCGCTTCCTGGCCGAGTTGTCCAGGCACAACTACGTGACTCCCACCAGCTACCTGGAGCTGCTCGGCATCTTCTCCAAGCTGATCGGGCTCAAGAAGATGGAGCTGAACACTGCCAGGAGACGACTCAAGACAGGTCTCGATAAGGTGCGCTGAGTACCCCTGGAAACATGCGTTAACATAATGTCAAACAAGGTCTGGGCCCCGTTCCTCAAAGCATTCATAGTACTCTGGAACTACGTTAACATAATATCACATAAGTCCTATTCCACAAAGAATCATTGTGCTCAGGAAAGATACATTGAGCTAATGCCGTAGTGTTAGACAACATCTGGGCCCCTTCCACAAAGTTATCGTAGTGATATGATAGCACTTACATACTTCATCATAGACTTATGACAGTCATGGCAATATAGTCACTGTGGAAGAGCTTTAAGAAAGAACCTTGATTGTAGTCTGTCACAAGTGCTTGTGCTGTCAACCACTCATCCGTCTGCCTAAACTGCTACAGGGTAGCTTAAAATTACGCTAACTCGTTCCAATGATTCCTGTATGTCTGTGTTACAGCTGCTGACAACTGCAGATGAAGTTGCAAAGCTGCAGGAGGAGCTGGCCACGATGAGGCCGCTGCTGGAGGAAGCTGTCCAGGAATCTGTCCACACCATGGAGAAGATTTCTGTTGATACGGTAAGTACCTACTGGTTGTCTTCAGGGTCAAGATACAACATGTCTGCTAACAAATCCATGTAAAATGTTGTAAATATTAGATACAAATGATCACTTCAAATGAAGACATACATATACTTCACTAGTGACGCTAAAATTCATGGAATTCTATCATACAATTTAGTAAATCTGTCTAACAGTGAGTAATGATGTTCAACTAATGTCAATGGAGATTCCCCATATTGGCTGTTCGTCTTAAATCAATGTTATGCTGTTATTATTTAGTTGGATATTTAGTACCGTACAATAATGTTGCATAGTTCTATTTCGTGCACTGCCTCATTGCCCCAAATGCTTTAAATAATTTTGTTGCCTCCTACAGAAATATGCAGAGGAGACGAAGGCTGTGGTGCAGAAGGAGGAAGCAGAGGCTGCTGTCAAGGCCACGGAGACGCAGGCCATTGCTGACGATGCTCAGAGGGATCTCAATGAAGCTCTCCCAGCCCTAGTGAGTAGCACAAAGCCTAGCCTTTCTCAGTTTGTCCAGCCTCAGGTAGCCCACTTTTGTCAGGCAGTTTCAGAGACATCTCAGGATGTAATGACTGGGTTTGAATCGCTAGTTTCATTCTGATAATGATCCTTGGTTTGTCTGTACCATACTCTGAACTAGCTTTATGAGCGTCACATCATAGTGTCACTGCATGGTTTGTGTTCTTCAGGTCTTGACATTGAAAGCTGTCATAAAATGTCGGGTACAATGCTGGAACTTTAATACTAGCTTGAACATGTACCCATTGATGGGTAGATTCCAGTTTTCCAGAGTTCTGAGTTTGTTGTAGGATGCTGCCTTGGCCAGTCTGAAATCCCTGAACAAGAATGACGTGGTTGAGGTGCGAGCCCTGCAGCGACCTCCAGATGGTGTCAGGATGGTTATAGAGGCTGTGTGTATCATGAAGTCTGTCAAACCCAAGAAAGTTGCAGGGGAGAAGGTAGGTTGACACTTCCAGGTTAATTAATCTACAGCACTAAACATCTTATAACAGGATGAACCTCTTTTCTTTACCCAAGAATTGTTCAAAAGCATCATCAACACATCCACAGAATAATATGAAAATTTTCTTGCTGTCTTTTTCTGCTCTGTGTTGTGAGGTGTTATTGCTGATAAGTGCTGATTGGTGAGATATTGTCAATGAATCAGTATTTTGGCATCTGAGCTACAGGTTTGGTCATGATGGACAGACAGGGCTATTGTAGAATATTTTATTGTAATGTGATATAGTACCAAAGTGGCTGGCATGATAGACAGACCGAGGTAACACCATATTGTGTTTGTGCAGCCTGGCACCAAGATTGACGACTACTGGGAGCCTGGCAAGGCCATGCTGCAAGACCCCACCCGCTTCCTTGAAAGTCTCTTCAAGTATGACAAGGACAACATACCTGACGATGCCATCAAGAAGATTCAGCCGTATATTGATGATGATGCCTTCACGCCTGCAGCCATTCAGAAGGTACTTGAGATCTTGGGTGTCTGTGTCATGTGGGATTAGGAATTGTGAAAATGGTGTTCTTTCAGATGTTGGTGTCAGTGCAAAATTACCATGAGGACAATTAAATAAATAATATGACTATATTCTCCTAATACATTCCCAGGTGTTTAACATCTATACTGCCTTCAGTATGTCTATGGCAAGATATTATCCATATATTCTGCCCTCCACCCCAACACATACTTTCTAAGGAGCAGGTGGACAAGAGATCATCCTTACATTGTGCCCATACTTACTGAGGTGTTAATGGGCAAAGTATTATCACTGTCTTCTCCCATTTTCTCAGACGTCCTTGGGCAAGATGTTATCACTAACTTCTCCACTCTCTCAGGTGTCCGTGGGCAAGATATTGTCATTGTATTCTTCTTGTTCTCTCCAAGGTGTCCAAAGCCTGTACCTCTATCTGCCAATGGACAAGAGCCATGCACAAGTACCACTTCGTGGCTAAAGGCGTCGCCCCCAAGAGGGAGAAGCTGCGTATAGCCCAGGCAGACCTGGCAGAGACTCAGCGGATCCTGGACTCAGCCAAGGCCAAACTGCAGGAAGTGGAGGAGGGCATCGCCACACTGCAAGCCAAGTATGAAGACTGCGTCCGCAAGAAGGACGAGCTGGAACACAAATGCTCAGAGTGTGAAGCTAGGCTTGTCCGAGCTGACAAGGTATTGTGGATGTTTTGTTATATTATGATGTTAATGATGTCAGTGAACATGTGACTCCAACAGTCAGTCCTCAGTCCTGATCAGGTTCATCATCCTTGTTCCATCCCATCTGAGGCAGTGTGATCAGCATCTGGTGCTAGTCATAAAGATGGCTTGGTGGTTACATGGCTTGACCTTGAAGAATGCATGTCATTTTACCCACCAGTTTCCTTGCTCCTGGCTCAATAATTTACAAGCTGCTGTGACATAGCAAGACTACTGATGACAGTAGCATAAAATAATATTCACTCGCTCTCTTTAATATTCCGATATATTACAGTATGCCCATTTGATCATCAGTGGATTAGATATAGATTGAAGACCTCCATGTCAAGGTATTAAAGGAACAATGTCCTCTACTTTTCTCCCAAACCCATCGCTGATGTATTCACGTTTCTCCCTGTAGCTGATTGGTGGTCTGGCAGATGAGAAGGAAAGATGGAAGGAGTCAGTCGACAGGCTGGAGATGGTGATCGACAACATCACCGGGGATGTCCTCGTCTCCTCGGGATACATCGCCTATCTTGGACCCTTCACGGTAAACAGCTGTTATTGTGTCCGCATGTGGCTGTCCAGTTCTTTTTAGGTGATTGTGTTCTGTCTTCAAACAAATACTTATGGGAAATATATATACAGATACACCAAAGAAATAGGATCATCTTTAGAATGTACTTTAATCTCTCAAAAAGGCTTATGTGACTCCTGGTGGAAATGATGTCCATGGGTGAGGAATCTCCATGGGTGAGGAATCTCCTTAGGATGAGTATGTTTTAGTTCAACAGCAGAAGATTGCATTATGTGTATGCAGTTTAAGATTATTTTGTATACAAGGTGGTTTGTTAAGGTCAGCATTTTACAATAGTCATACAGAAATTATGGATCAAACTGAAAACTATAGTTATGCTGCTGTGGTCAGTGCTTAGACTTTTGTCTTTCTGAAAACTGTCCCTGGTCACCAAACAGTGAATGGGTACCCGGTGGGATGAGATAGTAATGTGGCTAAACCTCACAATCAGCTTGAATGAAAATCAAGCGCAAGCTCACCTATTGACTGGGATGATAATGTAGCACTGAGCAAACCTTAGGGTGTGTATTTGGTGCACTAATATTGTTGTTGTTGTTGTTGTTGCTAAAAGCAGCATAAAGCCCTACTGACATCAACGAACAACATGTTCTATGTTCAGGGAGAGTACCGACAGCAGATGCAGTGCGAATGGGTGGAGAAGCTGGACAAGCTGAAAGTACCCAGGACAGAGGACCCAACACTTGTGTCCACCATGAGTGACGCAGTCAAGGTCCGAAGCTGGCAGATCTGTGGGCTCCCCAAGGACAGTCTCTCAGTGGAGAACGGTGTCATCGTCCAGTTCTCACGACGTTGGTCTCTCTTCATTGACCCTCAAGGACAGGCAAACAAGTGGATTAAAAACATGGTGTGTTGTTGTGTTAGATTGTTAGATTTAGTCACACCCTCTTTCAGATTTACCCACAATTTTTAACAATGTTATATCAAAATATTTCAAGTATATATATATACATAGAGAAACAAATAAAGGAACACAGGAAAATTCAAGTGTTCCTTTAATATTTTCTAGTTTTCATAACCAGCTTTGAATGGTGCTGTGGTGATGAAAACTGGAAAAAAATAAAGGAACGCTTTAATTTTTCTGTGTTCCTATATTTGTTTCTCTACATATATATGACAAGTATACTTTAAAAAGGCTGTTTTGTATATTGTATATTGTCAGCACTTTTGTGTTTGCTTAAGTTGCTGGCTCTAGTTGACCATGTGTTGTTAACCTTGGGATATTGTGTCTGGTTCAGGAGAGAGACAATGGACTGGACATCATCAAGCTGTCAGATCGGGACTTCCTCCGAAGTTTGGAGAATGCTATCCGGTTTGGCAAACCCTGCCTCTTGGAGAATGTTGGCATTGAGTTGGATCCAGCCCTGGAACCGATTCTACTGAGACAGGTGAGCTAAACTCCAGGCACTAGATTGTTCAGTCAATCCTATAGCAATCAATTAACCAATCCGAAAATTTGGAAATTATTCTTATGAGGTCATGGGCCTATTTGTTCTCTTTTGAGCATTAGACAAAATGTATACATGCGGAAAAAATGGTTCATGATGTCTTATATTTAATGTGAGAATTTGATTTTATCAATACATGCTGGTATATTATTCAAGATTATTGTTGATGCTCATTGGAGTGGTATAAATCGATGTAGTCAGCAGTGAAGTAACAAGAGCCCTTTGTTCATACAGACTTTCAAGCAGCAAGGCAGCACTGTTATCAAGTTGGGAGATGCAGTCATCCCCTACCATGAAGATTTCAAGTTCTACATCACCACCAAGCTGCCCAACCCACACTACACTCCAGAAGTGTCAACCAAGGTCACTCTCGTCAACTTCACCCTGTCACCAAGGTAATCACTTGATCCTCCCAGTCATAACCGTATTTGCGTGTTCTTAACTCCTGTCTGTTGTTGTTCCACTGCTTTCTGTTGAGTGATTAATTGTTCCCTGTTCATTTGTCTGTCATTGTTCCTTTCTATCTGTTCACTGCTCTTTTGTCTGCTGCATGTTCAATAATCTTGAACATGACCAAAAAAATATTCAACACCTTTCTGCTGTGTTTTCACATATGTCTGTTGTCACTACTCTGTGTTAAATGGGGTTCACTGCTGCTAATTACTTTCTGCTATCAGTTCTGTTCACCTATATCTTCTCACTTATGTGAGGTCTCTTCTGTCTGTTCACCTATGTTCTATGCTTTCACTGCTGCCCTCTGTACATCTACTGCAGTCTGTTGTTCACATCTACACCATGTCCACTGCAGTCTGTTGTTCACATCTACACCATGTCCACTGCAGTCTGTTGTTCACATCTACACCATGTCCACTGCAGTCTGTTGTTCACATCTACACCATGTTCACTGCAGTCTGTTGTTCACATCTACACCATGTCCACTGCAGTCTGTTGTTCACATCTACACCATGTCCACTGCAGTCTGTTGTTCACATCTACACCATGTCCACTGCAGTCTGTTGTTCACATCTACACCATGTTCACTGCAGTCTGTTGTTCACATCTACACCATGTCCACTGCAGTCTGTTGTTCACATCTACACCATGTCCACTGCGGTCTGTTGTTCGCATCTACACCATGTCCACTGCTGTCTGTTGTTCATCTGTCCACTGCGGTCTGTTGTTCGCATCTACACCATGTCCACTGCGGTCTGTTGTTCACATCTACACCATGTCCACTGCAGTCTGTTGTTCACATCTACACCATGTCCACTGCTGACTGTTGTTCACATCTACACCATGTTCACTGCTGACTGTGCATCTCTACACCATGTCCACTGCAGTGTCTGTTCACTGCAGTCTGTTGTTCACATCTACACCATGTCCACTGCAGTCTGTTGTTCACATGTCCACTGCAGTCTGTTGTTCGCATCTACACCATGTTGTTGTTCGCATCTACACCATTGCAGTCTGTTGTTCATCTACACCATGTCCACTGCAGTTGTTCTCTACACCATGTCCACTGCAGTCTGTTGTTCACATCTACACCATGTCCACTGCAGTCTGTTGTTCACATCTACACCATGTTCACTGCACCATGTCCACTGTCTGTTGTTCACATCTACACCATGTCCACTGCAGTCTGTTGTTCACATCTACACCATGTCACCTGCAGTCTGTTGTTCGCATCTACACCATGTGCTGCAGTCTGTTGTTCACATCTACACCATGTCCACTGCAGTCTGTCTGTTCACATCTACACCATGTCCACTGCAGTCTGTTGTCCACTACAGTCTGTTGTTTCACATCTACACCATGTTCACTGCAGTCTGTTGTTCTGCTGACTGTCCACTGCAGTCTTTGTTCACATCTACACCATGTTGTTCACTGCAGTCTGTTGTTCACATCTACACCATGTCCACATGCATGTCCACTGCAGTCTGTTGTTCACATCTACACCATGTTCACTGCAGTCTGTTGTCTACACCATCTACTGCAGTCTGTTGTTGTCCACCACTGCAGTCTGTTGTTCATCATCTACACCATGTTCTACACCATGTCCACTGCAGTCTGTTGTTCGCATCTACACCATGTCCACTGCAGTCTGTTGTTCACATCTACACCATGTCCACTACTGACTGTTCTGTTGCATGTTCTAGTGGTCTGGAGGACCAACTACTGGGTACAGTTGTGGCAGAAGAGCGACCCGACTTAGAGGAGGCCAAGAACCAGCTGATTGTGAGCAATGCCAAGATGAAGCAGGAACTGAAGGAGATCGAGGACAGGATCCTGTATCGTCTTAGCTCCTCCGAGGGAAGCCCCGTCGATGACATCGATCTTATTCAGACACTAGAGGCTTCCAAAATTAAGTCCTTGGAAATCCAGGTTTGTTTCTGTCATGTTTTTGTTTACAGTGAGTTAGTAGGATTCTGTCCCACTTTTAGCAGTACATCATCATCATTGCAGGGTCGTCTGACACCCTGGATAGCTTGGTATGGACTAGGGGTTCATGACTGGTTGCTTAGTTTGTTGTGTAAGTTTAGTTTTATGCGGCACTCAGCAATATTCCAGCTATATGGCGGTGGTCTGTAAATAATCGCGTCTGGAACAGACAATCCCGTGAACAACAGCATGACTATTGATGCACTTGGGATACAATGAGTTAGTCGCCTCTTACGACAAGCACAAGTTGCCGAAGACAACCCAGATCTTCATGGGTAGGGGTTAATAAGCTTCCACGGTACTGTCTACCATGGAGATGGGCCTACAGTGAAAGATGTAGTATAGTGTCTTCCATGGTAATGGGCCATTGAAAGATGAGCCCATGTCAATTCTAAACAAGTTACTTGAAGGCATCCTTGTGTTGTAAATGTGAATTCTCTTACTCCAACAGGCCAAGGTGGTGGTTGCCGAGCAAACTGAGAAGGACATTGACCAGACTCGTAGCCAGTACATCCCAGTTGCTGTTAACACTCAGATCCTCTTCTTCTGTGTGGCTGACATGGCCAACATCGACCCCATGTACCAGTACTCCCTGGAATGGTTCATCAACATCTACCTTAGTGGTATCGCCAATGCCGAGAGAGCAGGTAGGAGGGTCTTCTCAGATTCAGCATTTAGATAACAACATAGATGAGTTATCTGTTATCATTCTAGGATCTGCAAATTTGAAACTGATATTTAATGTCAGCATATGCCTTATTAATTGTAGTGAATTTAACGTGCCAGTCATTGAATGTTTAAGATTTCATGATCTACTGGGTGAGTTGTTGCTTTGAACACTTTTCACTTTGGGAAGACATGTTGATAGATTAATGAAAGATCGTAAGCAGGGAAAATCTAGGATACAAAACTTTGATCACCGGATCCTAACATACCTAAGGACTGCTACTCACAGTAAAATTATAAAGCCGTAGGCACCCTGTCCGTGTCCATGACCTTTGACCTTTTAGGAATCACGTCTTGTCTTCAGGTCATGATTTCATGGTTTCAATAAAGGATGCCAAAATTATTGTCCTGAGAACTGATATCTTTTTTTCCACAGACAACATTCCTCAGCGTATTAAGAACATCAACAACTACTTCACCTTCAGCCTCTACAGCAACGTCTGCCGCAGTTTGTTCGAGAAACACAAACTTCTCTTTGCCTTCCTCCTCTGTGCCAGAATCAAGATGCATAATGGCTCTATTAATATGGTTTGTAATTTCAAATACAATTGCATCAAACTTGGAGTGACTTATATAACAACGTGAGATATCCAAGGTTCAACACAATCCCAAAATGATGATTTCATATAAAGGAATATGCAGGCACCCAGCTTTTACTTTTTACCCAGTTGTTTGATTGTATGTCAATAAGCTCATGCAACAAATTTCATTTTGACAATGTAATATCAAGATGAAAATCCTGATGCACCAGTTTGTTTTATATTCTACCTGTTATTTTCTTATAAGGTAATGAAATCAGCCAGTTGGCAGAGTAAGTTTCGATCTCTTTTGACCCTATTCCACATTTCATTCTTCGTTCAGGATCTGTCTTAAATTCGTGAATGTATGTTGCTGCGAATGAGTTCATACGATGCTGTATCAGTGTCACATGTTGCTGTAACAGTGTCACATGTTGCTGTAACAGTGTCACATGTTGCTGTAACAGTGTCACATGTTGCTGTAACAGGGTCACATGTTGCTGTGACAGGCTCACATCTTGCTGTAACAGGGTCACATCTTGCTGTAACAGGGTCATGTTGCTGTAGCGTGGTCATATAATGCTGTAACAGGGTCACATCTTGCTGTAACATGGTCATATAATGCTGTAACAGTCACATGTTGTAACAGGGTCACATGTTGCTGTAGCAGGGTCACAAGTTGCTGTAACAGGTCATATATTGCTGTAACAGGGTCATGTGTTGCTGTAACGAGGTCTTGTATTGCTGTAACGGATCACATTGCTATAATGGGTCACATATTGCTGTAATGGGGTCATATGTTGCTGTAACAGGGTCATATATTGGTGTAACAGTCACATGTTGCTGTAACGGGGTCTTGTATTGCTATAATGGGTCACATATTACTGTAACAGGGTCATATATTGCTGTAACAGTGTCATGTGTTGCTGTAACGGGGTCTTTTATTGCTGTAATGGGGTCACATATTGCTGTAACAGGGTCATATATTGCTGTAACAGTGTCATGTGTTGCTGTAATGAGGTCTTTTATTGCTGTAATGTTGCTGTAACAGGATCACATGTTGCTGTAACAGGTCATATATTGCTGCTGTAACAGGGTCACATGTTGCTGTAACAGGGTTATATATTGCTGTAACAGGGTCACATCTTGCTGTAACGTGTTCATATAATGCTGTAACAGAGTCACATGTTGTAACAGGGTCACATGTTGTAACAGGGTCACATGTTGCTGTAACAGGGTCACATCTTTCTGTAACGTGGTCATATAATGCTGTAACAGTCACATGTTGTAACAGTTACTGTAACAGGGACACATGTTGCTGTAACAGGGGCACATGTTGCTGTAACAGGGTCACATGTTGCTGTAACAGGGTCATATAATGCTGTAACAGAGTCACATGTTGTAACAGAGTTGCTGTAACGTGTTCATATAATGCTGTAACAGAGTCACATGTTGTAACAGGGTCACATGTTGCTGTAGCAGAGTCACATGTTTCTGTAACATGGCCTTATAATGCTGTAACAGGGGCACATGTTGCTGTAACATGGTCATATAATGCTGTAACAGGGGCACATATTGCTGTAACAGGGACACATGTTGCTGTAACAGGTCACATCTTGCTGTAACATGGTCACATCTGGCTGTAACGTGGTCATATAATGCTGTAACGTGGTCATATAATGCTGTAACGTGGTCATATAATGCTGTAACAGTCACATGTTGTAACAGGGTCATATGATGCTGTAACAGGGTCACATGTTGCTGTAACATGGTCACATGTTGCTGTAACAGGGTCACATGTTGCTGTAACAGGGTCACATGTTGCTGTAACAGGGTCACATGTTGCTGTAACAGGGTCACATGTTGCTGTAACAGGGTCACATGTTGCTGTAACAGGGTCACATCTTGCTGTAACAGGGTCACATCTTGCTGTAACAGGGTCACATCTTGCTGTAACAGGGTCACATGTTGCTGTATCAGGGTCACATGTTGCTGTAACAGTGTCACATCTTGCTGTAGCAGGGTCACATCTTGCTGTAACAGGGTCACGTCTTGCTGTAACAGTGTCACGTCTTGCTGTAACAGGGTCATATGTTGCTGTAACAGGGTCATATATTACTATAACAGGGTCATACACACACACTCTCATATCAATATGTTACTGTAACTGAGTACATATGCTGTGGTGTTGCAGGACGAGTGGAGATTTTTGATTGCTGGAGGTACAACAAAACCCGATGAGTTACCAAATCCCGCCCCGGAGTGGATATCCGATCGCTCGTGGCAGGATCTCTTAACCCTGGGTGTTTTGCCAAAGTTTGCCAGCTTCCCTGGAGACTTCAAGAATCATGCTGATGGGTTCAAGATGATCTTTGATAGTACAGAACCACACAGGTGAGATAGCAAATAAACACCAGAAGTGACTCAAATATAGATTTCGGTAATTGGTTGGAATCCCAGATTTGCACTGATTATAACCTTGGTGTCAACAACTTGCCTGTTCTCTTTGGTTCTAGTGTCTATGTTACGTGAAGGTTTCTTCACATTCATTTAACTTTAACTATGATATAAATGAATTACTGTTCAAAATGGAAGTAACCCAAAATATGTTGTCATACTGTTGAAGACGTCAGTGTCTCTTGGAACATTTTGGCAATAGACAATGTTTAGTGTAGTCCTGAGATTCTCTGTAGATGTAAAGCTGTGCTCGACTAAAGATGGTTCTGGGTCTTCAGTTCTTAGTCCACTTAAACTTTTGCTTTTAACACTGAGGTGATTACAATGGCCCTTTGTCTTACAGGCTTAATTTTGATCAATGCAAAGGATATGATGATTTGGGAAAGGCAGTGTTGAATTTGTGCATTGTTGTAAATAGTTTATTTTTGGCCACAGGGAACCTCTGCCGGCTCAGTGGAACGATGACCTGGACAGCTTTCAGAAGATCATTGTGCTGAAATGCTTGCGTCCAGATAAAGTGACCAATTCCATGCAGGATTATGTGGCCGCAAACCTGGGTCAAAGATTCATTGAGCCTCAGGTAAAGTGCATGCTGGCCTGGCTGCCCTGGTGTCTGTTCATACCCTTTAAATGTGTACCATGGAACAGAATACGTCCCCACACCTTATAGCTTCTTACATGGAGTCACCCTATTGGTGTCAGGCTCTATGACTTGGCTGATAATGAATCATTGTTGCCCAATAAGCTAAAGCTTATCTCTCTGCCTTGATTATGACACCCCCTTGACATAACTGCCTTTACAAGTGGTGTTCCTGTTCAAACTCGATAAGAAGAGTAACTGTTTTGATATTGCTGACTAAACAGTTTGAATGCTATTTATTGTCCAATTCTTGCCTCATCATCCTGTGTTCTGATGCTTTTCTAGGGGTGGTGGCCTAATGGTTAAAGCGTTGTTTGAATGCCCCGAAGACGGTTCTATTCCCCACATGGGTACAATGTCCCATTTCTGGTGTCCCCATTATGTTGCTGGAATATTGCTAAAAGTGGCTTAAAACCAAACTCAGTCAGTGATACTTCTCTGACTCATGTATCTGTGCATCCTTCAGACTGCTGACCTTCACCTTGTGTACAAAGACTCCTCCCCAACCACACCACTCATCTTCGTCCTGTCGACCGGTACTGATCCTGCAGCTGACCTGTACAAGTTTGCAGAGGAGATGAGATTTGCCAAAAAACTGTCAGCCATTTCTCTTGGTCAGGGACAGGTGAGATACAATGACACTGATAAAATGACAAACACTGTATTGCTTATGCCTCGGAGCAAACATGTTATTATGAATACATTGTAATGCTGCTTTAAATACATAAGCATAACTACAAGTACAGATATTACCTTTGAACCCGTGAAGATCTGGGTTAGATGGTCTTCAGTAACCTATGCTTGTTGTAACAGGCAACTAACGGGATTGGGTGGTCAGACTCACTGGCTTCGAATTCGTTGACACGCTTCATCGTAACCCAATTGCATAGATCGATGCTCATGCTGTTGATCACTGGATTGTCTGGTCCAGACTTGATTATTTGCAAACTGCCGCCATGTATAGCTGGAATATTGCTGAGTGTGGCATTAAACAACAACCAAACCAAACCTTTGACAGTTTGCATTCTACAAGTGTGAAAAGCGTGTAAAATATAAGGGGATGTAACTCTTGCTGCTTTACCGTATTCACTAGCTGGGATATGTTAGCCATGTCATGTACATTCCATTTGGAGGAGGCAGGAACTTGATTAAGTATTTTTTGTACCAAGGGCCCCAGAGCAGAGGCAATGATGCGTAGCGCCATGGAGAGAGGGAAATGGGTGTTCTTCCAGAACTGCCACTTGGCGCCATCTTGGATGCCTTCCCTGGAGCGACTCATTGAACAGATTGATGTGGACAAGGTTGGTTTATTCTGTTTCGGGTTACAGTCTTGTAATAATGGATCACATTTGACTTCAGTATCATCTTCAATGGCCAAATTCATCAAGTCTCCAGATGAAGACGAACAAATTAGCTATTGTCACTTCTCTCAATTTAATAGTCTACATGACTGCTTCACAGTTTTGACAAACAGGATGTAAATTTTCACCTTTCATGTATCCCTGGCAGCAGAAGTTCTGAAAATCTTAATAATATTAACTTTAATACTAATTGATTGGTTTGCCTCCTCAATTGGTCTTCATCAACCCATGCTTGTCCTTAGAGGCAACTAACGGGATCGGGTGGTCAGGCTTGCTGACTTGGTTGACACATGTCATCGTATCCTAATTGCGTAGATCAATAGTCATGATGTTGATCACTGGATTGTCTGGTCCAGACTCGATTATTTACAGACCGCCACCATATAGCTGGAATATTGCTGAGTGCGGCATCAATCAGTCAATCAATCTGGGTGTGTCATATCCATGCTTGTAGGTTCATGAAATTGGTAAGGATCTAACTTCTGCATCACTTCTTTCCACATCAAACTGAAATTTGACTGAAATACTGTCACTCAGTATCAGGACTTGAGAAGTAGTAATCAGTTTGTTCTTGCTACAGGTGCACCGAGACTTCCGCCTCTGGCTGACCAGTATGCCAAGTGACAAGTTCCCAGTGTACATCCTTCAAAATGGCTCCAAAATGACCGTGGAGCCGCCCAAAGGAATCAAGGCCAACCTGCTCAAGTCCTATGCTGGAGTGAATGACGACTTCCTCAACTCATGTGGGGATAAGGTATGCTGACTATTCCTTTCTTTTGAGGTGTCAAAAGTCCTTGGAGGACAATATTAAACAGAATTTCCATACAATGTCCTTGAATTTGGGGAGTAGTTATTTTATGTGATTATAATTGTCATGACCTTATATTCTTACAAGAACTGATTTTGTGACCCACAATACAGAGTCCGCCATACGCCTGTAAGTGGCGTCCTGAATCCACAGGTATTTGCATTAGAACCTCTGTAATCCAAACATTATGTTTTTCCCAAATAATACGAATGTTAAAGACAAGTGAACAGGGTATGTTACACATTATTTTTACATCCGGCTATTATTGTCCACAGAATGTGTTAGTAATATAATTATTGTCCACAGAATGTGTTAGTAATATAATTTGGATTAAGAAGGTTTGTACTATAGAATTGTTAATTTACCACTATTATTTCCAGATGATACTAAGGAAGGGTGAACTTGTAAAGGTAGCCACCAGTTCATCAACTGGGGACAATGTATCTAGTCGGCATCGCCTCTCTCTAAAGCAAATCTTCATCATTCATCTCTCATTCAAAATTCTACTCTTTCTTCTTCTCTCTATCCCAGTGACATCCTATGTCAAGGCTGGTTTGGGTTCTATAGTGTAAGATTTGGTTTAGGAGAGCCTGGTGTTGTGGTGTATATATTGTGATGGTGTAGCACGTCACAGGGATTTTCAGGGTGCTTCACCAAGTCATCTACAGCCTCAGCTAATGCACCTTCAGCTTTCAGTCAGTTCTTCTCAATGTACAGTGTACTGTACAGTATGCAAATCCTATTCATTTGATGTTGTTTGAAATGTATGGGATGCCTACCTGCTGGCTGTGTGTATGTTAATATGTTGATGTGTGTAATTGTCGTATGTATCATGTGCTTGATGAGGTATGTCATGTGTTCAAGGGTGTATATATTGTGTGTTCAAGGATGTGTAATAATGTGAAAGGATTTAAGTAGCACATGTCCTAGAATGTATATATCTATCCTTTGTTCAAGGGTTCATGTACCATGTGTTCAAGGATGTATTCAAGTATGTATGATGTGTGTTCAAGGATGAATGTAATTATTGTTAAAAGATATGTGTATCAAGTTTTCAAGGATGCATGGACCCAGTTGCAGTATTTAAGGATGTAGACAGACATATAGTTTATTCAAGTCTCACCTCATTACATTAAAATACAAAAATACAACGATATGGATGTATGTCATGTGTTCAAGGATGTCTTGTTGATGTATGATATGTGTTCGAGGATGAATGTTTCCGTTGTTAAAGGGTATATGTATCAAGTTTTCAAGGATGCATGGACCCAGTATACAAGGATGTATGTCAAGTGTTCAAGTATGTCTCTTTTTTTCTGGGATGTATGATGTGTGTTCAAGGATGAATGTTATATTTGTTAAAGGGTGTGTGTATCAAGTTTTCAAGGATGCATGGACTCACATTTCAAGGATGTATGTCATGTGTAATAATATTTGTTCAATGGTGCATCTACCATGTCAGGGGCGGTGGGATAGCCTAGTGGTTAAAGCGTTCGCTCGTCACGCTGAAGACCCGGGTTCGATTCCCCACATGGGTACAATGTGTGAAGCCCATTTCTGGTGTCCCCAGCCGTGATATTGCTGGAATATTGCTAAAAGCGGCGAAAACCATACTCATGTCAGTGAGTGAGTAAGGTATTGCACCACTTTAGCACATCATGAGTGTTGTGTTCAATGGTGTATGCATTTATGTTCAAGGTTGTGTGTATACTGGTTTCATGGTTATGCCATGTGTTCAGCATTGTATCCATTATATGTGTTCAGTGGTGCATGTACCATGTGACCAGTGATGTTTGTATAATGGTTTCAATGACTTATCATTGAACGTCTTTGAAATAATGATAGAAACTTTAAGGCAATGTTCATCACAAAACTGATTGATCTCAAACTATATACTCATACTCTCATCATTAGCAAAATTTCCAAATCTTTCCAACATCACTTTCTTCTTATGCATGAGTACTTTCATTAGCATCACTCCGTTTTTTCTCTGAAGGTACCTCAGTCATTTCACTGGTAACACTTCAGCTTAGTAATCTCTGATATCTTCTATATAATCTATAGAAACAGCATGTAACCTCATTGGAGCTGTCACTTCTGTCAGCTCATAGACACCTCAACAGCTCATCTGTAACGTTTAGTTCTGCATGATCATTGTATGTGTATCATGCAGTCTTGAGAGATTATATCTCTGACACAGTACAGAATATGCTTTGCTTTCTCAAAAACAGTAGAACCAGGAAATAATATTAATCAATAAACACAGCATAATATAGTGTAGTTACAATATTAGACGTAGATTATTTCTTTATGCAAATTACGTCAGTTGTTAATTTTTCAATAATGTGAATTTTTAACTGTCGCTGCATATCACAGCTGCTTGCATTGTTGACCTAGCTGCACACATTATTTTGTATTTTATTTATTTCACCACAATACTTTATTTCATAATTTGAAATTACAAATTCATTGTTTCCATAAGTTATTTTAAAAATTCAATTAATTAAGCTGATGGTGTAAATAAAACTGACATTACTGATTCTGTTTAAAGATGATTCTGATTAGGGACAATCACTGCTATCAATTTCAGGATGTTGTTTTAATGTGAATTTCATAAGCACCTCCTGCTGTTTCAGTCAAATCCCTTCAAGTTCCTGCTTCTTTCACTGTCCTTGTTCCACGGAGTCCTCATTGAGAGGAGGAAGTTTGGTCCTCTCGGCTTCAACATCCCGTATGAGTTCACCGATGGAGACCTCCGGATCTGTGTCAGTCAGCTCAAGATGTTCCTTGTGGAATACGATGAAATTCCATACAAGGTAGGTAACTCTGCTGTGCTGGGTGCAAGAGTTGTCTCTCCTTGGTGTCTTCAGCTTTATGAAGAGTGTCTTGTGGTCTCAATATCTGTGAAATACTTGAAAGTTCTCATGTCGATGGGCATCTTCCTTGCATTGATTAGCGTGTCTCAGAACCTGTTGTGATGAGTGGTTTGTTTGGTTGGTCGGTACAGAAAGGTGTGAGGGTTTTTTCAATTGCTGACCAATGTCCATTTCCACTCAAGACTAGACTCCAATGAGGACGTCTTATTAATCATAACTTCCAGTAAAGCAGATCTGTTTAACACTATATAGACCTCAATGGCATAATCTTTGGACACTGTGCAAAGGACTAGCGTGTGATCCAGTAAGGACTAATTATCCATAGCTTCCAGTAAAGCAGGTCTGTTTAACAGGAGTCCATTGTACAGAGGTCTGCTGTATCAAGAGCATGGAATCGTGCACAGGAAACTGCAGCCCAGTTGTGTCCTACATAATTTGATAAGTCTATGAATATTTAATTTTCTTCGTTTTGTAATGGCATGGTCATTTAAACCCTGTTACTGATGAGGGAATATCTCCATAACCACGGTCTCTGCAGCTGTGGCATCATAACGGCAGGAGGGGAGGATTAACCTTTGCAAACTTAACTCTTCCATAAAAACCCATGACATATGTCATTTTCATTTATCCATAATAGTAAATATATATACTTCAGCACTTTTTGCTGACATATGTAGGTCTGTCATTTGCTGATGTTATAAATAATTTGTTTGAATTTGTGAATGTGAATTTGTTTGATTGTCATTGAAAGGGCTAAATTGTAGTAATTATATATGACTTCATAGTACGGTGTACTTTTATAGGTCTTTTTTATGTATGGAATAGAGAACGATGAAAGTCACACATAATAAATCATACTGGGTCTCATGTATTGTCATATCATCATGGAGTAGCTAAATAATAATTGGTCTTAGATCTTGTCATATGGTCGTGTTGTCATGTCATCATGCACTAGCTAAATCATACTGGGTCTCATGTGTTGTCATATCATCATGCACTAGCTAAATCATACTGGGTCTTAGGTGTTGTCATATCATCATGCACTAGCTAAATCATGATGGGTCTTAGGTGTTGTCATTTCATCATGCACTAGCTAAATCTTACTTGGTCTTAGGTGTTGTCATATCATCATGCACTAGCTAAATCATACTGGGTCTTAGGTACTGTCATATCATCATGCACTAGCTAAATCATACTGGGTCTCATGTGTTGTCATATCATCATGCACTAGCTAAATCATACTGGGTCTTAAGTGTTGTCATATCATCATGCACTAGCTAAATCATACTGGGTCTTAGGTGTTGTCATATCATCATGCACTAGCTAAATCATACTGGGTCTCATGTGTTGTCATATCATCATGCACTAGCTAAATCATACTGGGTCTTAGGTGTTGTCATATCATCATGCACTAGCTAAATCATACTGGGTCTTAGGTGTTGTAATTTCATCATGCACTAGCTAAATCTTACTTGGTCTTAGGTGTTGTCATATCATCATGCACTAGCTAAATCATACTGGGTCTTAGGTACTGTCATATCATCATGCACTAGCTAAATCATACTGGGTCTCATGTGTCCCAGAAAAAGAGATGATCATCATCATGCACTAGCTAAATCATACTGGGTCTTAGGTGTTGTCATATCATCATGCACTAGCTAAATCATACTGGGTCTTAGGTGTTGTCATATCATCATGCACTAGCTAAATCATACTGGGTCTCATTTGTTGTCATATCATCATGCACTAGCTAAATCATACTGGGTCTTAGGTGTTGTCATATAATGCACTAGCTAAATCATACTGGGTCTCATGTGTTGTCATATCATCATGCACTAGCTAAATCATACTGGGTCTTAGGTGTTGTCATATCATCATGCACTAGCTAAATCTTACTGGGTCTTAGGTGTTGTCATATCATCATGCACTAGCTAAATCATACTGGGTCTCGTGTTGTCATATCAACATGGACTAGCTAAATCATACTGGGTCTCGATCATGTGTTGTCATGTTGTCATATCAACATGGACTAGCTAAATCATACTGGGTCTCGATCATGTGTTGTCATATCATCATGCACTAGCTAAATCTTACTGGGTCTCATGTGTTGTCATATCATCATGGACTAGCTAATTATAATTGAGTAACCCATGCTTGAAGTAAGAGGTGTCTATCAGGTGGCCAGACTCATTGACTTGGTTGACACATGTCATCGTTATTCCAATTGCATAGATTGATGCTCATGATGTTGATCACTGGATTGTCTGATTAGCAATGTGTAAATGACTAGGTCCTTTTACCTTTTGCCAGACTGCATCAGAAACATTGTTTTAGCTTCACATAGTGGAAAGCCATGTTTTTCAAATGGGTGTCGTTGATGAAAAGTGTAATGTACCAGTAAAAAGGCATTAGAGAACATCAAATTGTTTCATGTGATAGTACTAACAGATTGACTAAAGTAATATGAAACAACTGGGTATTCTTATTTGGAGTACAATATTTACCAATCCTGTGATTGTAGTTAAGACATTCCGAGAATCAGCTTGCAATGGCCCAATGTATGTGTGGTTAGAGCAATTTATCTGAAGCAGCTTGTTCAACAGCTGCCAATTATTTCGGTGACATAATACCCAGAATTCACAGAGATAGATATCTGTTCTATTTGACTTCCGTATCGCCAACAGAGATCACAAGTCTCCATGTCCTGACATCAGTGAATCTATGGTATCAGTCTGTAAGACATGCAATTATGGATTAACCGGATGTATATATCTGTTTTATTACGAGTTTCCGTGATGCAGATGCAAAGTTACATGACCTTGTTATTGTAATGTGTTGAAGAATCTGGATCCCTGGTATCATTGTCAGAAGGATTTGTAATGATGGGATGGGGTTGTTGGTTTTGCCCAGCATTGGCTTGCTTGGTTCAGACTCAGTTGCTAACAAGTAGTGATGTAGCTTGAATACGTCCAGCTCACAGTGGCATTAAACAATATTCATTCCTGACCTTCATTGTTGCTGATGGGTTACCAGCAGTAGAGCATGTCAGAGTCAGTCAGTGTTGCCACTGTGATGTAGCTTGAATACGTCCAGCTCACAGTGGCATTAAACAATATTCATTCCTGACCTTCATTGTTGCTGATGGGTTACCAGCAGTAGAGCATGTCAGTCAGTCAGTGTTGCCACTGTGATGTAGCTTCAATATTGCCAGCTCTGGCACTAAACAATATTCATTCCTGACCTTCATTGTTGCTGATGGGTCACCAGCAGTAGAGCATGTCAGAGATGGTCAGTGTTGCCACTGTGATGTAGCTTCAATATTGCCAGCTCTGGCATTAAACAATATTCATTCATGACCTTCATTGTTGCTGATGGGTTACCAGCAGTAGAGCATGTCAGGAGTCAGTCAGTGTTGCCACTGTGATGTAGCTTCAATATTGCCAGCTCTGGCATTAAACAATATTCATTCCTGACCTTCATTGTTGCTGATGGGTCACCAGCAGTAGAGCATGTCAGATATGGTCAGTGTTGCCACTGTGATGTAGCTTCAATATTGCCAGCTCTGGCACTAAACAATATTCATTCCTGACCTTCATTGTTGCTGATGGGTTACCAGCAGTAGAGCATGTCAGTCAGTCAGTGTTGCCACTGTGATGTAGCTTCAATATTGCCAGCTCTGGCACTAAACAATATTCATTCCTGACCTTCATTGTTGCTGATGGGTTACCAGCAGTAGAGCATGTCAGTCAGTCAGTGTTGCCACTGTGATGTAGCTTCAATATTGCCAGCTCTGGCACTAAACAATATTCATTCCTGACCTTCATTGTTGCTGATGGGTTACCAGCAGTAGAGCATGTCAGAGTCAGTCAGTGTTGCCACTGTGATGTAGCTTGAATATTGCCAGCTCTGGCATTAAACAATATTCATTCATGACCTTCATTGTTGCTGATGGGTTACCAGCAGTAGAGCATGTCAGAGTCAGTCAGTGTTGCCACTGTGATGTAGCTTCAATATTGCCAGCTCTGGCATTAAACAATATTCATTCATGACCTTCATTGTTGCTGATGGGTTACCAGCAGTAGAGCATGTCAGAGTCAGTCAGTGTTGCCACTGTGATGTAGCTTCAATATTGCCAGCTCTGGCACTAAACAATATTCATTCCTGACCTTCATTGTTGCTGATGGGTCACCAGCAGTAGAGCATGTCAGAGATGGTCAGTGTTGCCACTGTGATGTAGCTTCAATATTGCCAGCTCTGGCATTAAACAATATTCATTCATGACCTTCATTGTTGCTGATGGGTTACCAGCAGTAGAGCATGTCAGAGTTGGTCAGTGTTGCCACTGTGATGTAGCTTAAATATTGCCAGCTCTGGCATTAAACAATATTCATTCATGACCTTCATTGTTGCTGATGGGTTACCAGCAGTAGAGCATGTCAGTCAGTCAGTGTTGCCACTGTGATGTAGCTTCAATATTGCCAGCTCTGGCACTAAACAATATTCATTCCTGACCTTCATTGTTGCTGATGGGTTACCAGCAGTAGAGCATGTCAGAGTCAGTCAGTGTTGCCACTGTGATGTAGCTTCAATATTGCCAGCTCTGGCATTAAACAATATTCATTCATGACCTTCATTGTTGCTGATGGGTTACCAGCAGTAGAGCATGTCAGAGTTGGTCAGTGTTGCCACTGTGATGTAGCTTGAATATTGCCAGCTCTGGCATTAAACAATATTCATTCATGACCTTCATTGTTGCTGATGGGTTACCAGCAGTAGAGCATGTCAGAGTTGGTCAGTGTTGCCACTGTGATGTAGCTTAAATATTGCCAGCTCTGGCATTAAACAATATTCATTCATGACCTTCATTGTTGCTGATGGGTTACCAGCAGTAGAGCATGTCAGAGTTGGTCAGTGTTGCCACTGTGATGTAGCTTAAATATTGCCAGCTCTGGCATTAAACAATATTCATTCATGACCTTCATTGTTGCTGATGGGTTACCAGCAGTAGAGCATGTCAGAGTTGGTCAGTGTTGCCACTGTGATGTAGCTTGAATATTGCCAGCTCTGGCATTAAACAATATTCATTCATGACCTTCATTGTTGCTGATGGGTTACCAGCAGTAGAGCATGTCAGAGTTGGTCAGTGTTGCCACTGTGATGTAGCTTGAATATTGCCAGCTCTGGCATTAAACAATATTCATTCATGACCTTCATTGTTGCTGATGGGTTACCAGCAGTAGAGCATGTCAGAGTTGGTCAGTGTTGCCACTGTGATGTAGCTTGAATATTGCCAGCTCTGGCATTAAACAATATTCATTCATGACCTTCATTGTTGCTGATGGGTTACCAGCAGTAGAGCATGTCAGAGTTGGTCAGTGTTGCCACTGTGATGTAGCTTAAATATTGCCAGCTCTGGCATTAAACAATATTCATTCATGACCTTCATTGTTGCTGATGGGTTACCAGCAGTAGAGCATGTCAGAGTTGGTCAGTGTTGCCACTGTGATGTAGCTTGAATATTGCCAGCTCTGGCATTAAACAATATTCATTCATGACCTTCATTGTTGCTGATGGGTTACCAGCAGTAGAGCATGTCAGAGTTGGTCAGTGTTGCCACTGTGATGTAGCTTGAATACGTCCAGCTCACAGTGGCATTAAACAATATTCATTCATGACCTTCATTGTTGCTGATGGGTTACCAGCAGTAGAGCATGTCAGAGTTGGTCAGTGTTGCCACTGTGATGTAGCTTGAATACGTTCGGCTCACAGTGGCATTAAACAATATTCATTCATGACCTTCATTGTTGCTGATGGGTTACCAGCAGTAGAGCATGTCAGAGTTGGTCAGTGTTGCCACTGTGATGTAGCTTCAATATTGCCAGCTCACAGTGGCATTAAACAATATTCATTCATGACCTTCATTGTTGCTGATGGGTTACCAGCAGTAGAGCATGTCAGAGTTGGTCAGTGTTGCCACTGTGATGTAGCTTGAATACGTTCAGCTCACAGTGGCATTAAACAATATTCATTCATGACCTTCATTGTTGCTGATGGGTTACCAGCAGTAGAGCATGTCAGAGTCAGTCAGTGTTGCCACTGTGATGTAGCTTCAATATTGCCAGCTCTGGCATTAAACAATATTCATTCATGACCTTCATTGTTGCTGATGGGTTACCAGCAGTAGAGCATGTCAGTCAGTCAGTCAGTCAGTCAGTGCACCTGGAGTAGGACAGCATCCATGCAGGTCACTCAGTGAAGAAGAGCTAATGCATGTAGGTCATTATAAGTGTAGGCTGTTCTGTGAAAAAGAATTTACTGTAAAACAGTCTAGAATACATTCATACGAGAAGTCAAAGTTTCATAGAAAGGCTATGATGCGAAGGGACTGCAGACAGGTGTCTGACCTGGGTGTGTTGATGTATCTAGTTGGGTGAATCCTGAAGGAGGAGGAACTATGATCCTAGGTGTGGTTAACACTGGGAGGATCCATCTGTATCTCATACTCATTCTTTGACGCAGGGGAAACTACTAATGGCATCTGCTTCATCATATCTTGTGGGGCGGTGGGGTAGCCTAGTGGTTAAAGTGTTGGCTCGTCACGCCAAAGACCCGGGTTTGAATCCCCACATGGGTACAATGAGTGATGCCCATTTCTGGTGTCCCCCGCCGTGATGTTGCTGGAATATTGCTAAAAGCGGTGTAAAACCAAACTCAGTCAGTCAGTCATCATATCTTGTGAGGTGTGTGGTTAAATAACATGCTTGATTGACATTGTGGTAGACACCAGAGTAGGGATGCCCCACCCTTCCTTTCCTACCATCCCCCAATATTGAATCATACTGAATGTTTAAAACAAATGAAATGTTTCAACCACATATTGTATGATCATCACACTGAAATGTGCTTGGCGATCAGGTTCTTCACTTGGTTTCATGAGACATGTATTCATGAGACTGGCTAGTATTCATGAGATACAAGTATCTATGACAAATATTCATGAGACACTCAAGTATTAGTGGGACACACAAGTATTCACTGAAACAAGCATCCATAGACAACTAATATTCACGAGACACACAATTATTCACAGGAACCAGTATTCATGGGACACACAAGTATTCACTGAAACAAGCATCCATAGTCAACTAATATTCACGAGACACACAATTATTCACAGGAACCAGTATTCATGAGACACACTAGTACTCATGGGGCACAAGTATTCATAAGACACAAGTATTCAAAGAAACAAGTATTCATGAAACACACTAGTATTCTTGAGACACTCAAATATTCATGAGACATATAACACAGAAACTAGTATTCATGATACACCCAATACAGAAACAAGTATTGATGAGACACAAGTGTTTATGTGAGACACATATTCATGCAACAGTACTCATGTCTGTGCATATGGCCACTGGGGAGTATAAAATCTATAGTGTTATATGGCTGGGTGTAGTAAGTATAAGCCTAGGAGGGTTCTGATGGGCAACAGTTGGTCAGCATATGTTACCTTATTGATCAGGCCGAGTATTGGCAGTCATGGAAAACAACCATGAACAACCCACATGTTCTACACCGGAGGCTTTGTGGGCATGGCAGGAACGTTCCTTCCAGATATTCAATACTAACTTATATTGCTTGCTTCCAAGTATTCAATACCAACTTACACTCCAAACAACGCCATGTGCGATAAAATAAGTAGGGATGAAAACGTAAGAATTTGTTCTGGTTTGTAGTTAAATATTAATGTGGAAGTTGTTCTGTGAACACCTTATACATGTATTAGTCAGTGTAGTAAGGATGAAAGTGAGACAAATATCAGATATCAGTGGTCACCTTCTGAGAGTTTTGGACCTTAAGTTAGCTGAACATGCTGTGATGACCATATAAAGAGAGGATATTTTGTTGTCTAATGCGCCACTCGTCAACATATCAACTTTGTCAGACCACTCGAGGAAATATACATGTTATTTGACAACATTAACAAAATATTATATTTATTATATTTTTATCATTGTTTATAAATGCAATTTATTACGCAACCCAACTACAGTTTAGCCCTTGAGCAGAAAGTAGTTCCAGGCAAAGGTGATATTCTACTTAGTTACATAACATGTTATTCTACTCAGTGAAAATACCATTTTTATTTTCACCAATATTTTCAGTATTTCACCCTTAAGAATATAGTAAAACAGTGTCTTTGCACATGTATTAAGGATTAGATTTTTTACAAGGCTATATTACTCTCCCATGCAGGATAATTTTGTATATTTCTTGCTTTTGCTGTAGCAAGGTTTAACATTAACATAATTCTCTTAGTCTCTAAGTCTCATTCTTCCTGGTAGACCGGTTCTGTTATTGTTCAGGATGGTAGGGTAGCTTAGTGTTTGAAACATTTGCTTGTCACCCTGAAGACCTGGGTTTGATTCCCCATATGGGTACAATGTGTAAAGTTCATTTCTGGTGTCCCTCATTGTGACTTGGCTGGAATGTTGGTAAAAGTGGTGTAAACCTGCCTCACTCCTTGATCGTTAGCTAAATGTCTTTGAAACTAAACTTTGTAAATCAGGACATTAGTTAATCTGTTTGATTTCACTTGGAAGTCTAGGAAATGGGGTTGGACTTAGTGAGTAATTATAGTATTGTTTACCCATGAATACATCATGGTTTGTCATTCATATTAATGTCATCTTATATTTAAGCATTGTGTATTACTAATATTTTTGGTTATTGGATTTCCAGTTCGAATATGATTACATGTATAGGAAAAAAGTGTGGCATTGATAGGTTGATTGTATTTTCCATCTCCGCTGTGCCGGTATGCGCTGTGTAGTTTGATCAGATCATTAGTAGGTAAGAGAAATCAATTCCCTCACAAGCCGACCAAGGTGTTGCTCTACTCAATATATGGATGTCGCAACAGCTGGGCTGCCATGCCTTTACTGTATGTTTTGCTGAGTTTTCAAACACAGACTGTCAATAAAATGTACTTCTAAACGTTGTCAAATGAAAACTCTTGACATTAGCTATAAATTAAGTTCTAGTAAATTTTAAACCAATTGAAAGATTTGAACTTGATAACATCAAATTTGTTGATAACTATTGTGGATTCTTTTTAAATATTAAAAATCTTCTATATATTTGTTGTCATTTTCTTCTTCTTTTTTTGTAAGATTAAGAGAAAAAATCAGAATTTATTTTTGTCCATATGTGTGAGTAAAGACTGTTTTAAAGCACAGTAAGAAAACTATGTCATAAATAATAATTTTGTTTGGGCCTGTCTGAATAGTGGTTGATAGCATGAGTGATGATTGGGATGTGACATTTGTCAGCTAGGTCACACATTGTGGAAAGATCCACATTTGTTTTAAGGATTTGTTTTAAAGACATTCCATTATTTTGACTGTATGTAGAAGGCAGGAGTTCATCATGTGGCCTTGTATTTCAGGTGTTACGATACACTGCTGGTCACATCAACTATGGCGGACGGGTGACAGATGACTGGGACAGGCGCACACTCATGAACATCCTCAACGACTTCTACAACCCTGAGATCCTGGATGAGGACCACCTCTACTCCCCCAGTGGTGTCTACAGACAGATCAGTCCCTCCCAGGACCATAATGTAAATATGTGATGCACATGACTTACCTCCCCTTGTACTTGAGCAACCTGTGGTAGCAGAGAACTACCCTCAATCATTGGGCAAGGTTGGATAGTCCAAACATAACGGGGAAGCCATTAATGTCTACACTGAAATATATCATTCATGTCAGTGTATTAATTTCAAAGAATGCAATATATTTTTGGACTTGTAAAATTTAGAGCCCACCATAGTGTCATGTAGATCTATGTGATTTTCCCACAGGATCATGTAGATCTATGAGATTCTACCAAAGGATCATGTAGACCTATGTGATCTCACAGTGGGATCATGTAGACTTATGTGATCTCACTATTGGATCATGTAGACCTGTGTGATCTCACAGTGGGATCATGTAGACCTATGTGATCTCACAAAGGGATCATGTAGACCTGTGTGATCTCACAGTGGGATCATGTAGACCTATGTGATCTCACAATTGGATCATGTAGACCTGTGTGATCTCACATTGAGATCATGTAGACCTATGTGATCTCACAGTGGGATCATGTAGACCTGTGTGATCTCACAGTGAGATCATGTAGACCTATGTGATCTCACAAAGGGATCATGTAGACCTGTGTGATCTCACAGTGGGATCATGTAGGCCTATGTGATCTCACAAAGGGATCATGTAGACCTATGTGATCTCACAAAGGAATCATGTAGACCTATGTGATCTCACAGTGGGATCATGTAGACCTGTGTGATCTCACAGTGGGATCATGTAGACCTGTGTGATCTCACAGTGAGGTCATGTAGACCTATGTGATCTCACAAAGGGATCATGTAGACCTGTGTGATCTCACCTATGTGATCTCACAAAGGAATCATGTAGACCTGTGTGATCTCACAGTGGGATCATGTAGACCTATGTGATCTCTCAAAGGAATCATGTAGACATGTGTGATCTCACAGTGAGATCATGTAGACCTATGTGATCTCACAGTGGGATCATGTAGACCTATGTGATCTCACAGTGGGATCATGTAGACCTATGTGATCTCACAGTGAGATCATGTAGACCTATGTGATCTCACAGTGAGATCATGTAGACCTATGTGATCTCACAATGGGATCATGTAGATATATGTGATTCCTCCAGAGGATCATGTAGGTGTATCTGAATTCTCCACAGGATCAGTAGGTCTCTGCAGCCGCTCATATACTTCCCCCACAATAAGTCCTGACTGCATCACACTTATCTTATGGGCTGTGGATCTGATGAAGCAAGTGCTATACGCTTTGTGTTTGCTAGTATAGAGTGTGAGGTACTCAAGTTTTTTTTGCAGTGTGATTTTTGGCTTGTTTGATAAACATTACAAAACAGATTTTGTATGTAATATATATGAACTGTCAGTGCACCCATGTAATGAAGTAACAGACAGGTTCTCCTGTCCCACATGTAGCATAGTAGATAGTATCTACCTGAGTTAGGCATTAAGTAGTTTCTCAGGATTCCTATCTTCAGTGGCTATCACTACAACAGACAGAGACATTTGTATTATCTTGCAAGCAAGGTCGGGATGGGAGTGGCTGCTTGTTAGGAATTTGTTTAAATCATGTGACTTTAAGTACTTAAGGACTCAAAGGGTTTTTTGGTAGTAAGAAGCCCATGAACCTGATAGAGAACAATGGCTATTAATGCATGGAGGGGTAGTCTAGTGGTGAACTTGCACACTGTTAATGCCATTGGCCGGGGTTCTATTCCCCTCATGGTACAATATGTGAATCCCATTGCTGTTGTGGCATGAGACAATTCTCTATCACTCCAGTCATTGCACTACATTGCCATAGAGCAACCTATGGTAGTTGTTGATTGTACCCCATCTACCTGGTCCATTGTTCATAATATCAATCTCTGGATTGTCTGGTCCATTCGCTGTCATCCCTACTCTTCCAGCTCTTGTATCGCCCCCTGTCATCCCCATCCTTACAGCTCTTGTATTGTCCTGTTCTCATCTGTCCCCCAATGTCCCAGCTAGCTCTTGTATCACCTGGCTCTGTCATCCCCCCAATGTCCTTTCTCAGCTCTTGTATCGTCCCAGCCTCTGTCATCCCTCAGTGTCCTCTTCTCATCCCCAATGTCCCAGCTCTTGTATGTCTCTCTTGTATTGTCTTCTCATCCCCAATGTCCAAGCTCTTGTATTGTCCTGTTCTCATCTGTAATGTCCTGTCTTCATCCCCTCAATGTCATCCCCAGTGTTCATCCCCAATGTCCCAGCTCTTGTATTGTCCTGGCTCTGTCATCCCCAATGTCCTTCTTGTGTTGTATCCTCTGTCATCCCCACTCTTCCAGCTCTTTGTATTTGTCCTCTTGTCATCCCCTCATCTTCCAGCTCTTCTATTGTCCCAGCTCTGTCCCCCACTCTTCCAGTCATCCCCACTCTTGCAGCTCTTCTATTGTCCTCTGTCATCCCCACTCTTGCCAGCTCTTCTATTGTCCTCTGTCATCCCCTTCTTCCAGCTCTTCTGTCATCCCCATGACCTCTGTCATCCCTCACCTCTTCCAGCTCTTCTATTGACCTCTGTCATCCCACTCTTGCAGCTCTTCTATTGACCTCTGTCTTGCAGCTCCCCACTCTTGCAGCTCTTCATCCCCACTCTTCCAGCTCTTCTATTGTCCTCTGTCATCCCCACTCTTCCAGCTCTTCTATTTGTCCTCTGTCATCCCCACTCTTCCAGCTCTTCTATTGTCCTCTGTCATCCCCACTCTTCCAGCTCTTCATCCCCATTGTCCTCCTGTCATCCCCACTCTTCCAGCTCTTCTATTGTCCTCTGTCATCCCCACTCTTCCAGCTCTTCTATTGTCCTCTGTCATCCCCACTCTTCCAGCTCTTCTATTGTCCTCTGTCATCCCCACTCTTCCAGCTCTTCTATTGTCCTCTGTCATCCCCACTCTTCCAGCTCTTCTATTGTCCTCTGTCATCCCCACTCTTCCAGCTCTTCTATTGACCTCTGTCATCCCCACTCTTCCAGCTCTTCTATTGACCTCTGTCATCCCCACTCTTCCAGCTCTTCTATTGACCTCTGTCATCCCCACTCTTCTAGCCATGAACAGAATACGTTCAAGTGACAGCAGCCACCAGCTGCTAGTTGAGTGATGCCTGATACCAGTCCATGATTAATTCACAAGCTATGGAATTTCTGGATGTGCAAGTCAAAGTAATGAATGTGATAGTCCACAGCAAACAGCTGGGATTATAAGCAGTGTCTATTTATATCTATAGTTGTATTCACACCTCTAGAACCATATTTGTGCAGGCTAATTGAGGAGTTCAGTAATCCATACAGGGTGAATTCCATAAAACATATGCTTCTGAGACAGATCGATGTGTTTTTGTCTCACAGAATATGCAAGGAAAGATGACCTGTGTAAATGACTGGAAGTGTCCAATCTATTATTTCCACCCTGTTAGAGACAGTGATTGTTATTTATATGTGAGAGAACAAATGGCTGTTTAATGCTGACGCGGATAATCAATGTAACTGTCAGATAGCGAGCCAGGGCTTAAACCCAGACCTTGTAGGCAATAACCTAGAACAGTTGACACTAGACTACCCTGTCCCTTAAGCTTATATAGTTAAGTTTGTGTGAGTCATGCTGATAGTGCTGATGCTAGGTGTGTTTCTGGTCAATGTATAGACTGATTATTTGATACAAAAGCTTGCAATCAAATTACTCATTTCTGATAAAACTCAATCCTCAGGATTCCTGTTTATAAATGATATGCTGTTACACATACTTTTATTACTTGTAACTGATACTTGTTTTGAACTTCCATGAAACATGTTTAATAACAGTCAGAATATTTGTAACCATTGTCAACTATTGCAATGTATTTAAAGTTTTAGGAGAAATCTATTGAATGATTTTAAAATTTGGTGACCCGTGAAGGTCCGGGTTAGAATATTGATCTTCAGTAACCCATGCTTGTCGTAAGAGGCGACTAATGGGATTGGGTGGTCATGTCATCAGTTCCCAATTGCGCAGATCAATACTCATGCTGTTGATCACTGGATTGTCTGGTCCAGACTCGATTACTTACAGACCGCCGCCATATAGCTGGAATATTGCTGAGTGCGGCGTAAAACTAAACTCACTCACTCACTCATATCAAATTTTGTTTTAATACAAAACCAATTTCTTATTTTGAGCTAGAGGTAATAATGGCAATTCAGCCAATTCAAACATAAATTCTTTAAAGAATATTTATACAAACCTCCTGTCACAGCAAGAAAGCATGTAACTGACAAATTCAAAGAAACCTGATGAAACAAGATGTTTCTAAAAATGTCCTCCACTACCATATTTTAAAGCACCCATCATGATCGAAGGTCAAGGTAATAAGACATGTAGCTCCACTTAAAAGATGTAAGTTATCCCAAGTCCAATGTCATATATTTCCTTCCCTAGGGTTATACAGCATATATACGTAGCCTGCCCATCAATGACTCTCCAGAAATCTTCGGCCTCCACGACAACGCTAACATCACCTTCGCCCAGGCGGAGACATTATTCTTGTTGACTGGCCTTCTGCAGCTCCAACCCAAGTCCAAGGCTGGAGGAGGCAAATCTCGAGAGGAGGTAAGAGTTATGCAGACTTATTACCTTCCTTATATAGAATGTTACCAAGACAACAAATTGTCTAGTATTACAACTACCACGAGGAGTGGTAAAAATTCAGGATCTTTGTCAGTGGCTATCCGTTTTCAGACAGGTAACAGTTTGGTTTAATTTTGATGTTTGGACATGTTGTTTTTCAAGGGGGATATGAATGTAAGTCCAAGTGAGACTAGTGAAATAGTTAGACTTTAATTTATTATCTGGGATTAGCTTCACCAGATGACATTAAACAGGAACGAAAAATGTTAGAACCACTGATGGATCTCAAAACAGAAGAGATATAAAGAAGTGGAACTCATCATTAAGTAATATCTTGACCATCTCAACTAGGATAAATTGTGTGTTTTGTAAGTGTTTATGTTGTGTGTTTTGCTACACCGTTTGTGTCTGTGTGTTTTGTAAGTGTTTATGTTGTGTGTTTTGCTACACTGTTTGTGTCTGTGTGTTTTGTAAGTGTTTATGTTGTAACCGTTTGTGTCTGTGTGTTTATGTTGTGTGTTTTGCTACACTGTTTGTGTCTGTGTGTTTTGTAAGTGTTTATGTTGTGTGTTTTGCTACAATGTTTGTGTCTGTGTGTTTTGTAAGTGTTTATGTTGTGTGTTTTGCTACACTGTTTGTGTCTGTGTGTTTTGTAAGTGTTTATGTTGTGTGTTTTGCTACACCTGTTTGTGTCTGTGTGTTTTGTAAGTGTTTATGTTGTGTGTTTTGCTACACCGTTTGTGTCTGTGTGTTTTGTAAGTGTTTGTTGTGTGTTTTGCTACACTGTTTGTGTCTGTGTGTTTTGTAAGTGTTTATGTTGTGTGTTTTGCTACACCGTTTGTGTCTGTATGTTTTGTAAGTGTTTATGTTGTGTGTTTTGCTACACTGTTTGTGTCTGTGTGTTTTGTAAGTGTTTATGTTGTGTGTTTTGCTACACTGTTTGTGTCTGTGTGTTTCTGTATGTTTTGTAAGTGTTTATGTTGTGTGTTTTGCTACACCGCTTGTGTCTTGTGTAAGTGTTTATGTTTTGTGTTTTGCTACACCGCTGTTTGTGTGTTTTGTAAGTGTTTATGTTGCGTGTTTTGCTACTGTTTGTGTCTGTATGTTTTGTAAGTGTTTATGTTGTGTGTTTTGCTACACTGTTTGTGTCTGTGTGTTTCAGGTGATGGAGGAAACAGCCAAGAACATCCTGAGCCAGGTTCCGGCAGCTCTGCCTATTGGCCCCATTATGGAGAAGTACCCTGTCCTGTATGAACAGAGCATGAACACTGTGCTGGTCCAGGAGGTCATCAGGTCAGTTGTGTGGTCACAGAGTTGGCCTTGCTTTCAACATTGTCCTTTAAACTGATATTTGCAAGTGCAGATTCATCATATTATATAAGTGGGTCAGTTTGGGGATTTTACCTGTCAACACACTGATTAAGATCGAGTTGAATTAATCATGCCTGTGGGCCACTTACTTACCACTAGTCGTAAGCAAGTAGCTATCTTCTACATGTGTCCCGAAACAAGGTGTGTTCCCTGGGGACTGGCACAAGGCCTTCCAAACAGGGACAGAGAAGGGTTAAGACCCCCTTGATCAGCATTTGGTTCAGAATTTTTCCATTTTTATGTTCTCATGAACATGGGTATTATGAAATTTACAGTCATGATACATCTGGTTTTCAAAACAATGGCCACTCTGCAAAACATGGAGCATCTTGGACAACAATTTGACCACATACCTGAATTATTTAGGGAAGAAATAAGTCTCTCTTACAGAACCTTCCAAAACACATAGGGGTGGTGGTAAGCCAAGTGGTTAAAGTGTCCAGTCATCATGCTGAAGACCTGGGTTCGATTCCTCACATGGGTACACTGTGTGAATCCCATACCTGGTCTCCCCTCATATGATCTTGCTGGAATATTGCTAAAAGCGGTGTAAAACCCACTCCCTCCTATACTGTAAAACACCTTCATTTGATTAGACTGAAATCACGTGTGTGTGTGCTGCAGGTACAACCGTCTGTTGAACACCATCAACCAGTCACTGAAGGACCTACTGAAGGCTCTCAAGGGTCTAGTGGTCATGTCCCAGGAGCTGGAGAACATGGCCAACTCCCTCTACAACAACATGGTCCCCACCATGTGGGCAGGCAAGGTAAGGAGACCCATACATTAGCCCCAGACCCAATCCTGGTGACAGGTGACCTTACCAGTGAGTGAATGTTGTAGCTTTTAAAATTATCATGTCTTGGCCTGCCAAACCTGTGGTTGACGTGATGAAGAGTGATGTGTGTCATAATCAGCCAGGTCATACTTGTAACTGAGGCTAACACTCAGTTGTCAAATGTTCTCATACTTCAATATATTTAACTACAAAAAGATGTAAAGAAATTCCAGAAGTAGACTTCATAAGAACAATTTATAATTACAGCTTCAAGAAATAACATGGTCTTATTTATAAGTACATGGAATCAACATTGAGCCCCAAACAAAGGGTATTTTCAGAGCAGTGCCATCTATACTTCCCAAGTCATTCTTGACTTGCGTTTAGTTCATTGTATAATTTATTGTGAAAGGGATGTAGAAAGATTAATTGTAACAAGCAGACCCCATTCTGCAAAGAAGTCAAAGAGCTTGGACAATAATACATTGAGTTCCACTGGTCATAGCACCAATATGGCTGTCTGGAATAGGTCCAAGATCCCAACAAGCAACTATAACAAAAGTATGTGACACTACAGGCGCTTCTATCCCTGTATCTTCAGAGGCATTGATTGAACAAAAGGTTTTGTCTTGATTTCTGTTGTATATAATGTTCACATGTATCTACTGCCATTCCTAAATACTGATTATAGGAACATGTTACCAGTGTAGGTGTTACTTCCCATGTTCAGTATACTGACTCTGTACTGGACTGTTTCAGGCCTACCCCTCACTGAAGCCTCTTGCATCCTGGGTGTTGGACCTGTGTACTAGGATGGAGTTCATCCAAGACTGGATCGACAATGGCATTCCACCAGTAAGATATTCCAAAAGCTATTGCTGTAAAAAATATATTCTTACAATAAAAATTTGATATCAGTGTTAATATCTGTGCATGTGAGAGTAATTCAGGTCAGTACATTTTCGAAGAAATCTTCATTTTGCAGGACTAACCTGGTTCTACAGGTTCTCTACCTGTACAAGACTAACCTGTCTGTGATGCTCTGTGTTAAATGAGCTCTGTGTTCTGTCCTAGGTGTTCTGGATCTCTGGTTTCTTCTTCCCACAAGCCTTCCTCACAGGAACACTGCAGAACTTTGCCAGAAGGAAGGTCATCTCCATTGACACCATCAGCTTTGACTTCGAGGTAAGGAACCTTGTTAGTTTTGTGCCAGCATAGTATCCCAGCCGGATCAGCAAGATGTTGCTGCCAACTATGCATCACTCCTGCAACGCTGCCTCAAGCTAATTTACATATCATCTTGACTTTCATTTGTTTATGGACAAAAAGCTGCACTTACTGATGGAAGACTGTCAGTGTGATAGGGGCGGTGGGGTAGCCTAGTGGTTAAAGCGTTGGCTCGTGACGCTGAAGATCCGGGTTCGAATCCCCACATGGGCACAATGTGTGAAGCCCATTTCTGGTGTCCCCCGCTGTGATGTTGCTGGAATATTGGTAAAAGCGGCGTAAAACCAAACTCAGTCAGTCAGTCAGTGTGATATATAGGTTGTTTTGCATATTACAATGAGAACAGAGTGTATCTGTATGTAAAGGGACTGTCAAGCTAACTAGCAAAAGGGCTTTGATGGCTTTGTGTGTAACCAGTATAAACAAAGGATGAATATGCAAATTGAAATATCATTTAACCTGTGTTTTTTACTTTTTTAATGAAAGTTGACCATTTCACAGCATTTGTATATATAACTGTGTTAACTGCTTACAAGTGAAATAGACCAAAAGCTTATCCATCATCCAAAACCTGCATCCATTGGAGATATTCGTTTTGATTGTTGGACATCTCAAAGTATAACTTTAGTTTGCACAGCTTCAGTGGTTGTCTTTTCTTCCAATCAGATAATGCGAGAGTCATATGCAGAGCTGAAGGAGTCCCCAGTGGATGGCTGCTACATCCGAGGCTTGTACCTAGAGGGGGCAAGGTGGGACTACACCAACAACACCCTGACCGAGTCTCGGCCCAAGGAACTCTACACCGATGTCCCTGTTATCTGGCTCAAACCTTTCCCCAACAGGGTACCGAAGGAGACTGGCATCTATGAGTGCCCAGTGTACAAGACACTCACACGAGCAGGTGGGTAGGACAATGAATGATGGGGGGATGATTGGGATGATGTTGGTGACTGAGAAGGGATCTACATGAGAATGGTTGTGATGGTGGGAGGTAGCAGTTTAAAAATGGCACTGTGGTGATGATGATGGGTAGTGGTTGTGGTGATGGTGATGGTGATGATGATGATGATGATGATGATGATGATGATGATGATGATGATGATGATGATGAAAAGATTGTTACTAGATGATGTTGATAAAAATGACCAGATGACAATGATGATGATTAGTTGATGACTAGATGATGATGGTAAAGAAGACATCATGATGATGAAGATGATGATGATGATTAGATAATAGTGATAAAGACTGACTGACTGACTGAGTTTGGTTTTACGCCACTTTTAGCAATATTCCAGCAACATCACGGCGGGGGACACCAGAAATGGGCTTCACACATTGTGCCCATGTGGGGATTCAACGCTTTAACCATTAGGCTACCCCACTGCCCCTAGTGATAAAGAAGACTACATGATGAAGAAGACTACCTGCCTTTTCTCAGATTCATGTTCAAAACTAATGAAGAACATAGGACCGTTAGCTTCATATTTATTTGAAACAAATATCTCATTACATTTTATGAGGTCTGTGACAGACAAGTCCGGGTCTATTAACCTGACATTACTGCATGACATTAACGCACTTGGTCACGGGTCATTAACTGCGATCATCACAACAACACAAGACTACGCAGATCATGGCAGCACTTACACAGTTGGTGGTGATGCAGACACTGCAGCATATTGTCAATACTATCAAACATTGAGTCCTTAATCTGTGGAGTTGTACATAATCAAACCCGTGTTAACTAATCCTCAGTAAGTCATACCTCACTGGCTGACAGAGTTACGGACTAGGTACAGCTAACCACAGGCTTTGAAAACCTGCCTCCAGCAGGCAGAGTGTTGATACCTGCAATGACCTGACATAGCCCTTAATCCCATTCATTAAAGACAGCTTCTTGACACCATTATCCCTTTGAAGTGGCCTGCTTGATTATCACACACTTAAGGAGTACCACCACCCCAGGCCTCTTTGTATGAGATAAGGTCACCTGGGGTTAACAAGTATATTGGGTATACCTGATAAATGGACTGACCACCAGGTGCCTCTGCTTGGATTAGGACATCATGGGAAGCTGCGTTAGCCTTGTTGGAAACACTGGCGTTATTTGACCCACCATTAAAAGTAGTTGCAGTACTGAGACTGTCATTCTGTAAAAGTTAGGCATAAGGAAACATAGACCTGCACTACTTCACATAGCAGTTGTAGCTCTACATCGATCACAGCTGCCCTAGTTTAACATAGACTTATGAACTTCACCTTGTTAAACAGAGCCCTGGGAATGTTGTCTTTGCATCACATAGTAACATCAGTTGTAGCTTAATACTTCATCAAGCTCTACATAGTTTAACATAGACTTATGAACTTCACTTTGTTGAACAGAGCCCTGGGAATGATGTCTTTGCATCACTTAACAAAGCAGCTGTAGCTCTACATTGATCATAGATCACCTAGGTTAAAATAGACTTATGAACTTCACTTTGTTAAACAGAGCCCTGGGAATGATGTCTTTGCTATACTTCACATAGCAGTTGTAGCTCTACATCAATCACAGCTCCCCTAGTTTAACATAGACTTATGAACTTCACTTTGTTAAACAGAGCCCTGGGAATGATGTCTTTGCTATACTTCACATAGCAGTTGTAGCTCTACATCAATCACAGCTCCCCTAGTTTAACATAGACTTACGAACTTCACTTTGTTAAACAGAGCCCTGGGAATGATGTCTTTGCTATACTTCACATAGCAGTTGTAGCTCTACATCGATCATAGCTCCCCTAGTTTAACATGGACTTATAAACTTCACTTTGTTAAACAGAGCCCTGGGAATGATGTCTTTGCATCACTTAACAAAGCAGTTGTAGCTCTACATTGATCATAGATCACCTAGTTTAACATATCATGGCATATGATCATAGACTTAGCAGTATTATTGCTAAGATCAGTTCCTGAAAGCGTTGCCTATATCTGAGCCACGTCAATGTTGGAGTGTGGGAGACTGCTCTAAGATCACTTTGCGGATGGATCACCTGGAAATGTGGGCCTTTTTCTTTGCCCACACTATGACACAGACCACTGTAATTTCCAAAGTTTAACGTAAACTTATGACAGTTATAAGTATCCTGTTTAGAACAGAGCCCAAGAGATGTTATCTTTTTGCAAAGGGAGTGTCAAGTTCACTCAGTGAGACAGCGACACGGAAACATATCACCATTACCCAGCTATTACTGTTACTGCTATTGTGTAATACAGACTTAGGACAGTCGTCACACTATATCACTTCCTGCACCACAGACCTTCATAATCATCCTTGTGCATCTACACAAAGCCACTACTGCTATACATTGACCAGTGTTATATACAGACTCATGCACTGAACATGCTTTAATGTTGGACCTCTAATATAGTGTGGGGCTCAGGGATGGCTTACAGGTAAAGCATTTGCTCATCACGCCAAAGTCTTGGGTTTGATCCCCCACATGGGTACAATGTGAGATGTCCATTTCTGGTGGACCCCGCCGTGATATTGCTGGAATGAATATGCGATACCATTTAGAAAAGGGCAAATGTAACACCTGTTATATTTTGGATTACACTTTCTGAATGGGTTAGAAGGCTGACAATGTGTGTACTGGCGATTAGGTGTCTGTCTGTTAGGGTGTTGGTTCAAATCCCAGATGGGACTCAACCCAACAAAAGTACTAGAATCTGTACTTTACTGAGAAAATGTAATCACAAATATGTGTGTGATATTGCTGGAATATTGCTAAAAGTGGCATAAAACTATACCCACTCACTCACTCTCTCTAATAGAGAAATCTGAGAACAACATATCCCCTGTGATTCGGTGACTTGTCCATTCTGCTGAAAGAGGGACATCCAATCTTTTTATTGATCCACAAGGGGACATGAAAATATCAGTTTCTGAAGAATCGCTGATAATGTCACCCACCTTGAGTGAAATAATCTGTTATTTATTGGCACAGAATACATTGGAGAGAACTTGATTGAGACATGTGAGAATGCTGGATACATTTACTTCCAATCAGGATGTTGATGTTAGGAGACTAAACTCCTACATGAACATTTTAAATGTGATTAATGTCCTATTTGTGTTTCATAATTGTAAGTATTTGTGAAAGTGAAAAGAAAACTATGGACATTATCTGTGCATGGTGTTAGATTTACAATTAGGATAGTGCCTGTATCACTTAGCTTGTTTTTGAAACTGATTAATAGTTATGGTGCCATGGCGCCCATGTGGTGCTAGTAGATGGACAGTTCTGGTCCTTAGTGATGATCCTTGATCTGACAACACTGTATTCGCAGTCATCGTGCCAAGTTTACTCAAGTAGATTTGAAAGTTTGGGGCACAGGCTGACCTCCACTATTTGAAACAGCAGATTTGAAGGGTGCGTCACTGTGAATGCTATTATCTGTAGAAAAATACATCATTCTTTGTGATTGTCAGCTTTCATTTAGAAAGAAGATATGTCAGCATAATTTAGCCTCGCCCAACATACTTCTGTATTCTCACAACTGAAAGGCCACAAGCCAATAGTACTTGTGTTACTGTGTATATGTGAAGTGGCTGTGCACACTAATTGTTTCCTAATTAATGTGGCATGTTAATTATACATTTATAGGTTACGGATAATATTGGTATTGACTGATTCCATCAAAGAATCGAACATGTACAACTGCATTTCATGGAATATTGTAGAGCTATTTTACCTGTAGATTTATCCATGCTAAATTGAATTCAAAACAAAACATGTAGGTAAATTAAACACTGCATTGGAGACACAGAATGTTTTATCCAAAATAGTGTTTAAAATTACGTGCAATGTCTCATATATAGACTAAGGCTTAGTCTCTGAATATATATAATTTTGATAGTAACAAACAAGCCCATGTATATTGAAAAGGAGCCCTAGGGAGACCAGAGATTCCTGAACTTGAGGAAATCTAGACTTGCTTTATTTAGGGCTTTAACACTGCAGAGAGGGCTTGGCAGTAGGGAAAATAATGTGGTTCAGGGACTGTGAGACAGACTATCTCATATATTGTAGAGCTATTTTAGCTGTAGATATATCCCTTCTAAATTGTATATTAAGCTAAACACATAGATTTCAAATGGTAAATTTAACACCACATTGAAAACACAGAATGTTTTTATCCTAAATAGTGTTCAAATTACGTGCAGTGTCTCTCACTACTATAGAGCCAGAGGCTAAATGAGAAGGTTAGTAACTGTCTATTTATGACATCTTAGATATTTGGTTTTGGAAAACAAAGTAAATCCTTATCTTGTGTTGCTTTCACATATATTTATCCAAGTCAATAAGTTACAGCATAATGTATTTGCTGTTTACCAATCTTATCAACATCCATGTACGGGAACATCAATACACTTGTTTATCAGTACATTGTATTATTTGTGTGTAGTGAGTCAACCACTTGACAATTCATGGCCATGCATGTCCGTCTCAAGATCTACAGATAAATGATATAGATAAATTTGGTACGTTTTAGTGGATTTATTATACACATGACAATGGAGTTTGTGTGTGAGATGATTTAGGAGCATGTTATTATATTTGCCTGTGATACGAGCTGGGTCATTATGGCCTACACTGGTAATGATGTCAGCGTCGTCAGGGAGTGAGTGAGTTGAGTTTTACGCCACACTCAGCAATATTCCAGCTGTATGGCGGCGGTCTGTAAATAATCGAAGTCTGGACCAGACAATCCAGTGATCAACAGCATGAACATCAATCGGCTCAACTGGGAACCAATGACATGTGTCAACCAGGTCAGCAAGCCTGACCACCAGATCCCGTTAGTCGCCTCTTACGACAAGCATGGGTTACTGAAGATCAATATTCTAACTCTGACCTTCACGGGTTGTTGTCAGGGAGGTAATAGGTGGAATAAACCAATAGTGGACAACCCGATTCTTTCATATTTCTATAGTTCATCATGCAATGACCGATTGACTGTAGTAATATGAAAGAATTGGGTCATCCTTTAATTGTTTTGAGTAGTATGTGTAAAGCCAGATCAGTTTAGCTTATTGTCTAACAGGTGGACCTCATATTAATTTGGCAGTAGTATATAAATAATTTTAAAATATGAAAGATTTTATCATGAAATTACATCATTTGCATCTGACGACATTTTTAGTAGGTTTTAATGTGAGTTAGTGGAATTATGTAAATGGAACATATCAGGCAATCATACTCTTTCCAGACAAAGTTGATGTAATCTGGCTTTGTGTTGCAGACTATCTTATCAGTAGTGAATTAAAGGTCCTTGTCAAAAATTTGTGTTGAAAATGAAATATTTAGGACTTGTATTATTAGAAGAATTAAAATATCAACAGTACTGACCCTTCCCACCCAACCCCCACCTAACCCCCCCCCAACCCCTCCCTACCCCTACCTCTACCTACCTACCCCCACTCCCACCTCATACCCTGAATTTGTAACACTCCAGAGAACTCATAAACACATCTAGATTTATGTTCAAATAGAATTCATCTATCAACAATCAAAAGTACGGTATGTAAGGCTTTCTTGTGGAAATTTTGTAAACAACAATCTGTTTTCTGCAACTGACAATAGCATGAGACTGATAGCCTGTTAGTTCTCCCTGACCTGTGTGGGTGTGGTCCGGCCTACCTGCTCTACTTGGCCCATATATTTAGGAATGTATCTACAGCCATCTTTGATCCAATACAGTGTCAGTGGACATCGTCAATAGTGTCATTGATGGACAGTGAACTGAGTGACTGTCACTGTTGGCAGTGTTTATCCTCTGTCATGGGTGAGGGATGTTTAGTAAGATTCACTGTCTTGGGATTCGGATTAGAGAACTTGTATTTATATTGTTTAAGTATACCTATTTCTGGAATAACATTGAAACTATTGATTTTGAGCTCACGTATTTGTTGTAGGTATGTAAATGCTTGCTATGAAGTCATGTGATACATAATTCAATATTGCATACTATGGAGGATAGAAGCATTTCAGTGTAATAGGCCTGGCAGAAATAATGCAAGATGTGATTTTGTAAACATGACAATATTCGTCAAGGTGCATTTTCTCTTCCTTTGCTATTCAGTGTCATCATTGCTAAAACTCACATCGATGTGATATCTCAGGTGGTGCAGAACTTTACCTGTTGTATCTTTTCTATAGTTATGCTGACCCCAAATACCTGCAGTGCCTATGCTGACCCCAAATACCTGTAATACCTATGCTGACCCCAAATACCTGTAATACCTATGCTGACCCCAAATACCTCTAATACCTATGCTGACCCCAAATACCTGCAGTGCCTATGCTGACCCCAAATAGCTGTAATACCTATGCTGACCCCAAATACCTGTAATACCTATGCTGACCCCAAATACCTGCAGCATGCCTATGCTGACCCCAAATACCTGTAATGCCTATGCTGACCCCAAATACCTGTGCTGACCCCAAATGCCTGTAATACCCATGCTGACCCCAAATACCTGTAATACCTATGCTGACCCCAAATACCTGTAATACCTATGCTGACCCCAAATACCTGTAATACCTATGCTGACCCCAAATACCTGTAATACCCATGCTGACCCCAAATACCTGTAATACCTATGCTGACCCCAAATACCTGTAATACCCATGCTGACCCCAAATACCTGTAATACCTATGCTGACCCCAAATACCTGTAATACCTATGCTGACCCCAAATACCTGTAATACCTATGTTGTGCATCTGCTAACTGATGGTTGCTGACCCCAAATACCTGTAATGCCTTGCTGACCCCTGTGCCTGTAGTACCTATGCCAACCCCAATACCTGTAATACTGACACAAACACCTGTAATACCTATGCTGACCTGTAATGCCCAAACCCAATACCTGTAATACCTATGCTGACCTCCAAATACCTGTAATACCTATGCTGATGCCGATGCTGACCCCAAATACCTGTAATACCTATGCTGACCCAAAATACCTCTAATACCTATGCTGACCCCAAATACCTCTAATACCTATGCTGACCCACAAAATACCTGTAATACCTGATGCTAATGGTTTGTTTGTACCTCTAATACCTATGCTATGAGTAAAATGTCAATACCTGTACTACTGACACAAACACCTGTAATACCTATGCCTACACCAACCCCACCTGTGGTACCCATGCAATGTCTGATACCTGTAGTACCTATGCCAACCCTATCAGACTTAATCTCTTTGCACTCTCCCAATCTGCTTGTCACAGTCTCAAACGTTTTTTGTACAGATAACGGGTGTTACCCCAGTATAACTGAATGGTTATAATCGTCTATTTGTAACTGTAAACCATTAAAATGATATTTTCAGCTTGTATGAGTAAAATGTCAGTGCATGAACTAGCAACTTATTGTTCCCATAGTGACATCTCCTTATACCACCTGCCTTCTACCTAGGATAATTATACTGCTATCTACAGGTCAGAGAAAGTATGACTAAAGGGAGTTGCCCCGAATGAAGTCATTAATGTCTGCTCTATTTGCATGTAAGGATTTAATTGAGTGTAAGTCATTCGATTTTTTGCCTCATTGTGTATGATGTCAGTGTAGCAAATTGTATGTGTAAGATTCCGTGTATTGACGATGTGATACTACACTCCACTGCCTGCATTCAGCTGATATTTACCTACCAGTCAGTCAGCTCGGTGGGATATAAATCTTATATCAAATACGTGTTAACAGAGTTAGGACACTATAGCAGGGATTTAGCATTTATGGGGAAATGTTTAGCAGTACAAACTGTTCTGAGTGGTACTTAGGAAGTTTGATGTATGATCTACAGGAATAATGAATAGAGTTCACTGAATGAAATTGTTACATGTTTGCATGCTTTTAATGGATTATGTGGATGTTAAGTTTTGTTTTGTTTTGTAATCCATTCATGTCAGTCAGGTTGTATCCCAGTACCTCATGTATGTCAGCTGTAGGGATTAGGGGACAGCTTAGATCCCCAGTACCCCATGTATGTCAGCTGTAGGGATTAGTGGACAGCATAGATCCCCAGTATCCTATGTATGTCAGCTGTAGGGATTAGGGGACAGCTTAGAGATCCCCAGTACCCTGTATGTATGTCAGCTGTCCCCAGGGTCATTAGGGGATTAGGGGACAGCTTAGATCCCCAGTACCTCATGTATGTCAGCTGTAGGGATTAGGGGACAGCTTAGATCCCCAGTATCCTATGTATGTCAGCTGTTGGGATTAGGGGACAGCTTAGATCCCCAGTACCCCATGTATGTCAGCTGTTGGGATTAGGGGACAGCTTAGATCCCCAGTACCCTATGTATGTCAGCTGTTGGGATTAGGGGACAGCTTAGATCCCCAGTATCCTATGCATGTCAGTACCCCATGTATGTCAGCTGTTGGGGATTAGGGGACAGCTTAGATCCCCATCCCCAGTGATGATGGATGAGGGACAGTACCCCCAGTATCCTATGCATGTCAGCTGCTGGGATGAGGGACAGCTGTATGTCAGCTGTTGGGATTAGGGGACAGCTTAGATCCCCAGTATCCTATGTATGTCAGCTGTTGGGGATGAGGGGACAGCTTAGATCCCCAGTATCCTATGTATGTCAGCTGTTGGGGATTAGGGGACAGCTTAGATACCCTATGTATGTCAGCTGTTGGGGATGAGGGGACAGCTTAGATACCCAGCACCTCATGTATGTCAGCTGTTGGGGATTAGGGGACAGCTTAGATCCCCAGTACCAATGGGAACAGTTAGGGGACTGGTCTACTCACTCATTTTTTCATCCAAAATGTTTTTATGTTTCAGGCACACTGTCCACTACCGGTCACTCCACCAACTTTGTGTTCACCGTGGAGCTGCCAAGTGACAAGAACGCCAGACACTGGATAAAGCAGGGCGTGGCCTTGCTGTGTGCCCTCAACTACTGAACCACTTGATGTACCTCCGTGCAGTCTCTCATTGGACCACTGCTCTCGTTACAGTTTTCAACTGTCTATTTATGCATTTTAATAGTGATGTAAAAATGTGCTTTACTCCATCTGTGATATGATATTTTGTGTACATGAAATAAATTATTATTATTATTCATTGAAATGTGAAATATATTAGAAGTATGTTTATTTATGGTAAGCTGCTGTTAAGTGCTAAAATTAATTGTATTTTACAAGAACTTGTGATAGTTTTCACAATATTGCTGGTCAGTATGAATCATTGCTATGCACAAACACACACTTGAACAACAGTTTCAACAACAGTTTCAACAACATTATATATGGCCACACCTAGAGGGATGCTGCCCACAGTCACATGAGGTCATGGTTCAGCTAGCAGAAGCTATTTTGTAAGCTCAGGTTGAGTGACTCTGTGTCAGGCTAATGCACAAACACAAATTGAAAAAAAATACCACTCACGCTCTCCAGATTTTATTTTGTATTTTAGTAATTATTTCCCATTTAGGTTAAATATGCTGGGAAGAAAAAAATTAAATTAAATTTTTATGGTTTATGTATGAATAACATTACATGGTCTGCTTATTTGAAATGTAGTGTGTGTGTGTGAAATGTCTGTGGTTTTGAAAATGTCCCGGTTGTGTTGGCTGTTAGAGCTGTGGTTTAAAGTGTAATAGGGAGTATGTGAAAGCAGGTGCTTGTGAAGACACCTTGCCAGCTGATGAAGAATGGAGGAACTTAAGGTCATCTAAACTCAAGCAGCATCTGTAACATTGTCACAAGAAAGCTGTTACCTTTAACTGTCTTGGTGTTGCTAGAGAATTCCATGGTTGAGAAAACATGAATGAGTCTCTCCCTGAGTTCCTGCTTGTGTCGTGCATGAATGGTCAGTACTGCACAAGGGTCATTTTCATGCCACAGTTGTGGATAATACATGGCAGAAGAGATTTAGGGACAATCTGTTGACCTCTCTGGGTAATATCTATAGGGCTTTTTGGCTGCTGGGACAAGCTGACCTCAATTACAAACAGCTGTGCTGTAGTGGTCAATGGTGGTCACTCCAACCACCCATCGGCCTTTAGTCCATTTTGGCCAGTATTGACTTATCTGGATCGAGGCTTCAGCTGGTATGAACCCAGGTGCACCCCAGCTAGAGTGGTGTTGACAAAACCATTGATAGTAACATATTGCTCTGAAATTTATATTTGTTTCTGAGGCTTAAAGTCATTAAACAGCCTGTTATGTATTTGTGACTCTGAAAGTATTATTTACACAAATTTTACTGTTTTCCAATACATTTTAAGATTTTAGCATTAAATGCACATGATTTTTAAAGAGATACTGTTGTACCTTCCAACTTGTTTATGTATTTTAGATTTTCAGCATTACAAAATTGCAGCATGATTTTTGTGATCATTTTGTCAGAGTTTTTCTTAACTGCTGATACAGTGATTATTGATATTGTCCCAAACCTGAAATTTTGGAATTGGTGGTGTGGAGTGATAAGTGGTTCTTGCTTATATTCACACATATAGATTTGGTTGTGTATGTCATCAGCTGTTGTTGTTTGTCTATATCAGATGATTGACAGCAGTGACATGTGTTACTTATCAATATCCCCATGGCCAGCCAGTATTAGGGTATTGATCTCCTCACAACTACTCAGCTTAATCAAAGAAAAACAAATACACTTTGATCAATCAATTTGATTTGACATCAGTTGTGTTTTTTTGGTTTTGTGTTAAAAAAGTTGTTCCTATTTGATTATTAAAAAAGGTTCTTGTATCTTGCAGTATTGATCTAGCTGAATATTCTGTCTATGCACAAATGTTTGTAATCACAATTCATGCTGAAAATTGTGACAATATTTTGTTGGTTCTGTGATGTTTGTAAATGGCAATGATGTAGGTGGCCATTTGTGATGACTAAACACATGCCGAGTCTGACAGTATTATCATTCCGTCCAAGTGGAACATTTGTATATTTCACAGGGAAATATTCCTGGAAAGTTTTATGTTTACAGAACCAGTCCACATGTAGGGTACAAACTGTATTCTTGTTGACCCAATAAAGGAAGAGATCACCACATAGTTATTTATTCTCTGGTTTTGGTGGAAAGAATTTTAGAATTTATACTTTACAGTTTCCATAGTGATATGTGTGTCCGGTGGTTTGTGGGGCAGAGTAGATCCCTACAGTACTGATCAATGTGACATAGGTTCAACAGGAAGGGAGATGTCTTGGACATGTATTGCCAAGGCTTTTCTCCGTCATCAAGTTTAGACTCTGTGATGTTACTGAAATACTTTGTGTTTGAGCCAAAACAGTTGTCTAACAAAAATACCAATTCTTCTTACTTTTACTAATGGCCTCTGTATGCCTCATGTCTGAAATATGTTTTAGAGTGAAAACCTTCAAAGAAATGTAAAAAAAAAAAAAAATATCCTGAAAAAATATTCTCATATTTTAGCATATGAGGAAACAGCCAACACCAAAGAAAAGATATGGGTTTTATTCGCTGGAATTATCTTGTTTTTCCAAACTGTCTGAAGGGAACAGTCCTTTTCTAACCCGAGACTAATTTTCAGTTTATACTTTCAGATCTCAAGAGTCGATTTCTTCATAGTATTTATTTTGCATAATCAACACCACATGATTCTCGGGTCTTTACATATAGTTTCCGAAAGGATAAAAGGATCGCATGGGTTATATTGTTTCACTGAGGCACTTTCCTATCCTATCCATGGATCCAAAGTAATACTGATCTGAAAGGATAAAAGGTAGCATAGGTTTTACTGTTTCACAGACCCACTTTCCTGTCCATTGATCCATGGATCCAAAGTAATACTGATCTGAAAGGATAAAAGGTAGCATAGGTTTTACTGTTTCACAGACCCACTTTCCTGTCCATTGATCCATGGATCCAAAGTAATACTGATCTGAAAGGATAAAAGGTAGCATAGGTTTTACTGTTTCACAGACCCACTTTCCTGTCCATTGATCCATGGATCCAAAGTAATACTGATCTGAAAGGATAAAAGGTAGCATAGGTTTTACTGTTTCACAGACCCACTTTCCTGTCCATTGATCCATGGATCCAAAGTAAAACTGATCTGAAAGGATAAAAGGTAGCATAGGTTTTACTGTTTCACGGAGGCACTTTCCTAACCATGGATCCATGGACCAAAGTAAAACTGATCTGAATGGATGAAAGGAAGTATAGGTTTTACTGTTTCACAGGGGCACTTTACTACCCATGGATCCAAAGTAAAACCGGTACAGTTCGTCTGTTTACAAACAACATCGTGCAGCTGTAATACTGCTGAAACAAATAACATATTTCTTATGGATGGGGGAAGGCTTTGTCGCTTCTGGTTATGTGTAGTAGGCTAGACAACATGAACTTCAGTTACGTTTCAGTCTGAAACTTACACCTATAACATAAGGTTGTAATGGACATCATAATGTATTGTATTTCATCCGAGACCCTTTCAAGATTTTACATAATTGAGTCAATACCACAACCAACCTAAAGACGACAACCTAAATGATCTTTTGTTCTTTTGGCACTTTCCTAACCATGGACCAAAGTAAAACTGATCTGAAAGGATAAAAGGAAGTGTAGGTTTTACTGTTTGACAGACCCACTTTCCTGTCCATTGCTCCATGGATCCATGGACCAAAGTAAAACTGATCTGAAAGGATAAAAGGTAGCATAGGTTTTACTGTTTGACAGACCCACTTTCCTGTCCATTGCTCCATGGATCCATGGACCAAAGTAAAACTGATCTGAAAGGATAAAAGGTAGCATAGGTTTTACTGTTTCACAGAGGTACTTTACTATCCATGGATCCAAAGTAAAACTGGCACAGTTCGTTTGTTTACAAACAACATCGTACAGCTGTAATACTGCTGAAACAAATAACATAGATTTCTGGGGAAAGGCTTTGTCGCTTCTGGTTATGTGTAGTAGGCTAGACAACATGCAATTCAGGTACCTTTCAGTCTGAAATTTACACCTATAAAATGACTGCCTCGGTTGTAATGGACGTCATAACCTATTGTACTTCATCCGGAGTCCCTTTCAAGGTTTTACATAATCAATTGAGTCAATACCACAACCAACTTAAATTATATTTTGTTCATTTCTATTACGGAATATTCCATATGGTCACAACTGCGTCATAGCAGAATAATACACTATATGCGTAGTACATTGGAGTTAAGTACAGTTGTATAGTACACCGATGTACTGAACGTTTGTCATTCATAGAGGATGTTCAATATTTTGAATTCATACACTCATGATGTTAAAGTATAAAATGACAATAGAAGCAGTAAACGAATTGTTGAGCTGTGGATACCATGGTTGTCCCTATCGGTATTACGTATGTATGACAGTATCGATCTCTAATGACGACCAACAGCTGACGAAATGTCTCTTGTGAATTTCGCCAGTGGAGAATTCAACGACCCCGGAAGAATGTAATAAATAATGTCGGGTTTACAAGATATTGTCATTATTCATTGCTATAAATTCCTACAGAGACCAGCTCATGTCACAGCTTTCGGGGGTCAGTCGAATCTACGCAAGTGTCCTCAACGGAAATAGAAGCGAGGAGGATTGATGCGGGCATAATTTAAACGCCAATATTCCCCAAAGTACTAAGTCGGTAACACGTGCGCCATTCATTGTTGACAATAAGTAGCGGCAATTTCTCAGCCACCCTCCTCCACCAACCCAGAGCATCAGCTTGTTTAGGTTGTCTTAATAGCACCGACACGTGTGATCGATAGTTTAATATTCAATGCAGATTTTCAGCCCTCAGTTCCACCTCATGGGGCTGGTGTGGCATTTTTAATTCAGAAAATAATAGGTTTGGCTTGAATGCTGTCAAAATTGCAGGGCTATCAATCTGTTGTTATAATAATAGCCGTCTATTAAATGGTCGTCACTCGCTTGTGCCAAATTGTTCTACTATCCAAGGGATAAGGTTTGATATGAATTATTGAAGGCCGTTTGTTTCAAAATAGCATGCGAATACTCTAAACGCTTGCTCAAACAATTGGCTTGGCGTCCGGCATTAATGTCAAGTTCAGGTTATTAACCGTAAACGGGTATTGGTGACTTTGACAAAATACATCATGGGTTGTTGTTTTTTGCCTTTGATCGAATTCGTAGCTATGCTCCTCTCTGTTTTATTATCAAACATATATTGGTACCAATAAATGGTTAAGCAGATTAGTACATCACCAATAAATGACGGAATATAACCAGACGTGTTTCTGAAGAAGATTGTCTACTACGATACAATCTAAAACATAACAATCCTCATAACGAAAAAATGATATTTTAAAAAATACCATTTTTAACAAAATATTTCGACGTAAAATACGAATATTTGAGAGGAAAACAGCTGCTGGTGAGTCAGCACTTCGTGATAGCAACTTATACGTCAATGTTCTATTATGACATTGGTTATTTTAATGAATACCGGCCTATCTGATATATTCGTTATGTATCATTATAATATGTAAATATCTGCAACTGCAAACTGCATGGAAATAAAATGTCGGATATTTGAGCAAAGCAGCACAGGACAATGAATGTTAGTAAAAGCAGAGCCGTAGAGTGCCGATGAGTGTCAGATACTAAAAGCAGAGAACAAAATATATTGTTTACTAAAAGCAGGGAAGTATCAATACAGATTGCACAGTGAAAGTGAAGGCAGTAAATATGTCGGATATTGAAATAGAACAGCACACTACAATGAAGTAAAAAGTAAGTAAGAGCAGAGCAGGACAGTACCACGAATGTCAGTAAAATCAGAGCAGTACCATGAATATCTGTAAAAGCTGAGACGTGAAGTACCTATGAATGTCAGTAAAAGCTGAGAAGTGAAGTACCAATGAATGTCAGTAAAAGCTGAGACGTGAAGTACCAATGAATGTCAGTAAAAGCTGAGTAGAACGGTATCATGAATGTCAGTAAAAGCTGAGACGTGAAGTACCTATGAATGTCAGTAAAAGCAGAGTAGAACAGAATCATGAATATCAGTAAAAGCTGAGACGTTAAGTACCAATGAATATCTGTAAAAGCTGAGACGTGAAGTACCAATGAATGTCAGTAAAAGCAGAGCAGAACAGTATCATGAATATCAGTAAAAGCTTAGACGTGAAGTACCAATGAATGTCAGTAAAAGCAGAGCCGAACGGTATCATGAATATCTGTAAAAGCTGAGACGTGAAGTACCAATGAATGTCAGTAAAAGCAGAGCAGAACAGTACCATGAATATCTGTAAAAGCTGAGACGTTAAGTACCAATGAATCTCAGTAAAAGCAGAGCAGAACAGTACCATGAATATCTGTAAAAGCTGAGACGTGAAGTACCAATGAATGTCAGTAAAAGCAGAGCAGAACAGTACCATGAATATCTGTAAAAGCTGAGACGTGAAGTACCAATGAATGTCAGTGAAAGCTGAGATGTGAAGTACCAATGAATGTCAGTAAAAGCAGAGCCGAACGGTACCATGAATATCTGTAAAAGCTGAGACGTGAAGTACCTATGAATATCTGTAAAAGCTGAGACGTGAAGTACCAATGAATGTCAGTGAAAGCTGAGATGTGAAGTACCAATGAATGTCAGTAAAAGCAGAGCAGAACGGTATCATGAATATCTGTAAAAGCTGAGACGTGAAGTACCAATGAATGTCAGTAAAAGCAGAGCCGAACGGTATCATGAATATCTGTAAAAGCTGAGACGTTAAGTACCAATGAATATCAGTACAGCAGAGCAGAACGGTATCATGAATATCTGTAAAAGCTGAGACGTGAAGTACCAATGAATGTCAGTAAAAGCTGAGCAGAACAGTACCGTGAATATCAGTAAAAGCTGAGACGTGAAGTACCAATGAATGTCAGTAAAAGCAGAGCAGAACGGTATCATGAATATCTGTAAAAGCTGAGACGTGAAGTACCAATGAATCTCAGTAAAAGCAGAGCAGAACAGTACCATGAATATCTGTAAAAGCTGAGACGTGAAGTACCAATGAATATCTGTAAAAGCTGAGACGTGAAGTACCTAT